TACTCTGTAATCACCTTAATTCCAGCCGCGGTAACTTGCAGAGGAGGCAAGGATACTCAGCCGAGTCCAAGTAGACTGTCTTGCCGGTTCCGCTCCCTGTGCAGGCTGGGAAGGGGGAGCGTGCCGGGGGGCATGTGTGAGATGACGTTTGCGTCAGAATCACAAAGGAGAGGGACCGTTGGCCTAACTAACATCTATCTTTGTCGCAGGTTGATCCTGACGCAAGTGACTGCTGCGAGCAGCAATTAAATCAAGCACAGATACGGAATAGGATAGATGACAATACCCGGTACAGTATGTCCTGCCGTACTAGGTAGTGTAGTGGCGGCCTTTATGTCATGTCATATTCATATCATCGTGGCGTACACAGGCCCCCCTTCGGAGCCTTCCGACCTTCTTGATGACGATGAAGACGGCGGTAATGATGGTGGTGGCGATGAGAGTGATGTGATACAGACAGATGAGATGCCGACGCCGACGCCGATGCCGAGATCCTAAAGTCAAACCAGCGCCCGAAGGGGCGGTTGCCCACGATTTACGAGAAGGAGTATGTGTAGGGGGAACTTTTGTCCCGGGGGCACCGCTAAAGTACTAGGCAAGTAGGTAGGTAAGGAGCAAGCGCTCTGGACCTATGTACCCCCTACACACATAGTTAGCTACCTACCATATGTGGTGAGCAGTGAGCAAGAAACTAATAGGGCTGAGCCGGCTCGTAGGGCTAAGCAAGGCAGCGACGCGCCAGGGGCAGGGCTGGGCTGGGCTGCTGGCCCGACCCAGTCTGGCCAATGCAAGCACAGCAATACGATACGAGGGTTACGAGGCGAGCAAAGATACAACGTGCAATCCTTTCCGAGGGCACCTTACAGAGTTCGATACCTGTATTGGAAGGGCTTGGTTGGCTGGTTGATCATGATTGAGCGTTGAGTGAATGGGTTGAACTGTTGAATACATACCTACTAACTACCTACAAGGTACCACTTACCTATGCAGCCATGTTGCTAGCTAGCTAGTGTTGGTCATGACGGACTAGCCCGGCGAGCGACGCGGGAACTGAACACGGCAAACAGCCTATGGTCCAGGGGCATGATTGGCTGGTTGGTCGATTGGTTGGCTGGAGGGAAGGAAGGCAAGGGGAGAAGATGGAAGCAGTTCGAGAGACGAAAGAAACAGTGACGCTGAAGGCGAGGCCGAAGGACCAACAGGGACAAGAGGTATCAGGTACATACCAGAGGTACCGAGTACGAGGGTCATACATACATACCTACCTAGGTAGATAGAGAAACCAGAGGTACAGAGTGGTACAGATTACGAGCCACAATCATCATGGAGCGAATACACCCTTTCCGGAAGTTAGTGGCGTTGCTAGGATGCTCATATGCATGCACTCCATCTTCTCAAAGCCCTCTTCCTTGCCCTTTCGCTTCTCAGTTTTGTTCCAGAAGGATGTGAAACTGGAGGCCGGAACTAGGAGTACTCCGTACTTCGTGGTCACTGCGAGCATGTCATACTCCAAACCGCTTGTGGGAGGTGGGAATAAGGCTACGGATTATTTGTCAGGACCGAAAAGCTTGTGTTGTCCTCTCCGTTGCATCGTGGGTTGGTTCATGTTCCTAGAGAGGACGTTCTAGGAATGATCATTGAACACGTCGACTAGGGATACGGTAATTGTACGCGTGAGTATATGATGCGGAAGACAGTTTTGCAGGCCCTGCAGCGGCGTAGCCGCGGAGCACTGCCAATCTGGAGCCGCGGCGTAGGGATACCACTGCTTGTAGATACATCGCAGCTTGGGCCCTCATTCAAGGGAAAGTCGTCGAAAAGGGCAGGTGAATAGCGTGCTAAGTCATCCTTGGGGCCGGATTTCCAAGCGATCGCTTGGAAACGGTCGGTCGGCGACGGGGGTGTTGCTTCAAGGCTAGAGTTTGCCGTCGGGTATGAGAACAAGGTGACGGCGAGGAGGTCACTGCCTCCAGGAAGGAGTATGCATGGAAAATCCATGCCGTTGATCCGGAGTCTGCCCGGTTAATCAGGTTGAAGAGGAGGCGGGGGGCGGTTCGTCTCTTGAAACCCCAAAGACGACTTTCTTGTCTGAAAGATAGTAAATTTGAATCCAAAGCTGCTAAAAAGGCTGTGGAGTACCGAGTGTTCAAGCTGGAGGGTGTTAGGGTGTTAGGGTGTCTGACAGGGTTATTGCCGTGTCGAGGAAATAATGCGAGAGACATCAGCCCAACCAGGAAAATGCGCTCGGGCCATGATGTTCCCCTCTTGGACCCGAAAAGGACCGTTGCAGCAGCGGGAATTTGGCTTGCTCGAGCGGCGAGCCTGATTGGCTGACCTCGGCAAGCGAGGCCTGGTGGCTGGAGCCCTCGCCAAAGCCAGAGCTCAAAAGAAGTGAGAACAGAAAGAGCAACCTGGGTGGAGACGGCGGCATCGTCAGAGCACGCATCGAGAAAACACCGTCATCTGGTTGCGCCCGTTGACTGTACACCGCCATCCGTGGCTCCGGTTCATATGTAAGTTGCGCCTTTTCCGCTCAATGGTAACGGTGTGCAATCTCGACTTTCGCCCATCGGATTCCGAAGTGGTTTGGCTGACGCCGACACTCCAAAGTGCCACTGATTAGGGAAAGCACCGAGTATCCCTACCTCTTGCCCTTCTTGTAGGCAATAAAGAGCACCCCAATTCTTGGTCGTCAGCGCCTCTCTCCACTCTCTACAGGGGACGTATCGGGACAGCAACTGCACCCGAGGCCCCGGAAAGCTGGACTGAGCTCAAAGTGTATTTTGCAAAGCATGCCACTGCGGGAGCTTACCGATGCTACCAGGCGTTGAAGTGATAAGCGCATATTACCTTACAGATACCTCGCCTTCTCGAATCTCGATGAGAAGTCTGCGGCCTTGTTGATCATGTCCCTGCGCTGAGTGGCGGTGATTGTCGAACCAGACCCGATGTCTTTTTCCCGATCAAAGGCACGGGCACTGGGATCATCATCCAGAGGCTTATTCTGGGAGGCGGTGTGGGTGGCGTAGAGGGATGGTCCTCGTTGGGTGTCCTGCAAAGGGTGATGAGCTGGTGAGCAGGTGAACTGGGTGGGATGTGAAGGTGCAAAGCACAATTGGGTGTGGCCAAATGATACGTGCCAGGCAATCTGGCGGACGAAAGAGAAGCAGAAGCAAAAGGAGGATCTCTTTTCCTGAAAGGTGTCACTTACACTGTATTCCTTCAATCTTCGCGCCGTGACTTCATCGTGAGGATTGCTTGCTGAACCCGACTTCGACGATCTGGCTGAGGTAGAAGCGGTATCAATGCCCATGACCTCCCTCTTCAATCTTGCTTGCTTCTCTTCTGGGGTTTCATGCCAGGAAGCATCCCCTCCACCACCGGTAGCTTGTGAAGGGCCCTTTGCCCCTCGTCCAGTGTTGAATCTACGATTCTTCAATTTGGTAGGATCAACTCTTGCAGACCAGTCACCGTGGGATGGCGCCAATGTCATCCATTCGTCGCGCTTTACTGGCGCCGTTGTCACTGCAGCTGTAGGGATTTGCGGACCTATCGCCGAAGATGCTGAAGACTTTGTAGGGTGGTTGTTGGCCGAGGGCAGCCTGGGGCCGAAATCATCATCACCATCGTCATCATCATCTGTGTCAGAGTCCCCTTCCTCGGCTGCTCGCACAGGACCTGAAGGCGGGCGTTCATCCAAAGGTGCTGGTGGGAGGGTTGGACCTATGACTCGAGGCCGCTTTACGGCGGGATTTTTGCCTTCTTGAGCAGATTTCGCCGGAGAGGGAGGGAGAGGGCCAGTCGAGGAGTCGGACGATTCGTCGTCATGGCCGTCATGGCCGTCATGGTCGTCATGATCATGGCTTCTCTTGCGCTTTTGCAGGTGCGAAGGGAGTTGTGGCCCCATAGAAGACATGGTCGCCAACAATGTTCGATAGGGTACTGCTGTAGTGGCGGGTCAGGGCGGCAGTGGAAACGGCAGCGATATACGGAGGGCAGCACGCAAAGCAGGGTAGAATACCACTTCCGCCTAGGGCTCGACTTCGTGTGATCTGATCGACTCAAACAATAACAGTCCGCAGTTTCGGGATTGTAGGTGGCAAGGTTTGACAAGCGTTAACCGGAGGTGGCGCCCCAGCAGTCCCAGGGTCCAAAGTGCCCAAGGACGAAGTACAGGGCCAAGGAAACAGAGAGCAGTAGCCTAGGGTGTACCTATCAAGTAAGTAAGTGTACCGAAACTGCTACTAATAGGTATAGGCACGCCCAGCAAGGCCAGTGATTAAGCTTACTAGCCTAGCAGCCACGCTGTAGCTAAGACGACCAGCAGCCTCACGGGGCCTATCACAAATTGAGTCTTTGAGTTGATTGCTTGATTCCTTGTCTTCTTTTCATCACTGGTTCATTCTTCAAATCCGGCAACATATGCAAACAACCGAATGCGCCCGAGTGCATATATGTTACTCTGCTGCTGCGCCCAGTGGGCTTTTCATTCAGGCGATTCGATGGAGCTCGAAACCTGCAAGCGCCTGGAACAACCGCCCTGGTCGACCTCGCTGCATCCGCCCGAGTCCTCTACCACTCAGATACCAGGTCAAGTGAGACTTGGACATCTTTCGTAATAGCTGACGGCTCTTCCCCTCAATCCACTGGGGCTTTGTACCTAAGTATGCACCAGTTCCTTGATTGGAGGGAAACATTCCTGCAACCGCCATTCGAGGCTCTGGAAAAAGCACATGCAGGGTCCCAAGTTCGCGATTCCTAGAGCTGAACCTTCTCTCCCAGCCAAACATCAGAAGCCTCGCTCCGAGGGTTGGGAGGTTGCCTTCCTCATTTTGCTTCTCGACTCCTAATCGTTCGTTTTCCCAGTGCCTTCTTTACGGGCGTTATTGATCCTATCATTGATCAGTCGATGTAAGCTCCTCTCCCTGTCTGCTTCTCCATTTAAAGGCGATGTGAGATCAGAGGTACCATATCCGCTGCTCTGAGAGGCGTCCAGCAACATGGGTGGAATTGATGTTTCCTCCGTGGTGAGCTCCATCATCTCGGCTTTCGTCAGTGGAATGGACATTTTCCATCGTCTGGGAGGGAAGAAAAGGAAAACCAATGCGAGACTCCCTCGACCATCTGAGGAGGAACAATGGCTACAACACTCACTCAAGAATCGGCCTGTGGAGATCAAACATGAATACGATCACCAAGTGGCAAAATTCGGCCGCCAATTTGAAGTTGGTGACACTGCCGCTCAGTCAAGTCTGGCACATACTCTTCTTGTCCTCAACACGGGACTAATCAACTTGATCAACCATGCCCTTTCCGGAGACTCCAGGACCGTGTCTTCCTCTCAAAGGACCTTGTTCAATCTCTCTGAAACCGCTGCTGTTGACACAATGACCGCTATCGGACAGCTTAGTTCCCGCCTCAGCCTAGTTTCGTCATCCAGGCTAGCTCTTGAGTCCGAGGAGAGCCGAAGATCTGTCGAAAAGCATACTCACAAGGAACGCAAGTCTAATTCAACGACATCAACCAAAAAGACCAAGCGGCCCCCTCCGACGCCATTACTGATCCGCGGTGGCTGGGTGAGGTCCAGAAGCGGTTCTTCAGTTGTCTCTGGGGCAGCTGCAAAGAAGGCAAGGGGAGAGCAGTCACAGAAGCACCAGCGTTCCAAATCCGATTCCACAGCGTCGAAGTCGTCTGCATCCCGGTCCTCCGACTCCAAGCCAAAGCGGGAAGAGTCGGCCAGCGAGGTTTCCGGCTGTACATGTAAAACCGCCCCAGGCCGACTGGAAGAACCAAACCCACTCAACAGACGCAAGTCAAGCGAACAGCCCAGGCCACAGAGTCAACGGAGCATGCTTATTGTGCCTGCGGACTTCTTCGAGAATGCACAAAACCATTCCGAGCCAGCTGTATTCCAGCAACCTCCACCTCGACCGCCGAAGATCCCGTTTCACAGCCGGCCCAACCCAGGACAGACCCGGGCGCGTCCGACGTCGACCATGACATTCATGACTGCCAGCACTAAAATAGGGGAGATCCCTGAATCCAAGTGGCCGGACAGGTCATTGTCAGCTGAAGAGGAAGCGTCGCAGAAAGTGCCGTACGTTATCCCACCTCCGCTGGAGCCGAGCGAACAGAAGAAAAAGAAAGGTCTCAAATTCTGGCGGCGGGAAGACAAGCGGCGTGATATTGCCGCCTATTGAGATTCCAAATTTTTATAGGCACAGGCGTTGGTGGAGGACAGTGCGTACCGAGCGAAAGTTTGAGGACCAAGTGATGATCCGAGTGACGACCATCTTTTATGTAGTTGTTGATATGATCATGAGATTCCCCGAAAATTCAAAATTTTGAGATCCCTCTTTTCCATTCACTCTGGTATCATTTCATTGAGCAATGGTTTTCCCAATCTCAATATTACATGACCAAGCTAAGCTGTACCTCTCCCCTGGTTGTGGAGATAGCTACGAGTGGTTATTGTAAATCCCTTGCCACTACAGCCTCGTCACTTGTCTAATAAAAATTCTCCGCCCATCAAACAGTAAAAATAATTCATTATCTCCAACAACCTCAGCAACAACGGAACCTAACTCCATATTGTTTTTTTTTCTCGACAGACTGTTCGTTCTCTCCCCGCGTTTCGCTTCATTTCCCCTCCCCTCGCCCTAGTCGATCGACACGAATACGTGGCCTCCAAGATGGCGACGGACGCGATCCCCGTTCCCAAACCGGGCGAGGGCGAGCCGGTTGTTTTTTTCGACATCCAGATCGGCGGTAAGGTTCGACTTTGATCATCTGTGCTTCTCCATTATGGTTATAGCATACGGCGGTATGCACTTTACGAGGAAGGGGGGAAGGTTTTCAATGCCACACTCCTAGACGAAAGCGCAAGGCCTTGCAATGCGTACACGGCGGGAGATCTGTGTTGTTCAGATCTCACTCACCCTCATTCCACGTCCTGTTCTATTCCCCTGTCTTGAGGATCCCCTCTCGCCGTTGTCTACGTCGCTACAAGTCCTGTAGCTATGGTCCCTCCAATACCACCCCCTCTCTTGCCGCTAAACTCCCTCAAGTTCTGCTCTTCTCTAACTAAATGATATCCAGGTGAGCCCCTAGGACGCATCAAGATGCATCTCTTCTCCAACACGGTGCCCAAGACGGCAGAGAATTTCCGCCAATTCTGCACGGGAGAGCATAAAGGACCGGGCGCACAGCCGATGGGTTATAAAGGCAGCAAGTTTCACCGCGTGGTGAGTATTGTCGTTGCGATTCTCGTTCCTTTCTTTTTTCTTTCCATTAGCCCATTTTTTTTTTGGCTACGGAACTCCGTTCGGCGTGAATGGAGTGCCACGGGTGTGAAGGGAAGGGTGACAAAGGCTGGCAAGCAGGTCCAGGGAGGTAATTGCCGTTATGCCTGGGAGTGTGAGGTCAAGGAAGGGATGGCGGGATGGACGAATGAATGGTGGAATATACCTGAACGCCAGTCTGGGGGCGGGATCCTTCCTCCCTCTCTTTCTCCGCTCTGTTCTACCCTCTTCTCTCCCCTTCTCTGTTTTTCCAGCTATGTCAACAACTGAATCCACAACTGACAGCACCGCTCCTCCTCCGGGGCGGGTTGGGAATTAGATCAAGAACTTCATGATCCAAGGCGGCGACTTCCTACACTCAGACGGCACGGGCAGCACGAGCATCTACAACAATGCAGCTTTCGCGGACGAATCCTTCACCATCAAGCACACGCGGCCCGGGTTGTTGTCGATGGCCAACTCGGGCCCAAACACCAACGGGTGCCAGTTCTTCATCACCTGCGCCGCCACGCCCTGGCTCGACAACAAGCACGTCGTCTTCGGCCAGGTCGCGGACGAAGATTCCCTAAAGGTCGTTCGCATGATTGAGAACACGAGGACCGCCGGGCCAGGCGGGCGGGGGCAGGGCGAGAGGCCCGTGTTAGATGTCAGGATCGTGCAGTGTGGCGAGATGTAGCAAAGGGAGGTGTGAGTGAGTCTGGGCCAGGACGGGGTCGGGGCGCAGGGGTGAGAGCTGTGGTGAAGGGTGATGAATATCTCGGTGTGGAAGACAAATGTGGGATAGCGAGAGGGTTGAGAAGAAAGAACAGAGCATGAGCACGCTTCATCGTATCGGAGAGCTTGGAAGTCGCTGTTAAGTGTGCCTCGTCACTCCGGGAAGACCAACACACGGCCGGAGAGATTCAAAAGAATAAATGGTCAGGACGCCACCAATAGGCCATACGTGGTGCCAGTGCCAGTGCCAGTCCCGTTCGTACTCATCAATCATAGCAACAACAATAATGTACAGATGATATAGCTGCAGTTTACTCCAGTCCCTGAGGCGCTCGCTCATTCGACTCTAGGCAACGAGTCTCTTGCTTCCCTTAGCACAAGATACTCAATAACATCGACCTCACCATCCTGATCGAGTGATAGCTTAGGAAAAGGCATGTTCCCCGTTCTCGTCGCCGTCGCCGTTGCCGTCCGCTTGCTCTTGCCCTTGCGGTCGGGGCTGCTCCCACTCTCTCTCCCTGGCCGACCTGGACCATGTTTACCGGGTATTCTCTTCGGTGCACCTAGCATCCACACTCCCTGTTGTTCCCATCGTCTCTGCCTTTTGGCGGACCCTTGCCAGTCTCGGCGCCATTGCAGCGCCAGGTCCGGGTGCCAAAGACTGCCTATTTTCCATGGCCCGACAAGCAGAGATTCGAGAACGGTCCAGCCGTTGTCCTCGTCAGCAAGACAGGTGTTGCCGGAAGGCAAATGTTGTTCGCCGGGGAAACCCACGCCGAGGTTGAGGCCCAAATTGACGTGGATGATATGGCCTTTGGTCCGAAGTCGGCTGTCCCGGTGCTGCAGCAGGAAACTTCCCAGCACCGTGGCTGACCAGGTCAAGCACATCTTTTGTTCGACGGACTCGGAGAAACCCTCGAGCTGCTTGTTGATAAATGTACTGGCAATATCCGCTATAGCTGGCAAGAAGTCAAACTGCTCAGACTCATATCCCCTCTCTCCCTGTGCGTCCGGGCCCTCAACGATATGGTGACGGTAAAGTTGTAGACAGAAAACAACGAGCGCACAGCACAACTGCAGCTCCGTTGGACTGAGGTTGTCGTACCTGTGCAAAATGTGGCTGAATTGACGACATCGTTCAATTAGTTCCAGAGCTCGTTTAGTCTGCCCAGCAAGGCTTTGAAATGTCTGTATTCGGTCCAACAGCCGTTGCATCGAATTCAGGGACGCGGCGAGTTCAACTGATAGATCTACCCCAGAAAGTAACGTTGGGGATTGTGCACGCATTTGGCGGCCAGGCAGAGTACTTTGTATTGACTGCGGTTCCCTGTTCGTTGATTCTGACGTGTTGCTGTCATTTTGAAGGAGAATCTTTCGATTGCGGAAGCCGTACAGCGCTTTCCAGCTATGCAATGTCAATCATTCGGGCAATCTGAGAATACTCGAGGACGTTTTAAACTCACCTCTCTAACCTGTTCCCGACCACGCGAGCAACGGCGCTGCCGGGGTGGTCGTCAATATAATGCTGCGCTATATTTTTGAATGCTTCAAAATGGGCAACGAATGCTTCGGGCTCGCTCGACATGTACTGTTAGATGTCAGCTAGTGGTCGCACCTACCAAAAGGTGTAATCAAAGCCTACCGCAATGCTAAGCATACGCCCGACCGTAAAGATGACGGCTTCTTCAGGCCCGAAGCTGGTGGAAGATACCCTTTGTCGTAACCTCATCATAGCTAAACCACGATGGTATAGCATCAGCTGGTCCTCTGACGGACTATTGCCCTGAGCAAGGACCCATGCTGTGCGGCTAACAGCCACAGTTGCGTCGAACAGCATGTCATCTTGAAGTGCAAGCGGCCAGCATAGGTCGAGTTGTGTATTGTATCCCATCAGATCGTCAAAATTGCCAGCTTTATGTGGTGCCCATATATGGATATCTGTAAGTCAATGTCAACAAGATTCTTAGATCGCAGGCGGTTGGCCACCGGAGGTATACTTACGATAGTCAACCATGGACATTACTGCCTTTGTATTCGAACCAGGAAAGGCACTGAATGGATCTGCTCGTAGTCCGGTCTGGATTGCAAGGCTCATCTGTGTCTCACTTGACTCGCCTTGCTCAGTCAATTGTTGCTCAGGTGTAATGCTTTTCAGTGGTGACATCTTTTCTGGACTTTCGACCGGCGGCGTTGCCGACATCGACCTCCATCCAACCAAGCTTCGGGCGTATCCAGCACCTTGCCGCGCAGAAAGCCTTTGCTGTTGGCGTTTCCCTGCACTCTGAAATCGCCGTGCTTGACTGGAGACCAATTTGGATTTAGCCACCTGGAACGACTCCGGGCCTTGGTCAATGAAGACGTGCTCCGGAATGTTTGCTGAAGCATTTCTCTTCTTCCACTGTTCAGGCATATGCGATTGATTACCTTTGGCATATATGATGAAAGAGGTGAGATGAAAATGGACGTGGGTGTTGAATGTTTCCTCAGTACGATCGATATATGAGTCTTCCCTTCCCCGACGATGTGCGCTAATAACGCATCGACTTTACATCGAAGATTTGCCCCTTACAACATGCAACGTGTTGAACTCAATTCCAAACAGGTATCTAGAACCTTTCAGTTGCCGATGACTCAGCTTGCGAAAAATAGAGACTGCTGAGGCACAAGGAAAGTTCTTGATAAACAGGCGCGGTTCTAGCCACTTCGACACAGGCTTGAGACTCTCGGATTCTGGTATGGTGGGTTCAAGAATGCCTGCGCGTGGTATCTGGGTTTGATGGCGGGATATTGTAATCCAATGCTACTAATCCTTTCCTGGTCTCTCCGACCCGAGAATAGGCTTCGAAGATGCAAGGCTTTTGCCCGAGATTGGCCCAGCCTATGACATGCTTATCAATGCTGAAGCGAGGCACCAACTCGTGTGGATCCGCCGGAACCAGCCTTCATGCTCAGCAAGGCTGACAATTAGAATTCCGCATTAAATCCGATTTGATCAGCTTTCCAGCCTCGTGTAGGAACGTGGATGGCCGCAATCTTGATCATGGGAGAATCGCCACGCCAACGATCAGACCCTGGATAGAGGCGCATCATCAAATCCTGTTGAATTGCAGCGGTTACAGCAGCGGAGGCAAAGGTTGTTCCTTCAAGGCATGAAGATGGAAGGCCTGAACATTGAATCGACAAGTTTCTGCATCATGGGTCGCGAGCACCCAAGCCTACCGCATTCGGCAGGCGCTATGCAAAATGCCCCGAGAAAATGGGCTTTGTTTATGAACACAGGACTGAAGTCAGCCATGGCGAAAAGGCTCTTGTGACCATCCAAATCGAGATGATAGCACGCTGCTGGTACAGCTTGTTAAAACAGCCTTCATTAACTCTTGAATAACTATAAACCCGTTACTCAAGTCACAAATTACTTCACAACTTACCTCATCACCACCTTAGCGAAACCTGCGCAGTGGCCAATGGAAACTCGACGAAATGAAAGAAGTAACAAGTATGATGAAGGACCTCTCACTTTGGGAGTCTCACTTTGGGAGAGTTGACAACTTGCTGCCTCGCTGGAATAGCGTCGAAGTCGCGAGGCTGCAAGAATCTGCCAATCGGAACATGCGACTCGGGGAGAATAACCAGTCTGGGTTAAACTTCTCTCTCCTCTAATTGGCTGTCGTTCTTGAATTCATGGTGCTCGGAGATGGACTCGTCTTGAAATAACGCAAAATCTTGATAGATCGTCTTCGGAATTCTGCTTCCAAGTCCCACGCTGCATGCATAATCAAGATGCATCGTGATGAGGTGTCAGTCCTCGCCAGAATTTATGTGGTGCATTCAGAAGATGGTGGAAGGATGTAAAGACGTTCTTGCCCAACTTGTCAAAATCCCATCTTGCCGCAGTTATAGAGACCTCCGTGAGCACATGACGCTATCAGATTGTGGCCAAAATTCATCCTGTCTTCAAAGAACATGAGTTCAATGACAGAACGCGCCATTCCGGCTGGGAGTCTTGTCGTCGTAAGCGGAGCGAACGGTTTCATCGCAAGCCATGTTGTTGATCAGCTTCTGCTGGCTGGCTATCGTGTCAGGGGCACCGTCCGTGATGCAAAGAAGTCTGCATGGTTAATTGAATATTTTGGAGCTAAATATGGTCCCGGCAAGTTCGAGCTGATTGAGGTGCCGGAAATGGCCGCGGATGGAGCTTTCGACGAAGCGGTAAAAGGTGCCTCTGGATTCATTCACACGGCAACACCAGTCATGGTGTCGTACGATCCAAATGAAGGCATTCCGATCGTGGTAAACGGCACTGTGAACGCGCTCAGGGCTGCAGCTAGTGAGCCCTCAATCAAGCGCTTTGTCCTGACTTCGTCCTCCACTGCTGCGATCAGTCCGAAGCCAAACATTGAATTCAGCGCCGATGAATCAACTTGGAATGACGAAGCGGTAAAAGCAGCCTGGGCTCCTCCCCCCTATGAAGGCGAACAGAGGAAACTCGATGTGTACTCGGCTAGTAAAACACAGGGCGAGCAAGCTGCTTGGAAGTTCATGAAAGAGGAAAAGCCTGGCTTTGTTTTGAACACCGTCCTCCCGAACTGCAATATGGGTCTGGTGCTCTCACCCGAGCATCAAGGGGCACCAAGCACAGTCGGCTGGCTCAAGGCCCTCTGGAATGAGTTCAAAGGGCAAGAGAAACTCAAATTCAACCCCCCGCAGTACTATGTGAACGTCCAAGACACAGCCCGCGTTCACGTTGGGGCTTTGATATTTATGGACGTCCAAGAGGAGCGCTTGTACGACTTCGCCTACCCATTCAATTGGAATGATATCCTTGCCATATACAGGAAACTGTATCCTGAACACAAGTTCATGGATGATATCCCTGATCTCGGCAGGGATCTCAGCAAGGTCACAAACGAAAGGGCGGAGGAAATTGTGAAGCGATTTGGAAGACCCGGATGGGCGAGCTTGGAGGACAGCGTGGCCGATGCCGCGAAGGGTTGGGCTTGAGCAAGAGGGCTGAACTGGCATGGGTAATGGCTCTTGACCTGGATATTGTAGGGGGTACAAATTGAATTGATCTCGGGGGAATTGGTCGCTGGTCTCTCACGTGATACAATGTCACGTGCTTTATAGCCGTCTCGCCGTGTGAGGGTAGAGTCTCATTCAGAAGTCGCGGTTCCGAACCCAGCCCGAGTTTTTCCTAGTCCCCCCTCCTTGTCCTTATTTTAAGATTCATCCTCCACAAATCGTTGGGCGTTTTCGGCGTCATCATGATGAATCCCCGTCACCCATGGCTTCTTTGGCCCGCGGAACTCGACCACAAGTAGGATACATATTATTCAACAGCCGGCTGATCGGTCGGCAAGTTGAGGGGGTGTAGGATACTTTCAGTTCTCCCTTGGTCTTTCGCGTTCCAACGTCCCCAAGTCACTCATTCAAGCCCCTCGTTTCTGTTTACTTGATTCTTTTGTCTTTCTTCACCCAAAGGCTGCTCCTCTTGAACATGAGGTACCAAACACTTCGATTTACCATGTTTTACAAAGAGCCAAAGCACGAAACCAGACAGACATCCAATGCGCAATCCGCGAACGGAGCATCATCCTCAGGATCTAGTCTGCGATCACCAACTTCGACCGTCTCGCTATTGTCAAGATACTCAACTAGTTCAATGTCCAGTCCGCATACGAGGAGCGACGGAGAAGCAGGAAGAAGATGACGAGCAAGGAATGCACAGATATATATTTCATACAAACAGGAACCCTGACTTGACCGCGAGTCTATGCTTCGAGAACAAGAGCCCAGGCAGAAGAGCCCCTGCCCAGCTCTGAGATGAGCTTCCGAAACATCCAAGCCGACATGCTGATGAATCAAACCTCTGACGGAATGCACCGACCGCGTTGACTGGGATATCACTGTGCTTTCTAGAGATGAGACAGGATTGTCTCTCTCATACCTCCTCGCCTTCGGTTGGTGAAGCGACAAGAGGTCAACTATTTACAGGAGAAACATCACCGGGATGCTGGCTGATCGGATACCGAACGTTGGCGATCCTCTCACAAGTTGGGCATCAGCCAACTCTTCTGCATGGACTAATGATTTACGAAAGAAATGTATATGAGTACCGAGGGATGTTGGCATTGAAGGATGAAGTTATGGCTGGTCATGTAAGATGTACATATGTAGCCATGGCGCTGGAAAGGGATATGATATGTGGATTTAGCGATACCCTATATGCCCTATTCCATATTGGTTTCTCGAGTAATCGCATGATCATTTGACTTCATCAAAAGGGAAAGCCATGTGACATCCTAATCGTCTTCACATCACCTGAGGCCTGTCACATTATTCTTATAGCCTACCACATGGTATTTTTCACATGCCTCGGGACTTAGAGCGCTGAATGTGAAGAGATGAATATGGACAGGGCCCCTTCGGGCCACGCTGGAAGGTGGCGGAATCAGCGGCCGAAGCATGTGAAGTCCGCGGGCTCGGCTTTGGAGAAGACTGTGCGGGGGCAGCAATAGAGCCTGGAGCAAACTCCTAGAGGAGCCTAGGGCAGCCTACCAGTAGGTCTGTCCAATACCACTTGTTACGCTCTACCTGAAGGGGCTCCGTGGAGGTGAGAACTGCGAGCCTCGCCCAGCCCGCTGTGTCTGCGAAGAGGAATTTTCCCCGGACAAGTCGGACTCCAGGCCATTGACAGTCGGCAAACTCGACAAGCTTTGCTGCACCCCGGGAAGATACAAAAACCGGAGTCACGGCCATCAGAAGACTCAAGCAGAGACATTCTTCGGTCTTAAGACGGTGTGGGAACAATTCATTGTGTGGGTACCTCGTACTACCTAGTTGTACAGGGTAGGTAGGACAGCAACTGATTGTGGGCACCAACCAGCTGGAACATATTTGGCAGGTCAGGCAAAAGTCAAGGCTGGTGACCGGGAAGCCGAGGTTCATTGCTCTCAATTGTCGTCTCCGTGGGTGCGCCGTGTCGTCAATCATAATCTTGAGGATCGAATCTCCCGTTACTGGTTACTGGCTGCGCAGGTGATCGAGTTCGTCTTGAAGCTTCAAAAACTCATCATCCTTCTTCCTTTCGATCCTCTCCCTCGACAACACCTCCTCCCAGCCATCTACACCCGTCTTCAAATCACTTCTGTGTCTGTCCAAAATGACCCCTCCTCGTGTCATTGTTGTTGGCGGAGGCCGTATGGAAGCCCTTCTCCTTTCCATCCCAAAGTAAATCGATGAGCTAACTTTCGGGAACTTCAGTGTCTGGTCTCAGTGCCGCTCATACTGTCTATCTGAACGGAGGCAACGTCCTTGTTCTGGACAAGAATAGTGAGTCGAGTCGTCCTGTCGACCCAAACCCACCATATCTGACGCATGGGCAGACTTCTTCGGTGGCAACTCGACAAAGGCCACCTCTGGTATCAACGGTGCTCTCACCCGAACCCAGGTCGACCTCGGTATTCAAGACAGTGTCAAGCAATTCTACGAGGATACGCTCGAATCTGCCCGTGACCAGGCCAGACCAGATCTCATTCGAGTCCTCACATACCAATCCGCTGCGGCCGTGGAATGGCTGCAGGACGTCTTCAATCTTGACCTCACTCTTGTTTCTCGATTGGGGTATGTGACGATTTAAATCCTTGAGAGCCCAAGTCTAACACTCTGTACAGCGGCCACTCTTTTCCCCGTACCCACCGTGGACACGATGCCAAATTCCCTGGTATGGCTATCACCTATGCACTGATGCAAAGACTCGAAGAGCTCTGCGAATCCGAACCCGAGAGAGTTGAGGTCGTCAAGAAGGCCAGGGTCACATCTCTAAACACGCAAGGCAACTTGGTCACCGGTGTTACCTACGAATACGGCGGTGAGACGCACTCGGTGGACGGTGTTGTCATTTTGGCTACTGGTGGATATGCCGCCGACTTTACAGAGACCTCCCTTCTCAAGAAGCACAGACCGGACACCTTTAACCTGTCGTCAACCAATGGCACGCATGCCACTGGAGACGGGCACAAGATGTTGATGGCCATTGGCGCAAATGACATTGATATGGACAAGGTACAAGTGCACCCTACCGGTCTGGTTGATCCCAAGGATCCCCACTCCAAGTGGAAGTTCTTGGCTGCTGAAGCCCTTCGAGGCGAAGGCGGTATTCTCATCAACAGCGATGGCCAACGATTTTGCGACGATCTTGGCCACCGTGACTACGTTTCTGGCAAGATGTGGGAGGAGAAAGAGAAGGGCAAATGGCCCATCCGCCTGATTCTCAACTCCAAGGCCTCAAACGTCCTTGATTTCCATACCCGACATTACTCTGGTCGTGGCTTGATGAAGAAGATGACGGGCAAAGAGCTGGCCAAAGAGATCGGCTGCGGTGAGGCTGCGTTGGAGAAGCAGTTCAAGGAGTACAACGCTATTGCCAAAGGCGAAAAGAAGGATCCTTGGGGCAAGAAGTATTTCCACAACATGCCCATGGACATCAATGACACTTTCCACGTTGCACTGATGGAGCCCGTTGTGCACTTCACCATGGGTGGTATGGAGATCAACGACAAGGCCCAAGTGCTCAACAAGGAACACAAACCCTTTGAAGCTCTGTTTGCCTGCGGTGAACTTGCCGGTGGTGTGCACGGCGCTAACCGACTTGGTGGTTCATCACTCTTGGGCTGTGTGGTCTACGGCCGAGTTGCTGGCGCATCGGCTTCTCAATACCTATTCCACAAGCTTACCACTCAAGGAGGCGCCACCGGGGCTTCTCAGCGTCTAGGTCAAATCTCGTTACACATTGATCCTAGCACCCCTGGTAAGATCTCAGTGGAATGGGGAAGCGGTGCTTCTTCAGCTCCCTCAGCCGGCACTCAGACGACCTCGCAGCAAGCCCAAAGGAGCGCGGCACCAGTGATGGACGGCAACAAGGCCGAAGAACCCGGCAAGAAGAAGGATGTCAACGATATCAGCAACTTCAAGGTCCCGGATAAAGAGTATAGTCTGGAAGAGGTGGCCAAACACAACAAAAAGGATGATCTGTGGATTGCCGTCAAGGGTGTAGTGATGGACGTCACCAACTGGCTCGATGAGCATCCAGGTGGTCCCCAAGCATTATTCAGCCACATGGGCAAAGACGCTACCGAAGGTGAGTCTGAAAGATGGATCTTAGCAGTCAAGTTGGCTAACACTCGTGCAGAATTTGAGATGCTTCACGACGACGAAGTGATTCCGAAATACGCTCCCGACATCGTCATTGGCCGCGTAAAGGGCCAAAAAGTTCGTCTGGAGTATTAGGTCGCGTGATGAACTTCACCTTTGAAAGTACACTGTTTGGGAAGACAGCATGGAGTTGACCACTGTATCATGAACAGCTATAGCCTCTGTATGTCTTGAGATTAAAAAAATTGAATGAATCAAGCTGCGTTTGCTTAACTCGTTGCCCGAATGCGCTATTTGGTGTTGCATGCCAGTCATTGCTGCCGGAGGGTTGACGCTTCCAGATGTGGAAACTGATGGTTCAAATGACAGTCATTTGAAACCACCTCGAGACCATGATTTTGGCTACTAAACTCGCCTCACCTCGAACCTCCAAAGCCTTATGCGACTTCTTTCCTCTTGCACTAAGTCCCGTCCTGCCGGCCGGCGTACCTGAAGACTCGTCCAAAATCGTGAACTACAGGGCAGCACGGAAAGGGCGCAGCGAGACATTGATTCAGGTAAGGACTACCTGATCAGACTCATGCCTCTCGTCCACACCCCCGCCTTCTGAACGATGCCCGACACGTCGCGCACCACCAGCAGACCAGTTCAACTCAGAAAAGGAGGGCAGGTGGGCCGGCTTACGAGCTCAAGAAGATAGTGTGCGCAGCGCGCTGGGTTTGACGGCGATGTGGCGCCTTTGCATTCCAACGCTATGTTCTACTTGTTGCGACTGTCGTTAACGCTATGGTCACTTCTGCCTAACTTGCTAATCACCATCAAGTAAACAGGGCAAACTTGGCCTCCGACTCCTTCCAAATCTTCGACAACCCTTCGACGAAATCCGTTGATCGGCCGCAGTTCGCGCCAGATTCGATCACTCCGTCCGCACCGCATTCCCCTTTCCCATCAAGATGGACCGCCGAGAGATCCTCTCCAAAGGCTCCGCACTCCAGAAAGCCATCGCTGCGAAGGAGCCTTCTGGAAACATTTTGACCATCCTGCGCGACTTGAAGGCAAACGTCCGGCCCAGTGAAGAACTCCTGCGCGCCACGGGAATTGGCAAGATCGTCAATAAAGTAAAGGGAGTCCCCAATGTGGACCCTCAAGTCAGCCAACTCGCTGCGGAGATAATATCTCGCTGGCGACACGTGGTCAACGAGCAAAAGCTGGCAAGCGGCACATCTACACCCACCGCGAACGGCGCCAGATCAAACGGCACGAGTTCGCCGGTACCCCAGAAAGCCGCCACACCCACTCCGAAGGTGTCGAGTCCCGGGGTTGCACCTGATAAGCGCAACTGGAAAACAGACAAAGTCCCCCGGGACGAACTGACATCTGACACGGCGCGGAACAATTGTATTGGCCTCATCTACGATGGTCTGTGCCTGGGCTCCGAAATCCCCATGAAACAGATCCTTGAGCTAGCCAAACAAATCGAATCCGCCGCCCTCAATCTCCCTGACGCAAAAGGATCCTCAGGTTCGCCCGTATACAAGGACAAGATTCGCTCCTTGTACCAGAATCTCAAGAATAAATCCAACCCTGGATTGCGGGTGCGCATTCTGTCAGGAGAAGTCACCGCGCAAAGATTTGTCACCATGACTCACGAAGAGATGAAATCCCGCCAACAAAGAGAGGAAGACCTCAAGATTGCCAAGGAGAACATGAATAATGCCATGGTTGCGCAAGAAGAGAAGTCCGTGAGTACCTCTCTGGAGTGCGGAAAATGTCATCAGAAAAAAGTCAGCTACTCTCAGGCGCAGACCCGAAGCGCAGATGAACCGATGACGACATTTTGTGAGTGTCTTAATTGTGGCAACCGGTGGAAGTTTTCTTGAGAGACCTGAACAAGAATTTTATACTGGTGGTTTTCGCGAGGCATGTGTAAGAATGCTAGGCACGTGAGGAGTCAGCTTTCTTGGACGTCACTTTAAATTGATTTCCTCAAGCACATCAAATCTTGGGAGACGAGGGGAGACAAACCTGAGTTATTAATGGTTATCCTCGATTGTATCCGACTCCAGCAGACGAGAGGGAGGAACGAATGCTGTTCTCGAATCGCCTCTTGGGAACGCTGATTTGGTCTGAGGGCTGTTGCTAAACCACGCCGCAAATCAGTCTTCTCCTTTCAGCTCTGCTTACGAATTTTGATAATGCTTGACACCACATCCCAGGGAAAAAAGCCACCAGGGGGCGAGAGCATGTATTGGAGGAGGACTGTTCGATGAAAAACCTGTTTTAATGGTGCTCAACACGGCTCGGAAGGCTGGAGGAGACGAACAACCCTCAATTCTGGGTCGCACAGGAAACCGGTCATGAGGCAAAAGATCGGAGCAGCAAGAAGAAAGCGACAAAAAAAAGCAATTGGCGTTGGGTCTCCTGGAGGAGGCTCAGATATCCTATCCAAGGATTGTCACTGAGTTGCAGTATGTATTAAGAACTCTTAAACGAGCATGAGATATGATTTTCCCGAGCCAAAATCTCCAAATTCCTCGCACTACGAGTTCCCAGCAGCAGATAGATCGGAGTATTCCCCATTGCTTATCCTTCAGAATGCTGAGCCAACCTTTCATGGCTGGTCGTCACGAAAGAAGTATCCGCGGGCGAGTTTTGAGAGCTCATCCGAGCTCCTGGCCTGCCAACTGCATCTTTCTAGCACCGAGACCAAAACGTCATTGTCCGGAATTAGTCACCAACCCGGGTCGAGGGTTAGATAAAGGCCGGAAGGGACTCACTGGGCGAAAGGGGTTTTGCTCGAAATCTTCCTCTTCACACCCCGAGTCGGGCGGAAAAGGTCCCTATCCCGACGCGTGAGCTTATTCAGCGGGCAGGCATTCGGCTCCCCCTGGTGGCTGGCAGCCTCGTCTGGGACCCTACCTCCCCAGGTACCTGGCGAGCTGGTAAGGCTGGGATGAAACTGTTCGCACACAAGCGGGGCGCCAGGACGTATAAAGGGCCGAGCGAGGGATAACACAGATTCAATCCCACAGATGCATGTCTCGTCACGCATACACATACCTCCCGGTTGCATCCAAATAGAACGCCATCTACTACAGTAGAAGCAGAGAGAATTCAGAAGCAGCGCTGGCTGACTGACAAATGTCCACCACCCTCAAAGAAGTCTCGACAATCCTCCTGCTCGCCCGTAAAGGCAGCGTGCTCGAGCAAGCTCCATCTCAGCTCCTCCAAGCGGCAAGTGCCAGCGGCGATGAATCTTTCTCGTCTTCCTCTCCCACCCGTCCCGATCTGCGTGTCCACACGGGAAGCAGCGTCGCCGACTTGCGCAGCGCCTTCAACCAGGCCTCCGCCAAGGCCCGCGGGATCCAGCACGTCTTCGTCGGTGCAGGCCTAGAGCTCGAGAACCAGCTCGAGATCGTCAGGGAGGCCATCACGATCAGCGCCAGCGTCTGCGTGCTCTTGAAGGATGCCACATCGGGACCCGACGGGTTTGTGCCCTTTGTCAAGGCTGTCTTGGGAGGGATGCGTGGCGGAAGGGAGTTGGGAAGTACTAGTGCTCCCGCAGGCTGATTCTCTCCCTTGACTTGGAGGACCGATTGGCGTGGGTGTGGATCAAAGCTTCCGTCTGGTTGTTGGTATTTGTGTCGCGGTTTCTTGAGATCTCGACGAGGGCATGCTGCTTCTCAATATCTGTAGCTCACAGTTAGCAAGGACCACAGCATCGTCTCATACTTTTCACTATCAAAACTGGCTCATGGAATCGTATTTTAATTAAATGGAGTGATGTACTGACTTGCAGGTTCCGACGCTCGTGAGCCAATACCGTTTAGCTTGAGGTCAAGGAGACCAGATCATTCCAGATAGCCTGAAGATACCAAATCCACTGTACGCTGGAGCCCACCCTCTCAAATCAATATCCACGTGTTTGGTATCCTCGAACCCCAACTCAAGGAAAAAGTCGTGCTGCTGCGGGTTCAGAGCAGACCACAAGTGGTATGCCCTTGGCCTTTGCCCTCTCGAGGCGGACATGGACCAATTGCGATCCTATCCCTCGTCGACGGTTCGGAGGCTTGATATACGTGGGCTCTAAGCCCCTTTCGATCAGTAAAGGGCCCATGTTCGTTGATGAACAAGCTATCGTACCGAAATGATCGAGTCCTTCCAACTGCTCGGGAATCTCAGCCACCGCGTTCGAAACTGCCGAGAGAACGTCGGGGTTGAAAAATTCGGGTATATCCTGCTGCTGCTTTCCAAGCTCAGCTTCTTCGTCAGGGGTCGGTTGGCCCTCCTTGAATTCCGAGTCAGGGCGTTTCCTGGTCAAGGAAAGATGTCCGAGAATGTCTCCAGATCCCTCGTCAACCGCTTTCAGACATTCGAGCTGTTCATCTTTGAATGCTGCTTCGGCGGCAGCTGCATAGAGCGGTTTCTGGGCGGCATCATTGAGCCAGTCCTTGAACAGGAGCCGGTTGATGGGGAGAGCGAGTTTGCCGGTGTGAACGAGGTCGGAGAGCAATGGGAGGTCGAGGCTCGAGACTGGGCGGATGGACTGCTTAGGATGAGTCATTTTAAATTATCCCTTCTCAATTGCAAGGCTCTGAGAAGTCCAAGATGCAATTCTCTAATGCTGTGGATTGCCTAGGTGTTTTATGGGATGCACACAGAGTTAAAATCCTCTGCATGACCAGGCACTAGAGTTATTGAACATGGACCAGCCCAGCCTACCTGGTGAAATACAGGCAGACACGTTCCACGTTGAAAGTATCTAGTCCAGAGAAATTCAATATCATGAGAACCGCTATAGCGGCTGACCTATACCTCCTGTATTGTATTGAAGGCAGATTTTTATACCAGGCAGTTGCTGTGACCTGCCTCGACCGACTCGGCTCCGACTGGGAACAAGGGTGATACCCATGCACCAATTGAATTGGCCGAAGGACAAGACAAAGTGCAGTCCTCATCTGTAGCTTTTGTCTACTATTCAGAAGGTGATGAGAATCGATCGACATGGATGCTTCTTGTAGGTAAAAAAAAAATAACTTGGTGGCAGAGCTGGGCAGGCTTGGCAGAGGCACGCAAGAGATCATGTCCTGCCCAGCTTTCTAGGCATTCCCATCTGGGTTAGATCGTCTTGGCTGCAAAAGAAAAGGAGGGCTTGGAGGGCTCGGGGGCTATGTAAGACCGCGGTCGATCATGATATCTTGTCCCATCCTCCACCATATATAGAGGGAGGTGCAGCTGGCAACCTTGACAATGACGACTTGGTGATGTCGACGCAGCCCTGGCGAGATTGATGAACTCCACACTCGCGCCAGTTGCCATGGTATGCAGCCGCGACAGTCAACTGTTAAAACCGTGCCGAATGTCCCCAGAACTTGCATCAATATGTCTGTGCCTCTGTGCCGCTGTGCCGAACGGCGCTTCGAAGGACATTCCAAGACACTATCAGCGGAATATTCTACAAGCTTGCGCCAGCAGAACCGTTGCGAGCTACGACTGCCGCTGGAGCTGCGGCTAGCTGCTCGACAGGGCTGTTTGCCTGCCCGAAAATCCTTCAGTCAGCCTCGCATCTTACCTTTTTTGGCTGGCATGTTTCACCATATGCTCGTTACCGTCAAGCTCCTCTCTACCCAGTACTGGTACATACATTTGATACATGTACTCCGTACCCCCCGGATGAAGCTGGTAAATTGTACGAATATACCACCCAGGTAGTCGTATGCGACGAACACGAGGTCATTCTCTCTCTTCGTGAGCTCCGTAGAAAGCTTTGGACGACGAGCACCCGCATCTCGCCGGAGGCAGACGCCAGACTAAATCAGCGACCAGGTGGCCATGCTCATGCATGCCCTTGTCGACGCCACGCAATCCGCATGGTCGCATCTCGAGCTGCTCCTACCGAGTAGCCCCTACCAGCCCTCCGCCTGGCTGGTTTGTGAGTCGAGCGTGCCGCCCAAATCAGTACAACATGGACGTAAGTGCCACTCTCTCTGCCTCTCGATTCTCTACCCCTTTTCCCCCCATGCGTTGTTGTTTGCAATGTCTTTACTCGTTTACGGGACGTTGTGGCTGCTTTTTTTATTGTCTGCCGGCTTGAACTACTACCTGTGGCCAGAGCTGTGTGCCAAGCTAGCAAGCCAGTTCTTTCCCGACTATGAGCGATCAATAAAGGTTTTCCATCCCTCAGATCCCGATTTCAAATGCATTCATTTGCTACAAAAGCAGAAGAGAAGATGCAAACAGTCTGTTATCAAAACGGCTGGACATTTTGCCTCATTGCTGCGTGACGTACTCCTCGTGGGCCGTTGGGATGATCCGAAGACGCACAAAATGCTACATAGGTATTCTCAGCTCTGCCACTGTCCAACCCACCAGGATAACGAGGAAAATGTGACTGCCATGTATAAGAGATGGGAGACAGAATTGAAAGATACTTCACTCAGATCATCTTTCAGCACTTTCATCGCCTCCAAGCTGTTACGGCATCGAACGGCAAGCCACTTCCCCGCCGAAGACGAAGACGAACTACCAGAAATCGAGCGTTCTCCTGAGAGCCGTGCCTCAGGCCTGCAGAGTCCTGAAATGTACCCACAGAATAAGCGCGTCACGCCCGCTCGTAACTTTCAGAGCAGAAATCCTTCCTCTTCTCGGCAGCCTTCGCCGACATTGGCAAATGGTGATGACGTGTGCAACTTTCGCCGTTACTGGGCTGGATCGGAGAAAGGCTCTCTCTATTCGACCATTACGAAACGTCTCGACCCGGAGGAGAACAAATCTGGTTTCATTTACATACTCATTCATCCGACATTTGAGCACTATGTCAAGATAGGCTATTCGGCTGAACGTGAGAAACCCGAGCATCGTCTGGAAGAATGGAAAGCTTCGTGCAACGTGAACTACAGACTGCACAAGTCTCGCACGACCAGGTATGCTAAGCGAGTTGAGTCGCTTGTGTTTGCAGACCTTTGCAAACACCGATACGTGTTGCGCTGCAGCTCGTGCAGGAAGGTCCACAACGAATGGTTCTACATCGGCTCTGAAGAGGCTGAACGAGTGGTTAATTACTGGGTTGACTGGATTGCTACATTGTCACCCTATCGAAGCCTCAAACTCAAGCCCGATTTCGTTCGAGCAATGTTTGATGTCGTATCACAGCCTGAAGACCATAACGTCGTCACAGATCATATGAGCCGATTTCTCCACGATTCCAGCAACAACACATGGGTCGATCACTCCATCCTCCTCGGCAAACGTTCTCGAAAAAGGACTCCGCCTGCCGAGACCCCACAAGCTGTCAAGGCCATGAGGACCGAAGATCCTTCTATGAACACGCCGACACTGCCGCAGGACCGGGTTAGCGATGCTCTTTCAGAACCTGAGAGCGCACACAGTGAGCCCACTCAAATTACAACCCCAAAAGAAACCACCAACAGAATGCCGAAGACACCTGAAGCCGCACTCTTGCCAACACCTCCTGACTCGAAACCCAGAATTGTACGTCGAAGGCTCTTCTCTTCAACATCAGGCGCGCAGGCCACAGTCTCGTCTCCTCCTCTCCCATCCCGAGCAAACACGCCGCCCCCTCGCAGTCTTTCAACGTCGTTAAAACCATCCCCAGCCAGTTTGAACGAGAATGTTCATGATGCTGAGGATACGCCCTCGAAACCTAGAGCAACACGACAACGTGGTTCTGAAACCGACGCTGCTCAACGACGAAAAAGTACAACGTCGTCCAAGATGCCAGTCCATGATGCATTGTCTCCGGAGGTGAGGCTTGGCATGCCACCCGACAATGGCAAGATTCAGGAAACTTCAGGAAGTAAGGCTGCACAGGATAATTCTGACAACCAGATCGATGAGATGATGGTTTCAGACGGTGTTCTGTCACCCTTGCAGTTGCCGTCTCCCGGAGTTGAGTCCGATAGCTGCCTCGCGTAGGACGCCATCGAGTTCAAGCTCCCGCAAGGCACACCAGATCATCAAATTGTCCATACTCTTGCTCGGTCCGCGCCGAACTTGCCTCTTCACTTTAGAGAAGTCATCGACTTAACTCTCGAAGACGAAACTAATTCAGATGACGAAGACATCCGAAGAGCTTCTGCGCCGCAAATATTGCATACACCTGCGGACTTGGGAAGTAATAAGAGAAAGAACAGCTCAAGGCGCACAATTTCAGGCAAGCACATATCCATTGGTGATGCTGTGGAGCAGTAGTCGCCACTCCGCCACTCCCAGCCCGGTGCTGGTCTATGGTTTCACTCTCTCAGTGGTGGTTTCAACACCAGAAGCACAATCAAAGAAGCTGGCAGCCACCAACCCAGCCGGGCAGCGAGTGGCGCGGGTTGACCATCAATCCAGCGTTAGAGGTCTGATGGTCACGTCCTCATCGAACAGCGAGCTTGGGTCTTGCTGGGACATCACGAGGGGATCTTAGTGTCATAATAACAAGGAACCTTAAGCGCACGCTTGAGGTAACGAACCTACTGACAGCTTCCAAGAGCTCGGATCGCGATTTGCAGTATTCGAACGCGGCCGCAGGCGAGAAGGAAAAATCAGAGGATGAACCATTCCGATGGTCAAAGCGGACGGGTGTGCGTCCTATTTCCATGGAGTCAGGGTGCTTCTGCAGAGGACAGTCGCATTGTCTTCTGATTTCGTCTTGTCGTGAAGTTTCACGGGTTAACGGAACAGGGCAGTCTTGCCCAGAAGTACCATCCCTGCGGGCGTGGTATGGTTGAAGCGGAGGAGGGTGTACGCAAGGCTATAGCATTAGCTCATTTACTGTCATCATCGAAGCGATCGATACCTCCGATCCGAAGGGACTGTAGGAGGGCCGAAACGGTGTGAGACGATGGAGCAGTCGAATAAGGCTGCTCAGGCAGGCACAACCTAGGGAGCTAGGATTGGTTCTTGCTGGGGTATAGAACAATGGGTAGTTCCTTCCTGTGTTCACGTAAAATTCCTTGATATATACAAAATAATAATTGAATTCAATCCACGGGTGTTGTTTCATCTTCTCGTGCTGCTAGTAGCACAATGAGACTTCCCTTTTACAGCTATGCCCCCTAGCTACACTGTAAAGAGGTTTCTATTCATCCCTCACCATGAAATGTGAAGTAACTTACAAGGCGCGCATGCTGAACACCTATCAAGAATTGACATTGGGGGCTAAAATTGTATTCGCTTGACCACATGAACTCCGCCTAACTGGATGAGCCACTGCAATGGCGTGGCTGCCTAGTATACGTCCACCGTTAACAAGGCTGTTATATCAGATTTATTTCCAGCCTCAACACGCTATCTGGCATCATCTCACGGGGAAAACTCAACAGTGGACGCGATGGAGTTCGCATACAGTACGGGCTGCGCCGTCCCATTTTGCCCATTAGTGTGGTGTGGAATTCTCAATTCTCCGTGCGGCAGACCATCAGGTATGCCTTAGAAGATCACCGACTGGGGCCTGATCCGACCGAAACAATCACAGCCTCGTTTCTGAATCATTGGGCCAGCTATCTGGATCCTCCGCATTTCACTGTTCGGGCCCTTGCTGAGTTCCTGAACCAGGGTGATATGCGTCATTTGAGGGACAGGACCCTTCCTCCGCGACTTACCCGCCTGGCATTACTTGACGAAGGGAAGGATCCATGCGGACTGGACGAGAGTCAACCGGGACGGCGTCCAACGACCAATGGACAAAGCCGACGCTAGACATCAGAACAGTATACTCACTATCCGCCTGCTGGTTCGAGTCCTTATCTGGCAGCCTTGGACGAGCGCGGCTTGTATGATAAACTGTACGAAATGGCATGGGAATTGCGATGGTAGATTTCCAGCTTCTGTTGCCTATTTGGGCTCTACAGCTACTCAACCCCTCGGCTCTAAAGGAGAGCCGACATTCCACTAAACAGGGAGATAATGCTGAAGCATTGACAAACATAACAGTGGTAAGTCCGCGCCTCAGAACTGGACTCCTTGAAGGACCTCCACTGACAAATAAGGCATTGGGAGGGTATGGAGGAGGGTAAAATCAAAGAGAAGCGCAAATCCAGTCGCATCACATGGGCTTCAAGTACTCTCAGTATGCTTAATAGCCTTCTTTCCACATCACTTATAGCTGCATATGATGATTTCTGAATGCATTGGCCCGAATCGACGGGGACTACAGTGCCGTGCGGGCGGGCTCTTGACATGGAGGGGTCGCGACAAGGTTGTGAGGCTGAAAGGCGATGTGGAGCGGAAGAGGAGACCAGCCACAGCAGCCACAGCAGCCTAATCCAAGGACAAGCAGCGGAGAACCGAGTACTCAGCGAGTCGGTACAATTCCCTACAAGTACAAGTACTTGTACAGTAGTTGCTGACTGGATGGTGTGAGTGGGGTCGGGGGTGTATCCCCCGTAGACCTAAAGTCTCCTTAACGATTACCCGCCGCATTCAAAAGTCCAAAACAGTAAACAAAGTCAGTGACACAACTCACCACATCTTATACTATCCTTATCTGCCCGGCGACAGCTACGAGTACCGTGAGCCACCTCAACGTACAAACATATTTACCGCCCACCCTCTTCCAAGTTCTCTCCTCCATCCCCACGCGCATCCAAATTAACCACATCCGACCACCATGCTCCGCCGCAAACCCACCGCGCTGACCGTCACCGGCGAAGACATCGCCCCCTTTGAAGAAAAAGTGCTCCGCCTCCTCGCGTATGATAGGTACTTGACGACGGGCGAGGATCCGGACGGTCTGTTCCGCAACAACAACAACGACAACGCCGACGCCGACGCCGACGCCGACGGCGGGCATGATCCTGACGCGACGACGAGCGACGGCGGCGGCGATGCTGCCGGGACCAAAAAGAAAGCGGGGGTCAAAGAACACAATCCCAGCGACGAGCTCAAGCCGTTGCCGGGGGACAAAGCGCGGATCGTGAGGAGTCGCGAGGAGCGGATCATGGGCGGTGGCGGTAGTGGTGCCGCGGCGCGGTGAGATGCACGCCTAGAGCGACGGGCATCCGGGACAGAGGGATGTATACGGACGGATAAGAGAGACTGGCGTGGGACATATGCACGCGCGCCACATGGGAGCTTTGCTTGTGAAAAAGCATGCAGCCCTCCCTCCCTCCATCCGGGCACAATGGGACATGATGTCGGACCCGCCCTCAGCAAGCGACTCCGGAAAGTGTTGGGGCGAGATGCGTACGACTGGGTCAGGTCACAACCGCCTCGCGCAACAGAGAACAAGAGCCTCCTGACGCCCTGGTCAATGGAGGCGGATTCCTACGAGCGGCCGTCTACGAGCGCTGACGGAGAGAATGACAAGGGCAATGCGAGACATGCCGGGTGTTGATCTTCTTGGAAGGATAGGGTTCGTGTTTTGGAGGGAAAATTGACCACAGGATACCAAGAATCATGCGCGATCTCCTCTGAAGTTGACAGGATACTGGGGAAGGGAACGCCCTCACCCCGGATAGCTCGACACATTCAGTGATATCTTCTTCGGTCGGTCGACCGGGACCACAAATGTTGCATGGTTTATTCCATCTCCCCTGATACAAATACAAGCCAGCCACCATCACTCCTGTTTATCATCCTCTACCCGCGGTTGCTTCGACGCACTGCTGTCCTGATTGTCTCCATTTGCGGCTTGCTGCTGGCCTTGCCCTTCTTCAGTAATGGTCTCCATCCTATCCGCATTCCGTCTCTCTTCCTCCTCGCGTGCTCTGCGCTCCCTCTCCAAACGATGTTGCTCTTCTTCCATACTCATCCGCAATGCCATGGCAAGTTCTGGATCTGCCGCCGCATCAATGCCGAATTCATCAAATCGACTAGCTCCGCCCCCGGACTCGACGCCTTCCATGCCACCGGCTCCAGCTCCCATTTCCCCACCCACGCTGACTATAGGCGTGGTTATCAGGCTGTCGCTGAGCAAGCCCGGTCCGGGAGGGATGACGGCCAGATAATTTCCCTCTCCAGACGAGCCACCCACGGCTTCCACAAATTTCTCCAGTATTGATTTCGTAGTTGATTCAATGGCATCCCCAAAAGCCACAAAGTCGACCGAGACGTTGTTCTTCTTGCATTTCTTTGCCAGCTTGATCAGTTCCTTCTCTGTGTCATTCTTGTCCCCGAATTTCGGATCCAGTTCGCTGCATATCAGAACGACGATCCGTTGTCGTTGAGATTTGTTTGCTCTGTGATGGAGGGCCAGCATCGCCACACTGATAGCCGTGCCTAGCCTTATGTGACCCTTGATCTTGGTTTCATGTAGACCTGCCAGGATCGCGCCGAAGTTGCTAGTAGGGGTTGTGAGGACTTTGGGACCTGTTCCAGCCATGGACATGATACCGACGGCGGATTCGGGATTTGAAGACGTCTTTGCGTTGAAAATGAGTGACACGGCTTCTCTCTGTGCTGAGAATCGGTCAGGTCTGCCAGACCATTAGTAGCTAGTCTTATTTGACTTTGGGACTCTCATACAGATAGTCACCATTCCTGCTCGTTTCGCTGTTGTCAACAACGATCATGGTGGCTTCGAGCACCATGATGGCGGTGTTGTGTAATTGTCGACTGGTGGGAGTTCCGCAGATACGTCAAGGGTTTCTGGTCAAACTGGAGGAACAGCGAGAAAGCTAGCTGGATTGGCGAGGCCACAGAGCTTGTCAAATATTCAAAAGAGGATGTTGCCGAGAGAAGTGAGGATAGTGGTGATCAAAGAAGCTTTCGGTTTACTGCTGCTGGCCGGAATCTGGGGGCCGATGCGCAGGCGCAGACGCAAACGCGTCAATCAGCGGGAACAGACGCCCGTGCAGCCTTGGCGTCCTCGATGCAAATACTCCAAAGGATGTTGTTGCTTCCGCTCACTTGCGATTGACTGGCAACACTTGGCATCCACTGGAACCTGATGTAGGAACTGGGCTGGCGGTGCATGGCGACACGAGAACAGATATGAACTCGCCTTGAGAAGACCTCTTCTCTCTTTACAGCTGGCTCGTCTTTCTCGTCACAAAGTCACAATGTAAGTTGCCGTTTTCGCAGGAAAAAGCCTTCCCCTCCGTCGTCCCCCTCCGTTCAGTTGCTTCCGAGGCTTGCATAGAGAATTTGACCATTCTTATTCTTCCTCGTCGTGTGTCACAGGCCCGTCTTCGCGCTCCTCATCATCTCCAAAGCCGGCTCGCTCATCTACCACCGCACCTTCCCGACCGCCGCCCCGGGTACCGCAGCAGGGAATCTCACGGGCCAGAACCAGACCCAGACGGTACAGGGCACGCTGGGCCTCCCGGGAACATCTACGCTCACGACCAACGATTACCTCGTCCTAGCCGGCACATTCCACGGCGTCCACGCCATCACCCGCTCCCTTACGCCTAAACTGCCAGTGACAACATCCGCAACCGCAAACCCGTCGGGCAAGACCTGGACGTATCCGGACCCCACCGTTGCTCCCTCGGGCATTGAATCCCTCGAATCCTCCTTCTTCCGCCTCACGGTCTTCCAGACTCTGAGCGGGACAAAATTCTTGCTGTTCACCGACCCGAGCATGCCCAATACAGATCTCCTCATGAAGGGCGTCTACGAGAGATACGCAGACTACGTGTGCAAAAACCCCTTTTGGCAGATGGAGATGCCTATCAGGATCGAAGCGTGGGACAGGAGTCTGGGACAATGGCTGACGAGGCGGTGAGAATTGTGATATTTCTTTCAACATGAGAGAAAATCTGGAGATTACGCTCCGAGAAAAAGGGTATGTTGAGAACAACCATGTCCCGCGTCGAGCATAGCTCCTGCGTGAAAGGAACGACCTGCAAGGAGACCCCACTACATCACTCCTCCGAGATATGACTGAACATGCTCACCTGTGGCGGAACATTGCCAGCGCGGACGGCGATATACCTTATGGCCTGTACGCGTGACGAAAACGTCGACGAACACTGAAAAGAGCAAGCAGAATCTCGCATAGTCTAGTGTGGACGAGGGCTCTCACGAAGAGATAAGTATGGGATTGATACAGGTCCCTGAATCTCTGCGAAATCCCCTTTGCTAGAAGTCGCAGGCCCACTTCATTATTTTTTTTTTCCCGTCGCAGCGCGCTGATATAGGCCGAGCGCGCACGGGAGAGAGATACTTTGGCCGAGAAGCCAAGGATATTGATTCTATGTAGCCCTTTTTTGGCCGGCCTCAATCCAGGCTACGGAATCAAGAGGAACATGGGGGAAAGCAGAAATAGAATCAAGTCAAGAAAAGACCATGGACCCCAAGAGAGGATATTCTGATTCATAGGTAGAATCGCACACATGCATGCATGCATGCACAGTATCCTGACTGACTGACTGACTGACCAAACTCACCAACTCACCAACTCACCAACTGAACTGCATCATTGCAGTAGGCATACTCCGCACAGCTGAGGCCGTGTAATTCCTCTCGTTCCCAGTCATTATAATAAGTCATTACCGCCACCACCCACCACCCACCACCCACATACACAAATGTACTCTTATCCTCCATGCCCAGAGCCTTTCCCTCCTTAATGTGTGAATCCGTGCGAGTGCGTAGCTCAGTTGTTCTTTTCATCCGCTTTGCTATTATATGCTTGATGGATGGATGGATGGATGGATGGATGGATGGATTGATTGATTTCCCAGAAGCGGAGCAAAGGGACCTCTTCGTCTTTGATTCGACATGACCTGATACAAATCAAACTACTGCTGAGCATAATCCCACCTCCTCTTTAACCTGCCTGCGTCAATCACATTGGCTACGCTCTGCTGCCACTGTTGAGGCGTCACGAGCATTGGCGCCCCTCCCACGCCAGTTGTGGCATATGCAGTCCCCGCAGACATTGGGAGCTGTGAGTTGGACACCATCGGCGGCGACGTATCTTGGTATGACTGCGGCTGCTGTGTGGCAAAGTAGTGTTGTTGCGGTTGCTGCTGTTGTGGCGTATAACTCGGCAGTGAGGTCGTCCCGTAGGTGGGGGAATTCGTCGAGGTGAAGCTCGCTTGCATGGAATGCATGTTCCCCGGAGGTGAGGCACCGCTGCCCCCGTACAAGGATGGAGGGGGAGCCAACGCAGACGGAGGGATGGCGAACGCCGTATCGAACTGGTCCATGATCGGGGTCGGATTCCACTGGATTTCCGTCGCCGAGGTCGGTTGCTGGTAATATCCACCCGCAGAACTCGGTATGGTTGAGTAGGGTGTCTGTTCCAGTTCATAGTTCTGAGCATACATGGGTGTCGGAGGTTTTGAATCGGCTGTATAGACCGAGACAGGTGGGGTGGCGAGGTACGGAGTCTGGCGTGTCATCTGGCTCAGATGCTGAGATACGTAAGAACCAGGCTGTGGTTGTTGTTGTTGCTGCTGTGGTTGTGTCTGTTGTGTTTGTTGAAGATCGGCAAGCTTCTGTCCCTGTGGTTGCATCGGTGGCTGTTGTCTTTCGAAGGACGGTGGAGATACAGGAGATGGTCGGGAATGTTCAGAGGGCGTACCATGAGGGAAGGACTCCTTGAGTTCAAAGGGTTTGTTGACATCAGCTGAAAATGCCGCTCGAAGCGCATTGATTTGAGCTTCTGTTTCTGGCATTGGCCAAGCAGAGACACATCGTTCGAGAATCCTCATTTGTCGGACAAAGTAGTCTTTTGCCTCGAAATTGAATTCTGGATCCGGGGAAGAAAGCGCAACCAAATGAATCATGATGCAGGTTAAGATGGCGTAGATGGTGAAATTGATCCCTCTTTGCATAACAAGCAATCCCATCAGATCGAATTTGGCCAAGATTCCTTCTTGCAGTCGACAAAGTATTTTAGCTGAGTTGTAACAAACACTCATATGATCTCTCCACTGACTATCGGCAGCGAACGACTGAGACGCTGACAACTGTGGCCGATGGAGCATCACGATCCCCAGCTGATAGTGAGAATGCATGTTTCCTAGAAAATGCGAGGTTACATTGGGTGTTGCACCCGTGGGAGGGAGTGGCAGCTGCAAGTCGGGTGGGAGCTCATCAGGCCATTTCTGGAAGGAGGCGTTATATGCCACGAATTCTTTGTCCAGAGCCCAGTCCTTCTTCCTCTGCAATTTGCGGTGGACATCCGTGATGAGACGGATATTGCGGACGTTGCGGACAAAGTATGCAAATTGCCTCGAGATCGACCTTTCGTAGTCGTCCAGCTCAGAACACGGCGGATTTTCACTGATATCAACAGAATTCGGATCTACGCCGAAATCGGTTCGCCCTGCACAACCGTTAGTCGATCAAGGAATGGTACAAAAAGGACAGCCAAATTCACCCTGCGGGCCTCCTACCATGGTCTCACAAACCAGAAGAGTCTGCCAGATTCGAGTCTTGGTCAGGCAGTCGACGGGATCGGAACTACATGACTGTCCCAGCGAGTGTATTTCATAGTGTTCGTGCAATTCAAGATCTTTCGCCATCGTAATAGCCGTTTTACAAGTCATCCATGAACGATAATAGTATCCCCTTTTGGGTGCGCTCTCCCGGGCTTTGAGCAGAAGCAACAAGGCCTGGAGGTTGCTCAGCGATGGACTGTCCAGAAAGAATGGCTCATGTTCTCCCAGTTGTCAGCAGCGCACCGTCAAAAGGACTTATCTGTACTTACTGTTGGCTAGAGCGAGCCATTGTGCGCCTTGAGCTGGGTCGTCAGATAGTCGACCTGCATTGGCGAAAACGGCCTCCAATATAAGAGGAGATATCGATCCTCGATCGGTATGCCACTGATTATAGAAATGGCTCCTGTTCAACACCGGAACATACGGGTGAACGTTGTTGAAGTACGTCTCAAAGGCCTGCATCGCCTCCTCCTGCGACGGCATCAGTGCTGGCGGAATCCTTATCTGAGAGCCCGCATCGGTACTGAAGGCAGCCGCAATCTTTGGCTCAGGGTCGGGTTCCTGAATGGGGGGGTCTAGCTCTTTGCTGCTTTTCTCCGATCGAATATAGGGCGCCACTCCGCTCTCGCCGATCTTCAACTGGCCAAGGTGTTCCATAAGATCTTCGGCGGTGAATTGGTCGATCGGGGAAGACCCAGCGCGCTCTTGTCTGAAAGGCTTCTCATCGTGTTGGGCCTGCGCATACGTTTGAGTAGTATTCTGATAGGGGTCATGCAGCGTTCGGGGGAACCGATGAGAATCCGAATAATATCCGTCGTAGGGCTTTTCCGTGACCTGAAACGATGGCTTCTGGTAATTGCTAACGTAGGCGTCGTAAGAATATGTATCTCCTTGGTTAAGTTGGAAGGTTGGCGCCGTGGGCGCATAGCTCTGACCAAGTTGCTGGCCAGGCGCGATCGATGCGGCCGAGTATGATGGAGGTCCGCCTGTCTCTTCGACAGCACTTCCGGGCGCAACATCTCCTGAATCGCCCTCGAGTCCTCCTGCCGGAGGGATGCATTGGAGTTTCAGCCGCACACAGGCGGCGCACGGCCAGGTGTTGGTTGTGGCGGAGTCGCATTTGATTTTCCGCCGGCGACATCCTTCACAGGCTCTCATCACCTTGAGCCGCTTATGTCGGTTATGCTCATCGACAAAGACATAGTTCTTGTGGCCCGGCGGAGGCGCGGATGACAGCGAATAGCTCTGCATGATGGCATCTCATCCACCCGGACAGACACCACATTGGGGTAAGTGCGAGAACGGCGGTTGCCTCGATCGAGGAGTTGTGGCCGTGGTGGAATTGTCCCGTATCAAATCAATGACTAACTCGTGGATAAGCAGCTGGGCAGCTGGGCAGCTGGACTGGGTATATAAGAAAGGCTGCAGAAATGAGATCGGTCGCAAAAGAAGCCAGTTTTGATGTCCGACCACAGATGGGGAGAAAGACCAAAGAGTGCGCTGGTGCGAACGGCAAGTTGTCGACGACGGGGGGGGCAACCTCGATTTCGTGTAGCGCAACCTCGAAACGCTTCAGAGTCCAGACCTCGGCACTTTGGGAATTTGAATGGGCTCCGATGCACAGGTTCAGGCAGAGTCTGGCTTGTGATCCATCAGACACTGGGCAGGAATGTTGGCAGAGGCAAAATCTTCAGTGAGTTGGAGGCATCAGGCGTGATGATGCCTGGACCATAATCCAGTCTTGACACAATTGGTTTCCGGCGGCAAGCGGGCGGAAGGGTTGACAGGACACGGGCCTGATGGCCTTCCGCACATGCGAGTGCAAGGGGATCCCAAGTATCCAGTACTGTCGGTAGCCTTTCTTCCAAGAAGTCGGTGCCCGCGGGGATTTCTTGGTATCCTATCAGCCTGATGGGACGCCGCAGTGCATTCGCGTACTTGGGTCAAGATGGCGCAATATCACCAGATGCTGATCCTCAAAAGGGGAGAGAGGGTCTTGGGTCAAGCACAAAGTACAAGCACACAGTACCAGAGTAACATGGAATTGCGAGCAGCTCCAAGCGTCTCAGATTTGAAGAGTTCACGGTGGTGACAGTGCCAAATTGGCGCTTGATTTCTTACACCCAGTTTTGGTGTGGTGAACGGGGTGCAAGGGTCAGGAAGGGTGAATGCGGTTCGGCGGACGACGAGTGGTGAGTGGTGAGTGGTCAGTGGTGAGAAGTGAGTGGTGAGTGGTTAATTGCGTGGGTGGTACGGAGGCGGCGCTGGTGGTGCTGGTGGTGCTGGGGGTGCTGGGGGTGCTGGGGGTGCTGGGTGGTGCCGGTGGTGCTGGCTTGAATGGACCAAGGAATCAGCGTTGAGCTGCTCACTTCCTCAAGAGTCAACCTCTTCACCTACCCAGTACGGCTCACTGCACCCCTACGCGCCCGCGCACCCTGCTCAGCTGTTGCTTTTGGCCTCCTGCCTCCTGTCTCCTGCTTGGAAGGGGCTGCAATCGCCGTCAGCCCTAAATGCAACCTCAGGGAACCCAGCTTGAACCAACTCCTTCGGCTTCAAACTCGCCGCCCTCAATGGCCTGCGCCAGTCGTGCTGCTCTACTCTCTACCAGGCCCGTGACTGTCGCATCCCTTTGAGCACCGAAGGGCAGATTCTTGCTCTGTGCCTGGTAAGATATGTCTAGTCTCGTCCAAGTCCAGGTAGCGAGAGCGCTCTCGGATCCTCGGTATATTGGACTGCGCCACCAGCTTACGGGGGAGCGGGCTACTTGGTTCATAAAAAACAACCATCGAGTGCTACAGTATATCGACGAAAATTCTGCGAGTGATGTGGCCAGATGCAGATTCTGGTCCATCTGCCGCTGTTGCCATGGCTTTCGTGATACCTAGGATCATTGTGCATGCATGGAGCTGCTCCTTAATTCCTGGTTCCAAGCCTCAGGGGTTTCAGGGCTCTCTACTCGGGACTCCCTGGCTCCAGATGGGTTGGATACTCGTCGCAGGTCAAACAGGCTTTCCCCTGAATTGTCAGTTGCAACAAACTACGAGTTCTCTCTGACCATGATGGTTTCCAGTGTACCGAGTGCATACCCCTAACATTCATTTCGTAATCGGTGGACCCCCAGGAACAAACAATGCTTTTTGCCTGCGCCACGACCACCGTTGAGATACCAAAATACCTAACACGAAATGCTAGAAGTAAACACTGCTAAGTTTGTGGTACATGGGGCGTCTTGTGCTGGACGCTTGTCTCGATGATCTTCTAGGGGGGCAAAAAAGCACTCCGCAATACGGAGGACTAAGTTTACATCTCAACGTTCTCTTCTTACCCTCGTCTTCAGACTTTGTCAATCCGTTCACCAGCATACCTACTCGAGGTATAGGTAAGCATTTAGATAAATGTTTCCGTGGCTGAGGCAATTGAAAGGGGCACCCATGACTGATCGGCGAATATGGAGTTCCGCTACGGTGGAGATGCCAGGTCATTTGAACGGAGAGTGTGATGCGAGAACATCATTTTGTCTAGAATGGCGAATATGTCAGGTTGGGATGTCTTGTAGCTGGATAATGCCGAGCGTCGATCTGAATTAATGTGTAGTTAACCTAATAGCCACCTCTCTGTTGGCGGGAAGGCCCGTCTTATCCGAAACTTCGGGCGCACCGCAAAGGATCAATGCGTACCCTGGTGTCATCGGTCATGAACTCTGAAATGTCGAGCTCGGCAGATGATGATTTGTTCTACCTACTGAGATGTATGTACCTCCGTCTTCTGCGAGAATTTCCCAGAAGCCACATATTGTGGATCCCAAGAACTTACAGGCGGAACTCCGCCAGATACTGTAAGTCCGCGATAATATGTGATCCGCCTGTCATCAAAGCGGGACATTTTTCTTCGGCGCAGACGACCGCCGCAGATGGGAAGGCTGACAGCAGTGCATGTGGTGAGATTGCGCTACTTTTAATGTACCAGTAGGTATTCCGCAATGGCGTCCAAGTCTCGCGATCTTCTAGAATCCTTCTCTTTGGTGCCACTTACAGGGAGGAACAGGCTGACTGGGTCGAAAGAAGTAAGGTTCCAGAAAAATTGAGTCGAAGGCGAGGGCGGTGGATCGCAGCGGGGAGCGTCAGCTGTACATGGGCGTGACAGGGGGGCGGAGAAGGAGGGGCCATTCATTGCCACGCCGGAAAGGGAAACCGGCATCAACTTGACACTCTTCTGGTCTGTGTTTTGATATGCAGTCGGCGGCAAGGCTGAGAGTCGGTGCTTGGACTTCAAGGAATTCTTTCCGGCCCTGGCCGAAGAACGATCAGTGAACTGCCTCGCTGCGTAGGAGTACAGTAGCAAGAGTCCAGGGTGGCTTCAGCTACCCCTCGGCTAGCAAGGTTCGACAAGACAGTGCCAAGCCGCGAACCACGTGACCTATTCCAGAATTTACATCGTTTTCGCCTCGATTTCGACGTTTCTGGCACAAACTCCATTTACCAGCTCCTTCAACACCAGCTCGTACTCTTAGCCTCTCAATCTGCCTACCTAATCTAGACCTTTCCTTCTTGACAGAGCGCCGTCTAGCTAGCCTCTGCGCGATGGAAGACGGAAAGAACGCGAACCCTTTGGTTCTCAACCCATCCGATCTTCCAACCCGAAAACGGCGGGCATCAGTCCGAGATGACCGTACTCTCGGCCATTCGACCTTTGCATACCCTGCGCCATCATTTGCGGTCGACCCTTTCACACGTCCGGCCAGTCCGTCATCCCTCGAGCCAAGTGACAGCGACGCTGAAGAAGAGCCCATTGATGCCCAGGAGATTTACGACTTGATAGCCACCATGTCGGATCCTGAACATCCCATTACTCTTGGCTCCTTGGCTGTCGTTTCTCTTCCCGACATCTCCATCAAGCCCACCATTCCGAACCGTCCGAACTCGAATCTCCAGACGGTCACTGTCCTGATCACCCCTACAATTCAGCATTGCAGTTTAGCCACCGTCATAGGGCTGGGAGTGCGGGTCCGGCTAGAAGAGTCACTTCCACCGAGATTCAGGGTTGACGTCAGGATCAAAGAGGGCACACATTCAACCGCGGATGAAGTCAACAAACAACTAGCGGATAAGGAGAGAGTGGCTGCAGCGTTGTGGAACCCTACTCTACAGAGTTTCATCAAGAAAATGCTCGAGACCTGCGAGTGAAAAGAAACAAAGCGAGAGGAGCTTGGAGACGATGTGCATTTGTCCGCTGAGGCGGATGATTTCGTGAAAACTAAGAGCCAAAGTTCATCCGACGGAAGAAACCGTCAAGAAGCGGACATGTACAGGCAACAGTCGCCTCAAGGCCGGCGCCTTCGAGCCCTTTTTTTTTTTTTCCTCTTGGGAATCTGTGTCCGAGAGCAGCAGGTCCGAGTTCGAGGCGCCACATGGAGGTTTCCGGCAACTAGCATCCACAGCCTTTCACGTGATGCTCTATTTGTGTAGACACGTTCACATTTTGCGACTTGCATGATGCCAGATCCCGTTCCCTCGACGGCGAAGATTCCGTATCAGGCCACCTGTGTGTCATGATTGCTACCCAGACAGGGCGAGGTGCCACTTTGATCCAGGGGTGCCAAAACAACCAAGGAACCTGTCGATATAGACAGCGAGAATGGTGGTGGTGGTGGTGGTGGTCTGCTGCTGACGGCGCAGGGACAAGTTGAGGGCGCGGCTTCCGTGAGAACTCAATTGGCGATATGCAGCCACTCTACACAGGAGACTTGTGCACGGGAAGGCCAACTGCACACTCAGCATTGGCAGATATGTCATGAATACTTATAGATCATGTGTCAGGATACCAAGGCTGACAGAGGTGAATACGGGCTCTGGGCACTCTGGGCATACGTTGCGATGCAGATATCTTCGTTAATGAACATCCGAAGATCGCCAGAGTTCAGTTTAGAAACAGCTTGGCCATGAGACTTGCCGTTTGAAAACCAATGCTAATCCAGTTCAGGGAAAGCCCATATCAGGTGATATGACCGGTGATACGGGGCACCGAACCTGTAATTTCCTGGAAGAACATCCGACTTTGGGGTTCCTATGACCTTCTCGACTTTCCTCCCTCAGGAGTGGTCCCAGAAGAGCTCTCTAGATTTCAGTTTTGTCCATATTTCTGCGAAGACCATCAAACGACTACATCAAAGGCGCAAAGAGCAGCGAAGCTGGGAGTCGACGTCGGGATGGCATCAGAAGGCGGATTTAGACGCTCCAACAGTGTCAGCGACCTGGACTTCATTGCGTATGCCATGTCTGCACATTCTAGACAAGGAAGTTCGATCACGTTCAGGATTTGTTTCTGTTTTACCGACCCTCAGCCAGCCATTGCAGTGGGTCGAAGGCTGGCAAGTCCGAGGATACCAGCGGCGAGGGTGGACAAGTGAGCAGCACCTCTGCGGCTGGCCTACATAATTTTGGCCAGCTTTCTAAAAGCAAGCCCATTCCTGTCACTGCTTTGCTTTTGCAGACAGAAGAAAAGGGGGTAGCCGTGGACAGCAACTATCGACCACCGCATGCAACGTCGAGCTGCAGTTACACTCTCCGGGGAGCAGGCGGAATGCTACTCGGTACTGGACGTGGAGAATTGACGCCGGCTCAGTGGCCAAGATGATGCCAGGACCCCCTGGAGAGTGTCGATAGGTCAGCACTGATTGGTGGGTAGCGTGTCAACTTGGATTTCCCAGGTGTTGACTGCCTCAAGATGCGATACAGCGAGTTTTTGATGCTGTGGACAGCAAACCGGGAGCATTCTGCTTCTCATGGCGAACATGGCCGAGCACAGGCGCTTCGACAACAATAATGGATCTGTCAGTCGGCAGATGCAAGTGCTGCAAGTGCTGTCAGTAACCGATGTCTCGAGGGAAGCATTCATCGTGAGGTCCTTCGACTCCGCAGGACACATGATGGAGCCAGAACATATCTGTCTCCGGATGCATCTCCATGCTGGCTGACCACTACTGCTAGTGTGATGATATATTTTCTTTTCTGCTTTTAAGGACTCTACGAGATCACCTCCAGCCCGAAGCGGCGGTGCAAAGCGAGTCCTGTCAAGGCTGCGGCAGATGCTTTGGTGCGCCTGGACCGCGACAACTGTGTCCTTTTTTTTTTCCCCCTTCAGGAATGTCATCTTCACGAATCAAGATGAGTGGATGTCTATCTGTTATGCACTATACACTCACTGACTGCCGGCAGACCTGCTCAAATGGCATCTATTATCTCCAGGTTGAATCAGATGTGGCCAAGTGATTTTTCATCTGCGACTTTGGCGGGAACAGGGATTCATTCAGACGGTGCAAATGACATGCAGAGATCAGACGATGCTGTCGGGTCGGTGTTGAATATCAATCCACAACATCTCCCTCGTTTGTACAGCAGAATATGCGTATCTCAGATTGTATGTAACTGAGGACCCTTCCATCCGTTGTCGAAACGTGACACACGTAATGGTCAGTACCGGGTACCGTGTATACAGCATTACCGCGTAACAGATCCTGATCCGTGCCGATAAAGACCGCTAGATCAGAATCGGACAGCTCGACGCCTTGTTGGTGGCTTGGCATGTACTTGTGCCCCGTCGCCGGCCCCGTTGTCGCTGCGCGAAGGGAGCACGTGGGGGAATGCACATTCTCCATTGGTAGACCAAACCTAAAAACCACCTCGCGTCGTGGTGCAAGATTCATGGATACGGCGCCGCAGCTTCTTCAATTCCCCGATTTTATTTTTCTTTTCTTTTCTTTTCTTCCCCCCCCCCTTCGTAAGCGATCACACGATATCTTAGTGGTGATGCTGGGTTTGAAGAAGATTTGCCCAAAAGGCATCTCCATCAGGCCCCATGGCGACTGGCGCCGCTCACACGCCGAGTGGATGGGAACAAGCAAACACACAAGCAAACAAGCAACAAACACCGAGCGGCCTTAGCGAACCACATACAAGTACAGTACCCAGTACCTCAATGCCACTAACGGCAGCCGCAGGTTGATGCAAGTGGCACCGGTTATGACGGCCAAGGACGGGGGAATTCAAGCACTTCAAGCCTTTTGGTGCCTTGAGCCGGACTCAGATCAACCTCAGCTCCACCGAGCTATTTGCACCATCACCGATCTCTGTTGTCTGTCTTCCCATGCCCGTACTTAGCGAGTAGATGGCAAGGCAAGAAAAGAGAGAGGACGCGATATCTGCGTGTGTGCACCCCAAGCCTGTGTCCTGTCTAATTGAATATTCAGCCGTGACGTCCATCCACCCGTCATGAATATCCTCGTCTGTACCTCGTAGTGGCGAAGATGCAGATGTTGTCGCGTGTTCGGGGCTGTTGAAGGTTGACGTTGCCGAATCGTGTGTCCAATGTTAATTTGGATTTGTTGTTTTTTTCTTCTTCTTTCCTTTTACCGAGTAGTTCTTCCTGCGTTTTCGCCTTCACCTTCACCTTCACCTTCGCCTTCGCCTTCGCCTTCCCACTTCCCACTTCCCACTTCCCGCCCGTCAATCTCGAGACTTCTCGGTCTCGCGTGTTGCGCGTGTCGTCCCGCTTAGGATGACCCTTGTCGGTAATGGCCCATTACTGTACCTCCCGTCCCGAGTACGAGGGAACTGACTTGCTGATGAAGCCTTCTCCAGGGCTCATGGTCCCATTCCATGCTCATCCCATCGCTCCACCTACAACCCTACACGGTAGCCTTCGTCTAACCTCTCGCCCTCTTATCATGCATCCTACCGCCCGCTTTAAACCTGACAGGTCGTATCATCCACCTGCAGCACTCGCCCGCCCCTCCCGCCCCAATCTCATCATCCTCGAACCCTTACATACCTGCGCCGATTCCAATAACGTTGGCACGCTGCACGCCCATCGTGAACCCTGACTGCACTGGCCGTCGCTTGTCGACGAATGAGTCGCGCCCTTTGCAACTCGTGGCTCTCTCCATGCGGGTTTGGGCTGGTGAGGCCCTCGTCGAGGACGTGTCGATTGGATCAGCTGGGATCAGCTTGCCCCTGCAAGCCATCCGTCACTTCCGTGCAACAAGCCTTTTTATACTCTGGCCTGGCCCTCTCGCGCTGTTGCTTAGCTATTGTCCGTCCACTGTCAAGCTTTGGCCAATCAGCCGAACTGCCTTGGCTGTCGTCAAGATCGTTTCTTATTTTTCGGGTCGCCTCTCCGCTTTTCTACTTTCTAGAAAGCCGCACTTCGGTTTCCCATAAAACCGCCCTGGTACCCTTCTTTTAACTTTGGTTTCCCCCCCCCCCCTCTCTACTCAATACCTCTCCAAAAACTGATCACCACTCCCTCCTTTTACCTCCCGCCAGCTGAGCCCTGTGTCTCTGTTGTTATCTGTCCTGGGGTATCCTTCCCAATTGATTGATATACACCATGGCTGGCGACGGAGAGGACGAGGTCACGAGATTTGGGCCCAATCCTCCCCATGGCCCTGATGTCTCGGGCACTCATGCTCCCTTTGAAGACCCTCACCTGGACATGACCACAAATGAGAAGGACGTCTTCCGATACCTCCTCAAGCCCGACGACCTGTACGACGAGAACGGCGTCTACTGGGCTGACCTCCCCATCATCAAGCGGGTCAAGTTCGTCAACCAGGTCAACAGACAGGAGACCAAGCGGGAGTTTGCCGCCTTCTGGCAGGTCTTCAAGAACGACCCCCTCGCCCCCGTCGGCTTCTACCTGCGCAACATGGTTCTTCCCGGTGCTGGTCTCGGTCTCGAAGGTTACGTGCTCTTCTCCATTGGCAACATCAAGCCGCTCTTCCAAGCCGCCTTCCCCGACTGCTGGAAATCCAACAAGATCTGCAGCAAGACCTGGATCAACGCCATCGACTACCTCGAAATCTGCGGGATTATTTGTGGTCAAATCCTCGTCGGCATCATTGGTGACTGGATCGGTCGTCGTTGGGGGCTGATCCAGGATGCCACCATCATGTTCATCGGTCTCATCATGCTGGTCTGCGCCTGGGGTGTCACCCAGAACGGATGGGTCATCTGCTACGCCTGGTCCCTCTTCTTCTACGGCATCGGCGTCGGGGGAGAGTATCCCATGACCGCCACCTCGGGCATGGAGAACGCCGTCGGGTCGGGCAAAGTCTCGACCCGAGAAGACCGTCTGCACAGAGGTCGCAAAGTCGTCAGCGCCTTCTTGATGCAAGGCTGGGGTCAATTCTTCAACCAGGTCATCCTCATCATCCTGCTCCTGGTCTTCCACCACGGGAGCGGCAACGCCCCCTACTCCAAGGTCGCTGCCCAGTACACCTACCGTGTCTCCTTTGCCATCCCCGCCGCCGGCACTGCCTGGTTGATCTACTTCCGTACCTTCAAGATCAAGGCCAGCGCCAACCGCCAGTTGAGAATTGCCAAGAAGAAGAACGCCGTCACCGGCTACGACGTGGAATCCCTCAAGTTGACCTTCTACTACTTCGGTGGTCGTGTCATCGCCACCGCCGGCACGTGGTACATGAATGATGTCTTCTTCTACGGCAACAAGTTGTTCCAGAGCGAATTCATCGGTGTCATCATGCCCCACTCCAAGTCCATCATGCCCGGCTGGCTCTACAACCTGATCAACGTCGGTGTCTCGCTCTGCGGCTACTACCTCGCCAGTTTCTTGGTTGACAACAAGCTCTATGGCCGCAAGCACATGCAATCTCTCGGCTTCTTGATGGACTTTATCTTCTTCATCATCCCCGGTACCCAGCTCAAGTACTACACTTCCAAGGACCACATCAAGGAGTTCCAGGCCATGTACTTCTTGTCCTCCTTCTTCCAACAGTTCGGCCCCAACTGCGTCACCTTCCTCGCCGCCGCCGAAGTCTACCCCGTCGCCGTCCGTGCCACCGCCCACGGTTTCTCCGCTGCCGTCGGGAAGTTGGGCGCCTTGACCGCCGCCGTCGGCTACAGCTACTGGTCTACCCAGACCAAATTCTGGGTTGTCCCGTGGTTCGGTCTTGCCGGTGTCATCATCAACGTCCTTTTCATGCCCGACACCACCGGTCTCGATCTCAAGGAACAAGAACGCCGCTGGGCCTACATCCGCGCCGGTCGCGAGAAGGACTACCACGGAATTGCCATCCACCCCAAGCATCTGAGCCTGTGGGAGCGTCTCCGGGGTGTCGGCAAGCCCTACGACCCGGAGCTCGACTTCAAGCAGCGCATCGAGGAGATGCGTGGTGAGTGGGAAGCCCGCATGCAAGCCAGGGCCGAGGAGAAGGAGCTCGACGACCTGGCACATCCCGACGATGAGGACTTCCACTCCGAGGTCTCGTCGTACTTCAAGCGCTCCACCAAGTCACCCAACCTCCAGGGGATGGAGAATGAGAAGGTTCCCGACGAGGTGGGGTTGCCTCCCCAGAATGGCGCCAATGGTATCTAAACTGTCTTTGTTTGCCTCGGATTTTGGACATGGGAGATATGCGACACTAAATAACGGGGAGGAGTGGATGATGCGGACGCCTGTGACCACCAAGCCATTCTTTGCACACCTTTGGGGAGGGAGCAAAAGCAGGATAGACATTCTTCGCTAAAGAACAAGCGTGCGTCTGTGGTGTGTTGTGTTGTTTCCGTGAACTGTGAGCTGTGGATGCCATCAAGGGGCACGACTGGATTCTGTGGACGTAATGTGTATGCGTGTTGCTTTTGCGTGTGTGTTTGTGTGAGAGAGAGAGAGGGAGAGAGGGTGAGAGAGATCCCACCCCCGAAGCCCTAACCGACAAACCCAGCTCGTAATCTGTGATAAAACCATTCTCTTTCTTCATTTTCTCTCTTTTCCTTGCTTGTCTATTGATACCATGGCTCTACGCCCGATAGCATCATACACAAGTATAGACTGGTACGGAGTACTGATAATACAAAAATGTCGAAAATCAACACGGACGGGCCATTTTTGTGTATGGGAAACCAACGATCGCCCGACTTGTCAACCAACTAACCGAGTGATTGGCACTACAGTCACTCGCCCCAAGGATAGAACAGAACGTAGATGACATCATACGAGGTATATCCCCTGTACGCCTCATCCCACCCGGTCTAATAGGAGGCGATGGACGGACGATGAGATACTTAGTACTACTCGACTCGACTCGACTCGACTCGACTCTATGAATATATGGTGATGGTAATAATGGGGAGCTTATAAAGAAACTGTCTTGACACGGAGCTGAGGACATCTCGCCTGCCCTGCCCTGCCCTGCCCTGCCCTGCCCTGCCCTGTTCTGCTCCATTCGATATATTCAGCTCTACACACAGCCTGTATCCTTTTCTCCTTCTCTCCTCTTCTCCGCCCTTCGTCTTCTGGGGTTTGACTCTGGTAAACTTCGCCTAAGCCTATTACTTAGCCGCCCGTTGGGACCGAGTACTGACTAATGAAATTCAACCTAACCCAACTCTGATCTACTCTGACCCCACCGCACTCGGCCCGCCACGCCCCGCTCCACCCCCCGCCTCTCGGAAACGATTCAAATACTTTTGTACACTTGATTCATCACGCGTGGCATATCATGTGTGCGAGTGGTGCAAGGAACCGTGGCGGATACGGGGGACTGCACACTACGCACTACACACTACACACGACGCCTACTCCTTCCATGCTGTCCCGTGCATACGACTCAGCACGAGTTCTTGGTCAAAGTATACCTCCAGGCACACATCGCACCGAATATCGGTGGCACTGTCATGGAAATGCAATGGACAAAGACCATGGGATGCCCAAACAGGACATTTCGATTCCCTCATCTAAATTCTCGTTATCATTGCGTCGTCCAACCCCCGACTCCTGCTCCTTTTCCCCGCAGCCCCTCCCCTCCCCTACTCCTCCTCAGACACCCATTCCTCCTCCTCTCCCCTCTCTCTCCTCCTCTCAAGTCCTCCCACGACCTCCCTCGCCGCATTCAACGTCCCCTGCATCCCTTCCAACAGGCGCATCAACTCCGCCTCAACCTCGTCATTCGAGGCGTTGGCGGACATTGCGGCCGTACTGGGAGGAGATGCAGGTGGCACGAAGGCGACGAGGGGGCCGTGGGCACCACCAGCAGGAATCGCCGTTGCATTCGACGTGACGGAAGAGTTCGAGGCCCGGTGGATGTTGGCCGTTGCCGGATGAGAGTGAGTAGGGCCGGGAAAGCCGTCTTCGCCAATGCGGACCGGCCGACCCAAAGCATAAGGGGCCGGATGGGGGCCAGAAGCCGTCAACGGCGTGGTTGTTGCCGAGGAATACCCGGCAAGCATTGTCCTCCCTCTTCCCGAGTAGAATCCACCCATATTAACGTCTTCGTCCATTGTGGCAGGGCCCGGATGATCGCCAGCGTCATCGTCGTCGCGTTCAAGGCCGAATGGATCCACGTCCGTAGACGAGGCCGAAACGTCACTGTACGCTTCAGACAGGGCGGTCGACGGTCGAGGGATCTCCTGTTCTTCAGCTTGTACAAAGTCGCCGATCGTCACTGGCATGGTCATTTGGCGCATTAATGGGGCCGGGCGAGTTGGCGTCGGTCTCGACGCGGCAGGCTTCTGGTATGTGATAGTGGTGGGTGGAGGAGGCGATTCCGCAGCTTCTTGCTCTTCGGAGTCTTCGGCAGCTTTTGCTTCAGCCATGGCCGAAGAGAACGACCAATCCATCGTATTGTGCTTCTTGGTTTTTTGATTGAAGTTGCCTTCTGCCTCGGTCGCTTCTTCCGATGGGCCTGGGAGATCAATACCAGTTGGCTCCTCTTCTGACGGTACGTTGATTTGTGGGATTGTGACTGCGGCTTCGGACATGGCGTTTTCGAATGACCAGTCCATTGTCGCGTGGCCAGGTCGAGAAGATGTGATCTCAGCGGGCTCTTGCAGCTCAGGGGCTTTGTTTCTGTTCTTAACAGTCCAGTCCTCTTGAGACATTGCAAAGTCATGCGCCGACGTGCTTGGAGGTGCGGCACCCTCAGCAGACGAGGCTCTTCTGGCGGTTAGAGATTGGTTATTGGGATCCCGCGGACCTTTGGAATTAGCACGCTTCTCACGGAGTGTAGACGCATCTGCGAGTCTGATGGTCTCTTCCCTCATGGGCGTGGCGGCGTAAGCAGTCTGAATTTTGTCATCTGTTCTCGGTGCAGCTGCGACAGCATAGTCGGCTTCGTCAAAATCTCCTAGGTCAATGACATTGGATGCGATAGAGCTGGGCCGGTCCTCTTGCATGGCTCGAAATGGTAAGTCAGATATGCGACGTTGCTCGGGAATCGGAATGAAATCGGTTTTGGTCTTGTATTCGTAAGCAGGCTTGTTCTGGTCAAAAATGTTCGAGAGGTCTGCTCCCCGCTTGACTCGAGCTTCAAAATTGGCCTTTTGAACTGCTGTCATTTCTTTTGGGGATGAGAGACCACCAGGTCTGGTTAACCCCTTGGGTGTTTGTTCTCCTGACATGGTGTCGTCGGGAGACAAGTTCGAAAAGTCAGGTATCTCTAAGATTGCAGAGACGCGTTTTTCGAAATCTTGAGTCATACTAAAGTTCCATTCGTCGTCAGGGTCAATGTCGGCATCAGGACCTTGGGCAGAAGCAGCCGCTGCGCCACCGGGCATGAACAGAGAGATTCTTTGGCCGCCACCGAACAGCCATGCGTAGTATGTTTGAACGAGCTCGGTGAGCATACTTGTCGGATGAGTCGCTTCGGTGTCTCTGAGGAGATTGTGTTGTAGAACATCCTTCATCGATGGTCGCGTGGCGGCATCAGGAGTAAGTGCATAGGAGACAAGAGAACGTAGACCATCGCTGAAGTCCTCGTTCTCCGGGAGAGAAATAGCCTGCTTCAATCGTCTCATCCTCATCTTGAGTTGTTGGCGTTCGCGGAGGTCGCTATTTGGCGGCCGTCCCATAGCACATTCATAGATTGTGCAGCCGTATTCCCATACATCTACCTAGAGACTGTGTTAGCCTCGACCTCTAACCAAGAAGCACTTGTTGTTCCGCTGCCTATCTAGAAAATGAGGGCCGTGGAACGTGGGCGTGATCGCGCTTTTCTGATAACTTACCTCGTCTGAGTACTCCGGATTTTCTGTCCACAACTCCGGCGGCATCCAGTGCAAAGTTCCTATGAATGTCTTCCGCTTGTCTGTTTGGGTGTCGAGAATTGTGGCAACCCCAAAGTCACACAGTTCAAGGCGACCTTCTTGGTGAATGAGGACGTTGGCAGCTGGAACAAAGACAAAAAGTCACCATTAGATTCGTGCATAAAAGGGGGAAAGAAGCTAGCTTATATGATATAAAGAAGTCAAACGTACCTTTCACATCTCTGTGCATGATGCCTGCTTCATGGAGACCTTTTAGAGCCTTCGCCAACTCTCTCGCGACGATGATAATGTACTTTTCAGAAAGTCTGTCGTTGGTAGCGCGCATCTACAGAAGTAAAAAGTCAGTCACACTCGCGCTTTTAAAAGTCCAGTCAAAGGGGTCTTGGCAAGTTTTAGCGATGTTGGCAGGCTCTCATTGCCTGAATTTACAACATGTCTCTCAAAAGTCACTGACCAAAGCGCGGACAATCGCGGAGACTTACCAGGGTCTTGACACTACCGCCAGGGCAATATTCACACACCAACCATAGCTGGCTATGCACGGGCAAAGCTTCGATCATCTGGTTGAGATTTTCCGCTCCACTCTCTTGAGCTTGTCGCAGAATACGTATTTCCCGGTTAAAGTCCCGAATTTGTTCATCTTTGTGGTCGCCAAAGGCATGAAAGTCGGCTTCATCGATATCGAGGACTTTGATGGCAACGACCTTTAATGTGGAAAGTTGGCGTCTGCGCGAGGAGTTAAGGCAGGAAACTTCAAAGGTCGAAAACCCTGAGAATGGCTCACCCTTTGTACACTCTACCAAAGCTACCTTTACCAATCAACTCATCAAAAGCATAGTCAGGCTCAAGCTGCTTGGATCTCTTGCACTTCTCCACAACTGCTCGCTGTTGTTCCTGGGCAAGACGGACCGCCTCACGGCGGTGTGCAGTCATTGCCGAAGCTGATTCTGGATGAAGACTATCCATTGCGAAAGTCGCGCCTACTCGACGTCGTTGTTTGAAAGTTTTGGTTCTCTTCAACCGCGTATCAAATTCGTCCGCTTCTGGACCGGATTCGAGGATTTCAAGTGTCTTCTTGCGGTGTGCGGTGATTTCAGCTCTTTCCTTCTCTTCAACTCGTGTTGCAAGGCGGTACTTGGTGGCTTCGTTGAATGACTCTTCTGAAAGAAGGCGTCGGAGAACAAATTCACGGGTAAGTGGTGGACACTCTGATTCTGGAGATTCAAGGACAGCTTGGCAATCTCCGGGAGCAAGATTCTTTCGGGATCGATTTTCCGCTTCAGTGAGGGCCGAAGTTGCTGGGGATCTGGTCTTTCGAATGCGAAGAGGAGGTGGAGATAGCTCTTCCCAGAGCGCTCTATCTTCTTCTGGTTCGGGCTCAAACCTTACAGCAGAAGTTCGGCTAGTGTCAGTGGGGTCACACGAAAGTGGAAGGCCCGCTGGTCGAAGAGGTGACTTCTGAGGAAGCGGGGGAGGTCCTGCAAGTCCCTCACTGCTGAGTCGGAGCGGCGACTTGACAGGACGAAGGGAAGGTCTGGCAGAGCTGGAGTCACCTGATGACTGTTTGCCGTACTTATGCCACCAGCTGTCTGGTCGGAGAACTCGTCTTGGCGCACGAGAAAGGGGAGGACCAGAGTCCTTCTGGTTGAGTGGTGTTGGAGAAGACTGTGATGAGAGACTGGATGGCGAAAAGTCACTCTTACTGTCCCTTGCTTCACCTGTAAAGGGTGAAGATAAGGCCGAAACGTCTGGTGGAGTTGCGACTGCAGAATCTGGTGTCTCTGGGAGATGCTTGTTTGCTGGCGAAGGATTTAGGTTGCCAAGACGTCTGGGACGATGGGAAGGTCTGCTGGGAAGGTGTTCTCTGCGAGAGCCAGCAAAGAAAGGGGAATGTCTAGATCGAGGTTGGTCGGTATATGCGTCACTTGTCGATCTGGGCGAAGAGAGCAGACACGGAGATGTCTGTTGATGGCTGCAGTCCTCTTCGAAGGCAGCGTGACTGTATGGAGAGGCTGTGTCTTGTTAGCTTATCCCATCTGTCTATGTCCCGCGACTTCTTCGTGAGATCCGCGTCATATTTCTGGTTGAATTCCCCGGCGCCAGTGACGAGGACGCTGGTGAATGTTCATTTGGACGACGGAATGACTTACGAAGGGGTTCGGAAGCCTCGTCCTCAGGGGACTTTTTCTTTTTGTCACCTGGAGACATGGATATCAGTGGTTGTCGAGATGGGCCAGTAGGCGGAGGAGAGAGAGAGAGGAAGCATTTTTGACATGAGGAGCCAGGGTTCTCCCATGTCGGCTCTGTTGCTGTATGATCAAAAGACTTACCTTGCTAAGGCGGCGGAAACAGTGCTGTTTCGTTCACTTCATAGGACGACACAAAGGCGTACCGCACTGTCCCAAGCTAGCACAGTCGTGCAAGTAGCGCCTATGCTTTACAGCACAAAGACAAACTGTTCGAACTGATCTTTTACTGGGCCATCGTTACTGAAGACTGGATGTTGAAGGGGGAAGGCTGTCGTTGGGGCAGATATCATCCAGCTTGAAGCCCTTCTCAACCACACTTGGCTTCAGTCTGGACAGGAGCACCGCCAGCATCCTTCTGTCGTATACTGTAGTGGTAGTAGTCCGAGTTCTCGATATGTGGTGGCAGCGGTCGAGGCGATACAAGTATGTGGACGACCACAATTGGAAAGAAGGACAGGCGTGGAAAAGGGGAAAGGGCTTGGCGACGCGGTGCTATACCTAAAGATTACTAGCGTTGACTGATCATCTCAGCCTTGTAATGGCCTTCACGAGGCTGTGACGCCATGATGGGACGGTCGGTGGTTGGTCTACTTCTGCTTGTTCAGCCTACGTTCCTCGCGGTTCTGTTAAAATATGTACAGACGTGAGCCTGAAGTTTTTAGAACAAAGAGTTCGGGCTATACTTTTGATACTACCGCAAAGTGTGGCAGCACACCTTGAGCATATATTACTGCCATCCATCGCTCAAAACCCCATCCGCCTCCTTGGGACTATCGGTTTCTTGACCACTCCATGGCTGCCCATCTTCTTAACCATGGTTGCACCACTTTTCGCTCTTCCAACCAACAGTCGCTCTTTCTCTTCATCTTCCTGGCGCCTTTTCCCCTCTCTTGCTCGATCCTCGGCCATTTGTCTCTCGATCTCCATCTTACGATTGAACTCACTCTCAATGATCCTCTTATCCTTAGCACTATACTCCTTCGACTTCAGGCTGTAGAAGACACCACCGAGGTCTGCCAGCCAATGTGGGTCCACAGCTGTGACACAACTCATATACTCTTTGCTAGTCAAGATCAGTTCGTGGTAGACGACATAATCGGGCGGATCTCCAAGCCCGTAAAGAGCAGAGGTGGGATGGAGTTGGACTGTGACGCTAGTACGCAGGTTGATGTATTCTCCAACCCCTCGTCGACGGGCGGCCTGGTGATAATATCCAGAGCATATGCACTTTCGTATGATATCCCAGTCTGTTCCACACGAAACGAGCTCCATTTTTTGCAGGCCAACCATGATGTCGTGCAATTGCTCTCGAATCTCTTTTGCACGGCGTAGTGCTTTGGGATGTAAGAAGTGCCGAACACACCAGCCATCACTGTACCCGTTACTTTTCCACTGGGTGTACACGTGCAAAAGTGTTAGATGGTCTGACTCGTGCACGAAGAACTTTTCTCTCGCGGCGTCTGACTCTTCTTGCCTCTCTTTTGGCCTGTAAAATACAGATGGTACAGAGAGCATACTGACAATGGTGAGCATCTCCTCACTGCAGCCATATTCCGTAGAGGATGTGATGAGCATCTTTGCCAGTGAGGGATCCATCGGAAATGCAGTCATCGTGCGGCCGATCGATGTCAGGTCACCAACGTGGTCCAACGCCCCGAGGGCCCAGAGGTCGAAGAGAGAGGTGGTGATCGTGTCTTGCGGCGGAGGATCCATAAAATCGAAATCCAATAAATCTTTGACACCGAGTGACTTCAGGAGCAGAACCGTGTTTGCCAGATTCGTCCGCTGGATTTCAGGAATCGTTTGGATGTACAACTCATTCTTGAAAGCTTGCTCAGTGTACAGATGAAATGCTTTGCCGGGTCCGGTGCGGCCAGCGCGTCCCGCCCGCTGAGAGGCATTGGCTTGCGAGATCGGAGTGATTTGTAGCGTATCCATACCCATTTTTGCATTGTAGACTTTCAATTTCGAGAATCCGGAGTCAACGACGTACATGATCCCATCCACTGTCAGTGAAGTTTCTGCAATGTTGGTGGCAACAATGACCTTACGGACACCGGGCGGGGCAGGATCGAAGATTTTGGCTTGGAGATCTGCAGGCATTTGAGAATATATCGGCAGGACCACGAGTTTCGGAGGATTAACTAGCAGGCGAAGCCTCTCTTCAATCAACTCGCAAGTCACTTCGATGTCCTCCTGGCCTGTCATGAAGACGAGAATGTCGCCAGTGCCCTGGGAGACGTGAATGGAGAGGACCTGCTTGACGGCGCTGTCAACATAGTCCTCACACGGGGAACGAGAGAACTGAATGTCAACGGGGAACGTGCGGCCAGGAATGATGAATTCTGGCGCACCTCCATAAAAGCGAGAGAACCTCTCCGAATTCATGGTGGCAGATGTAACAATCAGCTTCAAGTCCCTGCGTCGGGCAAGAACCTTCTTGATCAGACCCATCAGGACGTCGGTGTTGAGAGCACGTTCGTGAGCCTCGTCCATAATGATGCATGAGTATTTGTCTAGATCTCGTTGAGTCAGGGATTCTCTAAGCAGTACACCATCTGTCATATCTGCACCACAGTCAATAATGTCATTCACGAAAGGAAGGGCGGAACTCACATTTGATCACCGTCTCATCGCTTGTGCAGTCCTCAAAACGAATAGCATACCCCACAAGTCCGCCCAACTCGACTTCCATCTCCTCGCTAACACGCTTTGCGACACTCATGGCAGCAACTCTTCGGGGTTGTGTACAACCGATCAAGCCATGCTTGCCGTAACCTTCTTCGTATAGGAACTGAGTCAGTTGTGTCGTTTTCCCCGAACCGGTTTGGCCAACGACAATGATGACCTGGTTGTCTCGCACGACTCGCATTAGCTCCTCTCTGACGGCAAAAGCTGGCAGATATTCTCTTTGCTCCTTTAATGTCTTGCTTTTGCTGAATGCGGAGCTGCCCGTGCTCTTCTTGAGATGAGTTGCAAATTTGCTTTTGCCGCTGTGCTCATCAGGTACCGCAGCAGCGCTGTCACCCTCATCTTCCCTCACACCCATTATATTGCCTAAAGCAGTGCCGGCAACGTTTGTGGCTTCCTGCGCCTGTTTCTGTCGCTCCTTTTGCTGACGTTTTTCTCTCACAACCTTGCTCCCTTTCCGACTAAAGACAGCCATGTCACTCTGAGGGTCCCGCACAGCTGGCACTGGTTCGAGCTGTTTTGTAAAGATGGTCTTCCCATCTAGAAAGGGGGGTCTGAGGTCATGCACCAGTAGATGCACTCTAACAGCGTCATCATCGTCGAAATCTTGAACTTGGTCACGCCTCTGTGCAACACCGGATGTGAGCATTCGGTTGGCTTCCCAGGCGTCAACCTCCTTCTGTTTCTGGGCTGCCTTGGCCGTCATTCTCTTGCCCAACCTCTTGTCCAAACGCGCCTGTTCGCGTTGCTTGTCTGCCCAGGTAGCATCTGCACCACCGAAAGGATTGTGCGTCTCGTCGCCAAAAGTGTGGCCAAACTCGTCTCCGGTGTACCAGTCGCGGTCCATAGCCGCAGTATCCTCATCGTTGAAGAAAGGCTCCGGGCCATCAAACTCTTGTTGGTGTGGCTTTGAGTGGTGCAGACGGCCATGACCTCTGTCAGATGTTCTCGCGAAGCGGCCTTTGGATCCAAGTTGAGGCTTTAAGGATGGACCCAGATCTTCGCTCGAATCGGTGTGCTCAGAATGGAAGCCTCCTGCCAGTTTCCGCCTCTTTGGACTGTGACTGCGCTCCATTGTTGAGAGGAAAGGAGTTATTGGGTCTTGAACCGTATGACAAGTCAGTAGGCGGTGGCAGGAAGGACTGAACCAAGATGTTGATCCGCAGAATTAGTACCAGCAGAAAAGGTTCTCCCGGGGTTTATGCGAAAGCCTTGCGCACGAGCCTAGCGCACCACCACCGGCACTGACCATCAAACTTGCATCCCCGCCTCCGCAATCCTAATCTCAACTTTTTGGACTCTTCCGTGTCGATAAAATGGCGTCAGGACAGGAGGTAGCTCTCAAGAAACAGCAAGGTACCTAGGGCCCGGTTCATTGCATGCTTTTACTAAGAGATCACCAGACCTCCAATCGCAGTACACGAACTACAAAAACACCCTCCAGTCGCTTGCGCAGAAGGTAGGCGAGATTGAACAAGAGATAGAGGAACACAAGTCAGTCATACCCATCTTGTTGCCACAAGTCTTTGGGTTATGTTTAATTTTCAGACAAGAGATGCCAAATACTGACAGCTCGGCTATGGGTAGACTCGTCATGGAAACACTTGAACCACTCCCTCAGAATCGCAAATGCTTCCGATTAATAAACGGAGTACTCGTCGAGAGGACTGTCAAAGACGTTCTGCCCGCCCTCAAGACCAATTCAGACGGGCTGAAGCAGGTCTTAGAAGAACTCCTCAAACAATACAAGAGTAAGCAGGATGAGATGGACAGATGGAAGGCGAGTTTGTGACCAATGTCTTTGTTGGACATTCGCTGATGCATGAATACAGAAGAAACACAACATACAGGTTGTACAAAACCAATAAAGGATGTATACAAGGGCGTTTCGGAAATGCGGTGGATACTTTGGCGTAGAGATAAAGACAGCTCCGGAATTCAGGCTGCAAAAAAAAAAAACACAACTCCTATGCTGGAGTCAAACTAATCACTCAGGACATGTCGAACCTGTGAATATGATCAGGTCAAAGCAAGGCGTGGTCATGTCATCGTAAACTCGATCGGTGACTGCTCATGCTCATGCGAATGCGTGTCTCTCTGAGGCAGCTGCGAGCCTTTTCATCTATAATTCAGTTGATCGTTGCCTTTGACCTTGATCAACGACACCTCCCGTAAGTCAACAACCCACGACTGCAGCTCTAATCGCCGACCATCTTCTTGCTCTGTGTTCTTCTTCTCGACTAACCAACCGGCTCCTGGTTCAGCCTCATTGTGACCTTGTTGTCGCCGCCTCGACGACAGCCACACTCGACCATGGCGCCTTCCGGGGTCATTTGGCCTCCACCGAACGGCAACGCGTACAAGAACCACTCCAACGGCAACCGCTCCCGCACCGCGTTTGCAATTCCTCCACTTACCAGTCGGCCACCGCTATTCTGCTGTCCGGTCGCAGAGAGTAATCCGGCTCACTTGCCTCGAAGCTTCGTCAACCCCGGCCGCCACTTGATGAATCTTCAGCTGCGATCATTCCTCGAGTGCGCCGACGATGCAGAATACAGCTTTCCGAAATGCGAGGTATCCCACATTGTTGAGGTGACAACGAGGGCTCTACACAATGATACTTTGCCATCTCATGGTCGGCTAGCAGAGCAGCAATGGAACATCCCGGGCGAACTCAACAATACCTCTCGGACATCCTGCACTCCCCCACTTGAAGAGAGCGAGGAAAGCAAAATGGCGCTCGATGAGGAAGAGTTGGGCAGTGCAGAGATTCCATACAGTACATATGCGAGCATGTCGACCAGATACTTTATCACCCAGAACAGCAGCAAGGCGTGGCAAATCCCGCCCCATTCTCGATCTTATCGAGAGACCCACCCCGAGCCGAACCCAAGCAGGGCGAGCATCGAGAGATATATGGAGATACCACCTTTCAAGACAATGCCATACACTTCAGAGGGTATTTCGGGAGGAGCAGGCGCTCGACCATGGATGCCGTCGTGCTCCATCTTGATGTGGTGTAGCAAGCACAACAAATTCTACGAAGTGCACGTGTTGTCTTGAGCCTCGATCAGAGGAACACCAGGATAAATACATATCTAGCGGGCAGACAGTCTCACCAGCCTCCGTATCATCACTCGGGGATGGGGAGAGAGTCGGCTCTGCTCAGGCAGTCGCCTTTATTTTACCGCGTCGACCCGACAGAGGGATGGAACTGGTATGCTATTTGCGATTGGGGCTGCGAATCTTTCACATCCCGTGGGCCATAGCTTCAGATAGCAGCTCAACGATGACGAAATTGAATCCACCAGTGTCTTTCTTCTAACCGTGAGGCAGAGTGAAACCTGGTTTGACATGGCGTGCTTTGTGGTGCAGACAAGTGCACATCTATTTGTGTGCGCAGAGAGCTTGAATGTCCGGTGTGAAACTAGACTACGGAGGAGGTGATCCCAGTATTGTCCGTGACTCCGAATCTGATATAGCTGCAAGGCTAACGGGGATCGCTTTCTCTCACTGGTAGTCGCCATGAGAACATCGGAGAGAAATGACAGAGCTGGCCGATGGGGCGGTATGTACATAGTGTCATTATCAGGGCCCTAAAGGTGCGCTTGTCTTGCATCTTGCCGGAGCCGGCGCTGAAGAGCTCGACTACCACCTACCCTGTACATACCTAGATAATAGTGCAACAAGTTCTCTGCGTCGATTCTGACCACGGCTACGCTTTAAGAGGAATGCTGGCGGCCTGAACATGGAATGTAAAAGTGCAATGTGCCCAAGCACCACATACATAACTAGGTACCTCGTAGACAGAAGTGGTGTGATGAGGATATTCAATTCAAGCCTTTGTACTAGCAAGTACTCTGTACCCAGTACCCAGATAGGTAGGTGTGGTAAGCTACCGAGTACTTGTGGTTAGTGGTTGCTAGGTGCAATGCTGGCTCGCTAGGCTGGCCCGGTACCTGTGTCATGCTTTGTGTCTTGGCCTGGTGAGCCCTAAGTCCTTACTGGGTATGCAGGATGTGCTTGCCAGGAAGCTGCCAGGGTTCGGTTGCGAAAGCCGTTGTCTCTCCAACTACTCGGCCTCAACCTGCTCAACCTCCACCAATTGCCGCCCCTTCCCTCAGAAGGTCTCAACCATGCAGTTCTGACAGTCATCAGTCTCTGCTTGAAACCACGCACACACACAACACGCACCACACATCACGCACCACACATCTGGATGAGTTTCGAACCCGCACACAAACTCCAAGGGCTGCCCCGCTCCCGTCCTGCAGCTTGCCTGCATCCTCGTTGTCGAACACGAGAACTCGTGAGCCACCAGCACCAAGAGCTGCAAAGGAGACAGGTCCACCACCACCTACCACGACTGCCTGGGGCAGACTCCGCTCTCTGACTGGTACTCTTTCTCCTCCGCGCCACGTTCTGCTGGCTCCGTTCGTCATGAGCGACAACTAGTCTCCCTTGGCTCCCCCATCAGGTTCCATCGACCAGGGATCCAGCGTTCATGGCGCGCCCAAGCTCCAAGCTCCAAACCAGTAAGCAGGGGTACGAGGTGCTCGTACCATACTGGGTACCTTCCTACCTACCTGGTACATCAATGAATGGCCCAGAAGCAAATCGGCTGCTTCCCAGTGAGTCATTCGCCACTCTCCCGGGTCTCTTTCCCACGACGACACCTGATTCGATTCCATACAGAACCTCACTTAGGCTCTCTCCCTCTGAGAGGCCAGTGAATCGCAGGGAGACCTAGCAACAGAGGGGATTGAGGAGAACCTCAGGGAAACTGCCCACACAAAGCGCCTGCGCTGAGCTTGCTCACTTACTACTGGGGTTCGCTGCCTTTTGCCTCTAGGTAGGTACAGTACCTACGAGTCGCGAGGGACCCTCAGAGACGAGTCTATCCAAGCCACAGCTCCACCTTAGTGGCCCGTCCCATCCCCATCCAAAAAAGAGTTCGCATCGTCCCAAAGCCACCGAGCACTCATGATCGATACGTATGGCAGTCAGGAGATCTCTACGGGCCAACGACAATCCTTTCCTTGAGCACACATTCTCGAATACCCAGCGATTCTATGCGGGTATCCATCTTCACCTCTAGTAGCTTCTGGCCCTCTACTTGTTAGTATATTGGCTGTCTGAGCCCGCCTAAACACCCTGCAGAAGCGCTTTGATCGCTTCTTTGCCCCAAAATCCTCCTGTTGGCTTCCCATCGACGCCACGCGGCCACTGGCATCGTCGTGCGCCGCTCAAACCTCAATCGACCGCCCTGGCACCCCCTTCGGCGTTTCCACCTACATAGGCGCTTTGAATATCTTGTCTGGCCTGCCTTTCCTTGCAACCTCAACTCCTTGCAAACTCCTTGTCGTTCCTCACACTCGTTACTCCAGGACCCAGGTACTCTAGGTGGCATTGGAATCTGAGCCGGCGGGATTTCAATTTGTAAACTACATGTCCTGCAATCTCCTCTTTTGCCTGTCACTCTTTTGAAGACTCTCGTACAGGATCTGGATACAATTGAAACGGGCGATACGTCACCCAGTCGCCACTGGATTTCACACCCTTTCCCTTCAGTCACTTGATTTTCCAACTGAAGGAAGAGCTTCTTTGTCTGTTCAAGTACTTTAAAGCCTCGCTGAAACACTGAAAGTGGTGTCTCGTCAATTTCCATCCAAGACAGCACCTGGGGATCTACGGCGCATATCAGTGAAGGTCGGCCCAAGAGTAGGATCATTTCAGCGAGACAGCAAAATTTCCTATACTTCGACCTCTGTAAGTAGTTCCAACTCTCAACATATCCTTGTCTTGTATCAGGGCTAATACTTCATAGACCCCAAAATGTACACTATCAACTTGCTTTCTATGTGGATCACGATCTCGCTACTCGCTATTGCTTCCGCAAACCCGATCGTCAGGAAATCGCTCAATCCCAAGCTCCTCAGCATTAGATCACCCCTCACCAACTCAGCCTTTTCAGAAGACTGGCCTACCAATGTAGTCATGGTTGGAGGGTCCCAGACTTATGGCATGTGGGTCCCCACGGATGGAACCTGGTACGATTTAGGGGGCATTGAGTGTCTCGGCTTGCCTGCATATGCGATTGGCGACTGCAACGATATTACCATCGACCAGATTGGAGTCGTGGCAGGATACGGACCTTGCAGTTTCGTTGGCAGCGACGGCTACTCCTCCACCATTCCAGGCAATCCTGGCGACGGCTACTATACGGTCGGCCCGCCCCAGAACATCATGTCTGCTGCGTGTGGTCCGGCATGATTCGATCGACCTCATCAGCCACATCAAGCCTCCTATCACGAACCAACCGACCTTCTTCACGCGAAAATGAAGCACGATAATAGATCTCGTTGATTGACATGTGCTCCTCCTTCTAGCAAGCCACACTGCGCGCCTCTGGTAGCGATTCACCCTTCAACGTACGCTCCGATCTGGCTCAACCTCGCTCATCGAGGACGACCGGTCCGACAGAGCAAAGATACATCTCCATCGTACCTCGGTTGCGACACAAAGAGGGACGAAGCAGACTTTTGGGTTTGGGAGCAGATCCAGCTGCTCGTCAAGGGATGACGGTGATTGAATGACTCAATGATCAGCGTTTTCGGGGTCAGTCGCCGAGGAAACAATCAGCCATGCGGCGACGAACGAACGCACGATCGACCAGGCACTCGGGCGAACGGACAGATGGGGAACGGACATGAAGATCTCACCAATCCAGCTTCCCCTTTTAATACCCAGTTAGCAGAGGAGCCATACAGGCCCAATCAATGCTTTGATCCAAGTTTCTCCATCGCGCTCTCTCTCTCTTTTTTTATTTCGTCTCTCTCCTCTCCTGTATCTCTTTCTTCGCGCGCGAGTACGCGGACAATCCCCAGTGTATATGACCATTAAATTCCATACTATCTATAAGTAGGTCCGAGTTTCTCGAGGGGTAAGCGGCAAGCCAAGGCTGATTTAAATAGATATGGCTGGCTATTCCTTAATCATCTGGACGAAATATAACCACAGAACCGTCGTCATGAAGTGTATATAAATTGAGGGAAATGCTGACTCTCCCTGGTCACTGTACCATCTGCTCCGTATATATAAATATGTATCCTCTAATTTACGCGTCTAAAGAATCAAACATGAAGTCCAGGCACCTCCCCGGGTTCCAAAATACTTTCGGCCCCGCCCAATGTTAGTTCGTTCTGTATATCGTCTCCGATACCATCGGAGCCGTGTCTGTGACGAAAGGGAGACGACAAGCACGAACGTTGGTCTCATTGTATCAGAGGAGCCGACTGATATGGCGATTCGTCGTTATCACGCCGGTGGTTTGAGGCTCCCCTCATCTTGATAAGTAATTTTGGAATAGCTGCCGATCAGCTCCCATGCTATAGGAACAGCCTGCGAACACTAGCCTGCCCAGCCTGCCCAGACTGCCCAGGCCCCTAGGCTGGTGGGTTACCCAGCGCGCCATGCCTCGGTTGGTGCTGCTTGCCTCTCGCTTGCTCCTCCTGCGGCTCCCAAATTCAGACCCTCCTCTTCTCACCTCCCCATCACCGCAGTCCGAGTACGGAAAATCTTCGCTCTTGATCTTGGGATTGCGTCGCGCTTTCCAAACCTAGGCCCGAAATCTCTTCCGAAAGCGAAGCCGTCAGTTCACAAAGATAGGATCCAAGATCAGGCTGGTGAGGTCAAGGTGAGTCAAGACTGCTTACGCCTCCGCCCCCAATTGAGGTGAGGGTGCCGACAACAAGGTATATAACTTGGTTTGTGTAACCACACCCATTGCGCCGTAGACGCCTGTGCCGTCTGATTCGACTGTCCATCGAGCGCTTAAGGCTATGTTTGTTGGGCAGACGAGGCATACTTGAACTGGTTGAAGGCCATATATACGAGCAGAGCCCTCAGGCGCGTGCAGCGTTTCATGTTATCATCGCCCTGGCTTCCAGATGGCCACGCTCAGCCGTAAGGCTCGACCAAAAATTCCATCGAGCATTTTTGCCAGGGGCCATGGCATGGGCAGAAAAGGAGGAACTTCCTCCTTCCCCGTCATCGTGATCCTTTTGTGTGTGTTTGCGCTTCGTTCAAGGCTCTGAGTGCTGCTCTTGAAGTACAAGTACACCATGGCGTTCTCTACGAGCGCCCCAGCAGGCAAGCACGAGGCAGAGGAAGACTTGATCATTATCAACATTCACCGCAACGCTCATCGAGTGTTCTTGCGCCGCTCTAGGACGGTCGACCTTTTCAATCCTTCCAGGCACATTCCTTGGAAATATGAATACCTCCGGAAGCACGAGGCTACATCACAGGAGCTGTCGACTTCAGAATACAGGGGGGGTTTTCGGCGGCCTTCAAGTCTTCCAAGAGTTCTGCGAGCCCATGCTGATGATGTTCCTGCGTTTTATCAGAACCTCAAATTTTCGCTGTTCGGATTGGCAACTTCCACATTTACGACCATAAATACCAGTGGTCAGTTCCGAAGCAAAGATTCACATTCTCAAGTCAGATCAAGAGAACACTGTTCACATCACGGATCAATGTTCTCCTCGTCTGCATACCAATTGGTCAATGCCTCCGCGTTGTAAGAGGACAATCGGCTTCGACATTCACGTTCAACTTTGTCGCTGCAGTCCCTCTGTGGTTCTTGTGCGACTATGCTCTGGAAGAGATAGAAAAGTACATTGCTCGGACACTGTCGGACATTGTGGACATTTTCACCACCAATACCGCACAAGTGATTTCCAGCTATCTTCTGCTAAAAGCTGGAAAGGTGGCCCTATTGCAAGCTTCCCTTGTTGGCAGCATCTTGAGCAATATCTTGTCCCTTCTAGGTCTTAGCACCTTTGTCGGAGGTCTGCGGCACCACCCACAGAAATTCAATCGCACGGGCGCACAAGGAGCTTCTGATCTGCTGTCCATTGTTGCCACAAGTGTTCTGATCCCAACGGCCGCGAAGCATCTTAAGCAGACAACTCAGCAAAATCTAGTACTCCAGTCACATGGCGTGGCTTTGGTGCTGCTCTTCATTGACCTGTCCTATGCGATATGCCAGATGTGGACCCACAGGAAGGGGTACAACGAGCGAGTCAATGAGGATCAACCTACCCCGAGGAGGGCCTGCGTAAATCCCTCTTTCCGTCCGAGGAGTACAGCAAGCGGCCGGTCTCTTAAGAGAGATATCGAACATAACGCCCGGGGCACTTCCGCAGTCGACCAAGGAACGGATGAGCCTGGCCTTCCAGAGGAAGACGTCTCTCAAGACAACACACTTGAGGTCACTGGCGTCCATCTACGCTTCGACGTGGCAATTCTCGTACTCGCCATGACCATTGGGGCGTTGTTCCCAATCTCAGCTTGGCGTTTGATGGGTTTCAAGTCGTCAGTCTCTTCACCACGGTTCTGCTCTTGAACTTCTTGATCGTCAATGCAAAAGGTGCATTGGGTCCGCGGCATGCTGCTCCTTGCCGACTTTCTGTTGCTTGCCATCGCCGCGTATTTTGTGGCTCCGGAGAAGGTGGCCCCAGTCTCATAGTCTGCAGAGATGACCCCTCACATGTCATGGACGGCAATATGTATGTACGTTGACCTCGGACATAAAACTGCCCTCCCCCCCCCCCCTAACTTCTGTTGATGGAGGTAGAAGCCATCATATGATCCCAGGTGGATAAGTGTGTAATGTATGAATGATTCTACTCGAGGTTGAAGAATGGAAATCGAGTTGGAGTCGCAGAGATGTGAGGTGTGTACGTGTCTCTTTCCCATTTAAGCTCTCGCGTCAATACAAGAAATAATACATCTCTCAAGAAACTCGATTCACCTTGTCTCTTGGTTATCGATGGATTCGGCCAGTTACCTATTACCAATGTCCTCAACCCGTGTTCCTGCTCGTCCAAAGGTCCAAAAGGTATACACAAATACATCTACGTACGTCCTTCCCGTCAAAAAGAAAACGTCCTCTACGAGTGACGAAACGGGCTTATTGACCCTTTGCCTTCTTCTCCTCTTCCCTCACAACCTCGCCAACCACAATCCGACACAGCCATTCCGCCAGCTTTTCGACGCTCCACCCCCATTTGATTTCGTGTGCTGCATCCGCTCTGACCTTGCGTCCCTTATACCACCCGTGGCTGTATTCGCATTCCTGCATAAACCGCTCGAGAACTTCACACTCGCCGTCCCCCACCGTCCAAGCGAACTCGCCCTTCACGAGTCCATTGGCGCTTTCGTCAACCACCATCTCTGCTCCTCTCAGTGCCCAGATCTCCGGACGGATCATCGCGCGAGGTGGGGGGTGGAATTTGGGACGGAGTGATTTCCGGTAGATGATGTGGAGGGTGCGAAAGTGAGTGTTTGAGAAGTTACCGTTAAGAGCGAGTGGCTTCTTGACCGAGCGCAGAGGATCAGATGGGTAAGATGGTGGAGTGAGGTAGGATGGGATGCTGTGGGTCTTTGCTTCGGTCTTCTTGGACGTCTCGATCGACGAAGGGATTGAGGCTTTGGTTTTCTCCCAACCTGAGTAATGAGATTGCTCTTTGCTTTTGACGGGACCATGTGAGGACGTTGTAGGCTTCATGGAGACTTCTGGCTGGTCCACATCGAATCGCTCTCTAGTCTGTGAGTCGCGATCTGAATTGTGTTTTGATCCCCATATCCAATCAACCCAGCCTTTGCTGGGATTGGCGGCTGAAAGGTCGTCTCTGGCCTTGGTTTCAGCACTCGCTGTCCGCTGAGCTTCATTGTCTCTCACAGGAAGCGCTGGTTGACCATCATCGTTTTGCCTGGCTTCCGTTTCGGTTGCCCGTAACTCTCGATTCAACTGTAGCCCAACAGAATCCTCAAAGGAGTCGTCATTCGAAGATCGCATACTGAAGCTGCTTTCCTGACCATCAACATCCACTCCTCTGGACCTCTGGCTAAAGACGACTTTTCTGATCATGTGTGTAGCATCGGGTCCCGCAAACCCTAGTCCCTGGTTGAAGGTATGCCGAGAGCCTTTCATTGCAGAGCGAGGCGTGGGTGGCCGTTCGGGGGAGTCATCTCTCGCTTCGCCCCAATCGCGCCGCTGTGCTCGGGATAGGTCCAGTGCTGGAGGCGGCGTTGATATGGATATGGATGAATCGTTGAAATTGACAGGGATCTTAACAGGCTGAGGAGAAGAGTAGGGAGATCCGACCGATTCAGAGATGTCGTTCGTCGAGCCATCATCCATATATAGGTTGTCATTTGCAGCTGTTGCTCCGCGCTGGCTTTCAGGACTGGACAGATTCAGCACAACCTGGCCATCTTCGTCTACCCCCTCTTCTTCAGAGACGACCATATCTGAGCTATCCTCGATTCGGTTTTCGACGGCCTTCTTCGGTGTGCCAGCCATAAGATCGACGTCGAACTTCCCGCTGTTCCTCCTGTTTCTCAATTGCTGTCTCTTGATCTCGCCAGCGCCGAATCGGATCTTGCTCTCAGGCTCATTATAGAACATCAAACTGCTCGCCTCAGCATCGGTGGATAGGAAGGTGCTTTGTTCTGCTGGAGCATGAACATCCTCGCCCCTCTTCCATGGGCTAGGTATCAGGCTTCGGCGAGCTCTGCTGACAACTTCCTGCGCCCGTTGTCGCTGCTTGATTTGCTCACTGCGGGTAAAGAGGCTATTTGTGCTGGCCTGGGCTGCAGACTCTGGACTTGACGAATTCTTGGCTTCCGCAAGCCAGATATCTGTTTCATCACCCGCTTCGGCCTCGATATCGGGATACGCTACTTCTGGTCTGGCTGCTGTTGCAATGGCCTGCTCTTCTTCATCATCGCTGTCAATCACAATAACTTGGCTTTCGCTTGCGTTTTGGATCTCCCGGGAGACCGCTTCCCTCTCTAGTTGCCATTCTCGTTCTCGTCTTGCTTGCGTGTCGATTATTGAATGTTCTGGATGCTTCCGTGCAGGAACTGGAGGGGTATGTACCATTGATACTTTATCGCTTTGTTCTGTGTTGCTACCAGTATGGACTGGAGTGTGCTGAACCAAGTTCTCGCCTCGCCATACCTGCGCACGACACTGCTGTTCAGAAACCACTGGGACTTTCGCGTCGGAAACTTTATCGGACTCTGGGCTTTTAGCTTTAAAGGAAGTCGGTCGATGAACAGGATGTGATGCCAGCCTATTCGCGAGCTCTTCACCAAAGCGCAGCCCAGCTCTAAGCTCGCGTTGAGTTCCACAGTCAAAGCCGACGAATAGAGCGCTATTCTCGTTCACCCCGGCATGATTTGAAGGAGTCTCCTGCTTTGATACCGGTGCTCTCTCGGTAGGATGATCTGGCGACACCACTTCTTGCAATGCAATGCCTGCAAATACGGCGCCGGCTGAGGCACGATGTTGGTGATGCGGAGTTCGCCGGACATTATGTCTTGGTGGTGATGGCAGCTTTGGTGATGAATATGGCAGTGGCGTTACTTTCCGACCCACACCAGCTGATGATGAAGGGACTTTTAGAAGAGCTTGATCCTTCTCCAACGCCGGTGGGGATGATGGGACAGTGCTTGATAGCTCACTTTCATCTGGCCTAATGACAGGATAAGAGACCGTGTCGCGAGTTGCGGAAGGATTCGAAGCTGCCAGGCAGCTTTTTGCTCTCCCTAAAGGTTCAGCAATTAATGGCTGTGTCTTGCATTCGTCTATGTCCGAAGGATAAAGGCCGCTGGTTGATCCCTTATCAGGAGGACTGCTCAAAGGTCGTTTCACGGATGGCAAAGTATCCAGATCAATCATGGTAAATCCCTCGCTCTCCAGTATGGTGTCAAAGCCTTCATTTTCATGCTGCTTTGGAAGAGCCCTATCATCGGGAGGTCCCCCTACGTCGTCAGAATCCCCGTGGCAGGAGGAAGTAGGTGATGGGGTTGGATAGCTCAGCGCGCTGTTGATGGATACCTTCCGAACTTCCATTTGCTGCTGCACGGATGGACTTCTCATCTTTTTGCTTACAACCGTGTCTTTGTTTTCGTAATCATTCTCCACATTAGACTTTGTCGACAACGCTCGAGGTCGTACCGACACTTGGTTGAGATTGATTTTGCGAAGCTCTGGTGACTGAGATTCTGCCCTAGCATCCCCTTGCTCCATAAGCCCATCACTGGCCTCGACGTCTGTATCTGGTCGCACTTCAAAGCTAGAAGACCTGGGGTTGGAAATGGACGGTTTCGACGGAGAGTCCCTTTGTGTTGTAGTATTTGCCCCAGAGGTGCTCTTCCGAGAATTCCTTCTCTTCCGTGGCGACTTTTTCTGTTCCAGCCAGTCGTCCTCTTCCGAATCATCTCCTAACGGTATTATGTCCAGGTCCGTCACGCTCTGTCTCCTGCTGCGACTAGAATTCCTGCGATCGCTAAATGGTGTTTCATCTCGCTTGTTCTTTGTCGAATTCGAACGCGATTTCCTCCCTTTCGCAGAAATCTTGGGCTGTTCAGCAGGAGGGGATTCGGGTTGTAATGGTATTTTAGTCTTGGGCGTTCTCGCCTTGATCAGTGGTGCATTGCTTTCCATGTCCGCATCCTCTGGTTGTGCCTCCACTGTCACCCGAATCTTCCAGGGACTCAAATTTTGTTCTGACACGGTTCGAAATGGGGAGGATGGGACTGCCTCACAACTGAACGAGCTTAGTTTCACAGGTCTGCCTGTGTTCACCATTGTGGCGGTTGAGGGCCACTTCGGCGTGGGCTGTCGGCGTGCAAATGGTATACTACCATGTGAGGATTCGTCATTGACAGAGGCTGCCAGTGGATCAGGGGAGCTTAAGTCGTCATTGCCGTAGGAAGTTACGGAGGGTGATCGGGACATTGTGTTTCTGCGGGAGGGAGGGGGGCGCTGGTATGCGCGGGTTCTTCCGTCGACGATCGACGATCAGGTATTTGAGCTCAACACGAGCATCATAAATGAGCTGTCTTCCAAAAGCCTGCAGAGTTAAGTATTTGTCTGTACTTAATGCATATACTCGGTGGCTGAATGAGGAATAACCCGCTATGTTGGCTGTGCGAGGTTCTAAAAGTTGTCGCAATGGATTGTTTACTCTCATTGTTTACAATGACGTTGACCCTGCCACCTTTGATTGGCTGCGAAGAGCTCCTCAGCCTCGTCTCCACGCCGCCATTCCACGTACCTACAAGTAGATATTGTAGGTACCATCCTATATACCGAGTAGTATACTCTATGTACACTTCGCAACTCCGCATTCGATTCTCAAAATGTCGAGAAATCATATGTCGCATAATTCACTGCCGGTCCAGTCGTGGGTGAAAAAATTTCAATGTCGTTGACGCCCCATTCAGGATGGTTAACCCCGTCAATCCAGGCCTGCGTTTCAATCACAATGCAGCCATGCTGATTCACAAATTTGGTTGCGCCCTGCATGCCGCCGTTTCGCTGCTGCTGGCTTTGCTTGACTGGAATTGTACCATTCTGGCCATTGCAAGTATATATCTGAAGACCTTGCTGGTTTGTCGACACGTCCATTTGAATTCCCGTTGTTTCCGACCACAATGCAAGCACCGGGTAATTGGAGGATGTCGGGCCTGCATTAGCTGGTCTGTCCAGGATGAAGGCGTTATCAATTCCAGTGCAACCCTGGCCGCAGATTCCCGTGGCGTTATTCACAGCATCTCCCATCAGCTTCGGGGAAAGGAAGTCCAAGGCAGGCGCATTCGAGACAGAGCCCAGAGCACCTGTGGGGATCAGGATAGGGTCCACAACGATATATCGATCGGCATACGGCATCCACAAGGTAGTATCATTCAAGATTGTGGCCTGTTTGAAAGCATTGAGATTCCAGTAGATGTGATTTGCCAACATGATAGGCGTCTCCTGATCCAACGCCGAGGACACCATGCTGCTCGTCAATCGCGGTCTTATTTCGCCCTGCGGACCACTGGGAAAGGTGTCCAGGGTGAAAGTGGCAGTTGTTAAAACTGTGCCTGGAAAGCCCTGAAAGCCAGTATCAAGTAAGCTAAATGTAATGCTCGAGACCGAAGAGGCAACCACAGTCCAGTTCCGTTGATCATAGCCAACGGTACCCCCGTGTAGAGTGTCGGCACCGGCATTCTCATTCGCAGGGATGTGATAGGTCTGGCCGTTCAAGGTAAATGTGCTGTTCTTGATTCGATTCGCGTACCGGCCAACAACAGGGCCAAAGTAGGTCTATAGTGCCATGAACCTCGCGTCAGCAATCGGAACAGAGTAAAGGAAGGCAAGGATGAGCGTTAATATCACGGATCTCAATTTCCCTGGCACGACTTCTGACAGGTCCAATGCTTACATGATTTGTCTCTGTATCTGTCCGATACCGAGTGGCATTGTCGTATCCGGCCACAATGTCTTGATAGTCCCCGTTGCGGTCCTGAACCAGTAGTGAGGTTAGGCGAGCGCCATAGGGGATGAATTTGGCGGTAATGTTCTCGGCGGTCAGAGTGTATACGGAGAACGGGTAAGCTCCGGTTGGCACAGAAGAGTTGGGGCTATTCTGAGCTAGAACAGGCACGGCAATTGACGATGCCAGGACAACTTGGAGCAACGGTGACAACATTTCGGCAGAGAATCTCATGGCTCGATTGTTTGCCGAGACGTCCCACAGCCACTGAAAGGCGGAGCAGAGCGAGTAAAGCAAAGGAAAGCGGAGGATATATATACTTGGCTGGACATGCACGTCAACTCGGTCTGTAGGTTACATTGTAGTGATCCATTCGAAAATGCTGTAGCAAAGATGGGAGGATGATGATGATGTTATGGCGGAGCTGCATGGCCCCTTCACCTGCGGCAGCTCATGCCTGGTCCCTAATCAAGCCTCATACAGTAGATGGTAGAAGCTGGAGGACGAACTGCGGGGGGAAAGACAAAGGACGTGGTGGTGGCGCCATGGCTGGCACTGCTCTGCCTTGTTGATCTGCCCAGATCCGGGGTAATCAGTGACACCTGGCGTGTCGATCATGGTATGGATTGGTGTTTTGGATTGTATCTCTCGGTCCATTGTGCGCCGGGCTTCGGAGGGAGCGAGGGAGGCTCCTCCAGGCCACCCACCGGCATCTTGCCTACTCCAGAGACTGTGTGTGGTGGTTCAATACATGTATTTTGTTCAATGCATCTAGATTCTACGCGAGCGCTTCCCCCGCCTGCAATTCGGTAGTATCAATGGTCTATTTTCCACATGGCTCAATGCGCCCCTCTTCATGTTCATCCCGAGTCAGTCCTTTGTGGTACATTCCAATCACGTCCGATCTCACTGCACGCCTGCAGTCTTCCTCGGATCCACGTCGACCAGGTGAATGTCAAGATACACTGGCCAATCCGGAGCCAAATTGCTTCGTGACTCTGACAGCGGTTTGAGTGCGTCCTCGACGGCCCTCTTGTCCATCTGGCCTTTGGGCTGGCTCTCAATTTGCGCAATCTTCAAGAGATCCTCTTCGAGCTCTTCGGCAATTAACCGGCTTGGTTGTGGCAGAAATGTGCCTTGGCGTCCTTGATGAGTGTGTAATGTTGCATATGGCAGTGCTGGGCGCGTTGCCGCTTTCTCGGCCAGGTCACTCAGGGCATTGAGGCCACTCATTGCACCTATTGTTCGAGTTGATCTTGTGACATGCACATTCTGACTGGCTGACCGGTCCATCTCGGGAGCTTCGAGTTCTTCGTCTTCCTCTGACCCTGAGTCGGCAGATCCTCGCTCTCGATCATCGTCAACTTTTTGCCGCCTTCTGGTGTTGCCCGTTTCGCCTTCCTTCCGTGACGTCGAGAAGAAATGACGAGCGGCAATTTGCGCTTGGTGCGACTGGAAGTTGAGTTCTTTATCAGTGAAGAGTGAGTGGATGGAATACAAGGGGGCGGTTTGATTCGCCAAAGCTGCGCGACTGCGCTCTCCGGGAGTGGAAATGCCATTGCGTGACGGGGAGCCGACGTCATCGTCCGCAAGCTTGCGCTTTCTCTTGTTTGTCACATCTGCAACACCATTCATATCCTCTTGCTCACGGTGCCTGGTAAATCGTGTCTTCCGGCTCGTGTGATTGCCGCCGGGACTTGCTGGATTGGTGATGCTAAACTGACTTGGATGAAGGAGGAGCGCATTCGTGTCCGCAATGTCGAGTTGTTCTTTCTCTTTCATTAACCGCTGTCTCTTGCTAGACAGGGCTTGGAACAATCGTTCTCGCAGGGTTGAGGTCATGTGTTCGCATTCTTCTGCGGCCAGATGCAAGCGGTAGTCGCATTCATATTTCAATCTCTCAAGGCGCGCATTGTGATTGTTCTGCATAGCGGTCAGCATCAGATCAAACTGATCAAATCGAGTATTCAATACCATAAGTTGGATGAGGGCTAGCTCCTTGGCCTCCTTCGCATCGTTGATCTCATGGACGAATTCGGCATACCATTTGCCTGCCAACGAAGACATTTGAGATTGATATGGCGTACCAGATGCCGCCAACTCGGCAATTCTAGCCACCTCTTCTGGTGAATCTTCCAGAGGCTCAGGTTCATAGGGGTCAGCCTGGGAAATGAGGCTCATGTCATGCTGCAGAGCGATGAGTTGCTCTCGGTAGTGCTGCTCACGATTGTTGTTCAACTCATTGTGGAGCTCTTGCTGGTGTGCAACATGCTGGTTTCTGCGCTTGTCTCGCTTGGACAATGGTTGCGCAGGAGGGGTTGGCGACCGACGATGGGAGTAGGCGGCTCCTTCAGGACCAGCCAAGGGAGACGCTGGGGAGGGCGAGTACGCCATTCTGAGAGGAAGTGGCTGAATTCAATGCAAACTTGCCCTCTGGGCGACCGGCGAGAGATGCAGAAGTGTGTTTAGATATATGATACCGTATGGGCTTTGTGACAAAATAAAATGCAGAAGGAGCAGAGTAGATGCGATCTGGGGTTGACGCACAGTGGGTTCTCCAACGGCCAAACGGCGTGGACACTGCGTGACAAAGGTGCAAAACATGGCAAACACGGCAAATGTTTTCATTCATACTGAATCAGTGGCGACCATAGGAACCTTGGGAGCATTCACTTCAATGCGGACTTTGCTACCATTGTTCTCTCTTATTGTAGCTCCTATTGAAGAAGCAAGATCCTCTCAACCATCAAGTCCGCTATTTGATCGATTGATGCTCCCTCCAGCTATGCAAACCCTCCCCTTTCCTCTCCTGGTGACTCTTCGCACTCCCGTACCTTGGCCAGCAGCGACCACTGGAGCATATCTGGACAATCCTTTCTCTCAAGCGTGTCCTGATCCTGCATTGTGCAGACAGAAGGTGGGACCTGGCCTGTTCGAACGTGGCATTCAGCTGCTCTCAGCCACAACTGGGCTTGCAGCATCACCAATGTGCTCGCCTTCCATTGTGAAATGCGGATTTTCACTGCAGATGGCTGCATACAACTGTTTGAGCCGGCAATAAGACGCCAAGCATGTCTCCAACCTTGGAACTGACGTGTCTTAGGTGAGCGTTCAGACCCGTTACAACTCGTGTTCACCGTAGCACGCCCAGGTCGTGGAATTCGAGGCCAATCGGGCTTTGTCACACCTCTCACCGCTCCAAGCTACCTACAAAACGTTGCGTTGGCCGCCAGCCTGCAGGACTCGGCAGCCCCAACCCTCCGGCTCCATACCCCTCAAGCCCCTCCTCGACCCTCGAATTTGTGTACATAACCATCGCCAGGTATCTCCTTCTGCTGCTTGACCTAGCATCTACGAGGCTGAAGGTTCGAACTGTTGGAAAGAGCAGGTGTTAACTTGTCAGCTAGTATAGCCAAATTTCTACGGCACACTTTGGTGGGCAAAAAACTATTCACGCCGCATTCTTAACACTCCCGATCCCTTCCCCTTTGCTGTTTGGGCCCTCGAGATCTCATTTGCACATTATACTTCAACATCCGCAGGATTTCCTATTCCATACATCATTCAACATGACTGTAACGGTCATTCATTCCGTGGAGTTGTTCGACGGCCACAAAGCTCGGTCGGGCGCAGTTGTTGTCTTCGATTCGGACAGCGGCAAGATCACGTCTGTCTCGACCGGTTCTAGCTCCGATCAATACCCCCAAGGGGCAACCATCATTGACGGCACGGGACACACTCTTCTTCCAGGGCTGATTGAGTCTCACATGCATTGCTACAACCTGCATCTAACTCCAGGATCAGACGAATCGACGATCTTGACATCGCCCTTGAAAAGTGGCATCACCACAGTCTGCGACATGCATTCTGACCTTGCATCTGTACAAAAATGGCGCAAAGCCATAGCCGAGGAAGTTGCACAAGCCAGGCAGGCTGGTGGAACAGTCACTCTATCTGATCTCAAGACCTCGCTTTATGGTGCTACCATCGAGGGAGGGTGGCCAAAACCGATCGTTCTGGCCGGTCATCCATCGGAGGAGGTAGGTGTCTGGGTCACCTCTTGCGTCCGCTTTGCCGAGTCACAAAATTGCAGGAGGCTACGTCGCAAATACCGGTGTCACTGACTACTTGCAGGCGATCGAAATGGTCAAGCAATGGCCTAGCCTGACGCCGGAGACCGCAGCAGATTATGTCAAGAATCACAAGGCGAACGGAGCAAACTACATCAAACTAATGCAAGAGAATTGCTGTTCCCTCGCTATCCCCACGAACTCAATCCCAGTCGCCTCACTCGAGCTCCAAACTGCAGTTGTGAATGCAGCTCATGAGAATGGTCTTCCGTGTGTTGGACATGCTTTAAGCTCTGACATGACCGAGATTGTCCTTAAAGCCGGAGCCGACGGTCTGACGCACACCTTCGTTGATCAACCTCTGCCGCAGAACATCCTCGACCTCTACAAAAAGACAGGCGCTTTTGTGATCCCTACGTTGACGGTGCTGGCCAGCTTAACGGCCGAACTACAGGATTGGCGGGAGAGGTTTGCTGATCTCGCACATAAAAAGGGAGTTGTCGACGATGCCACCAAGCAAAATATGGTTGAAGTGCTCGGCATGAAGGATCCAGCTGCCAAACTGGAGTATGCAATCGACACAGTGGCAAAGTTGAAGAAAGAAGGCATCGATATTGTTGCTGGGACAGATGCTGTGGCGGGCTTAAAGGGCACTGGAGTCGGCCCCAGCCTTTGGATGGAGCTGGAATTATACACTGAGAAATGCGGCTTTACCGTCACGGAAGCTTTGAACTCTGCAACGGCAGTGACCGCGAAGAGGTTTGGTTTCACCGATCGTGGAGAAGTTGCAGAGGGCAAACGGGCCGATCTTGTCCTTGTGAAAGGCAACGTCACCGAGAGGCTGCAGAATCTCTGGGAAGGCGAGGGTATCGTAGGAGTGTGGAAGGAGGGTTTGAAGGCTAGTTAGGCTTATTGCCAAAATATGGGCTAGGCAAGTACAATACCTCTTCCACAATTCTCAATTCCCCAGCAGAGTCCTTGCTCCTTTGTTTTTTGTGTCTGCTTGCTCACAAAAACCTCAAAACGTCGGTGGAAATTCCGGGTCGACGTGAGAGGAGGTTAAGAAAGGCTACACTGGTAGTTCCCAGCGATCCAGCGGACCAAGCCGAAGACAAGAGAAGCTAAATTGCGCATTCTGGACTAGGCAGGGTTTAGTCTGTTGTAGACCCTCCTCAAGTCCTCAAATGTTGCGAATTTGGCTCGCTGCAGGAGAGCATCACCACAACATTTCTCCAAGAGACACGGATAACAAGATCCGTTGACAATTCAGGTGTACAATAAACTGGCGAAGGCAAGTGTAAATGCAGAAGGGTCAATTGGTTGACCTCTGCTCAAGCACATTTCTTGAGTGACCAGGCTTTCAGCCCCTTTATCAGGACTGTCCTTCTTCCTTTGTTGGACAGAGATGGGTGTCTTACCTTTGTCCATGCTGCCGGTTTGAACAGAGTCTCCGATGCCGTCACGGTTGGGCTAGGGAGTGGGTTCGCGATCATTTGTGAAGTCTTGCCACACGACTCAGGCACACCATGGACCCTCACACCTGTAATTCACCGAGGACGACCAAGTGAAAGATCGAACGCGACATTGTGGACGCGTCCACAAGGCTATCAACAACAGATATTTATTCACAAACCGCTGCCTAACATGACAATTCGGCTTGGCAAAGGTAAAACGAGTCTCGCCTTTAAAGCTTTCCCCTGCCTTATATATAAAAATTCATCAATTTTTCAAGCAACTCCATTTCTCATCCATCAAAACGAATGCTTGGAAAGCAATTAAAATGTCGAAACGCGTTGGGAAACACGTTCTGAGAGCGATATTGCGGAAGATTAGTGTGCCTCTGCGGCGTTGTCTGAGGAGGAAGAAAGCGTCCACCAGTCCAGAGCGGACAGTCGATTTGGCCCAGGCCGGCGAGGTCTTTACCCAGGATAACACGGTCGCTACTCAGGATGACAACGTCTCTACAGAGACCCAAGCCCCTCAGCCGCCTGAACACTTGCTCGAAGTTCACAGAGTCGCATTAGGCAATGTGAAGAAACACGAAGTAACAGTCCTGGAGGCCGATTACTTTCCAGAGCAACATGGGGTTATATTTGGCGATCCAGAAGCGAATGCGATAGACGTCCAAATCCCTGATGGTGTCACCGTGGGTACTGGATCATCGATAACCGAAGCAGAGAACGAGCGGACACCGGTCGAGATTGCGGAGGGTGATCAATCTGTCCAAACAACCGCCGGCAGCAACATGCCGGTCGAAGGAGCGCAAGACTCCCCACAGCAACAGGTTGCGGTAGATGATAACTTGAACGGCCCTGGCGCATCAATCCGAGAGGATTCACCATTGGGGCAGCAACATGCTCCTGTTAAGCAGAGACAAAAACATGTCAGATTTGACTCAAGGCGCAACCAAATTTTTGTGTTTGAGAGTCAGAAGTCCATTGTTGAAGAGCTTAACCGACAGCTCCCAGTGCAGGCGCCTTCACTCTCCCAGCATGTGCCCACAGGGCGAAGGGTCGAGGGCTGCAATCCAAGTTTCAGCAGAGTTGACGCACAACAACGTATGCTCTTTCTGATGTATGGGGTTCAAACAAGACAAGATGATACCTATCGGCCGTATTTCGATCGTCAATTTGATATGATATTTGGGGGCCAAAGAGATCAAGAAGACATGAATCGGCCGTACACAGACACAGGGAGACAATGGCCATCATTTGATGAACGAACGCGAAGATGCAGACTGTGGGATGACTCAGCACCAGTCCACATCGAGTTCAACCAAGTTCTGACCCCCAAAGCTCCAAAGAAGCCGACAAAGGGGCTTTCCACCGCAAGACAACTCGGCCTCTCGGGTATCTTCGACCAAGCAATAGAATGCGAATCGCTTGTGGAACAAGCTTCCATGCACCTAGCATGTGTCTGCCAGATCCAGCGATGGCCGAATGCTCATAGAGCTTACAGATATGGTCTTGACGACGCAGCTTGCCGGCTTCCTTTCATCGTGATGGAATACTATTTTAGTGGCTTCACGTACACCGGCAGTCTCGAACTAGTTCTTGGGATTTGTCCCGTCAGTCATAACCGAGCTGCTATGAGATATGAGTCCTCGATTCGCTTACATACTGCAGGTCATTTCGTCGTCCGAAAAGCGGAAGTTGGGGCAGGATCCTCAGTCACGCGAGGATGCCGAGCAATCCAAATACCTTATTCCAATTGCGCCAGACGGGCCGAACCCAAAGGCAAGCCCAAACAAGATGTGGTTGGAGAGGCGGCGGCAGTTCAACCAGGCCTGCTGGATCGACACAACCAGAGTGTATTATGTACCGGCCGATCTTCTCCACGAGAGCAAGTCGTCAGGCGTACGGCTCTCGAAGGAATCATGGGAAAGGGTGAGAGAGGAGCTGTCCATAGGCACGTTGGCAGACGAGGAAGCCCGGTTTGAAAAGGCATTCAATCTATATCAGGCTGAGTATAACATACGGAGAAAACATGCTATTGTTCGCCCTGCTGTTTGTCGACTCCAGCCAGCAAACTAAGACACTGCCACAGAGGAAAACCAAGAAGACATCCAGTAGTGATTGTTTGGGGAGAAAGGGGGGAGAAAGCCGTGTTTCAGAGTGAGGCCAGATTTAGCGAGAAGACCCCAGGTTCCCATGCTCGGCGACGAGAACAGCACACGGTAAGAAGTCTGGGACGGCATTGGATGGACGGCGAGATGGTTACACAAAGCTGCAAGGAGGGCCAAATACAGACAACCAACGATGCGAGAGGGCATTGAGCATCATATATGTACATACCTTGAGAAGTTCCACACAAGCCATGCAATAGATCAAGTCGCAGGAAAAAGCCCCAGCGGCCATGTTCCATTTTCCATTTCTCTGGCTGCACATGCTTAAGGCGCCCATCCGCTTCACACCCGCAGCACTACCCAGTATCCTCATCAGTATCCGATCTCCCGGGTTTCCCCTTCCCGCTACTTGGTAGTCCCGCTGCTAACGGCCTCTCACAAGCCCTTGTCCTCGGTCTGCCAACACGGGGAATGACCCTTGGTACATACCAAGTAAGCTCCTAGACCTGTTCCTGGCTCCGGAACGGAAACTACTGCGCTGCTGTGTTGTCACTTGATAAGTATGGGGTACTGTCGACACCCTCACACCCACCCGACTTGACGAGGCCGATGATATGGGCCTAGGTAGGTACAGAGTATTACTTCTCACATCTCTGCATTCCCACGCCTAAGTCCGCAAGCTGCATACAGGCTACAGCTTCTTTTCACTTTAGATCTTTTTATCTCAAACATCATCATAGTGGTGGATTCTCAGCCCTTGCTTGCTTGCTTGCTCCTTTGCCTCTTCTCCTCAAGGCCCCCGAAACCACACAATGTTAGCCCCCAAGGAAGAAGACCTTGAGAAGCTAGCAGAGACATGCCTCTCCACGGCCAGGCAGATCAAACAGTATCTATCCGCCACCAACCACCCACAGCCCAGTTTCGACGAGAATGGACCCTCTTCCTTTCCCGCCGCGACCCCGGAGATCCAGCAGATCAGGCTCGAGCTTCGCACGGCAGCCAGGCGCCTGTATGACCTTGCCTCGGGGCCAGATGATGTTTTGACATGGCATCTCTATCACTGCGTGCGTAGTCCCAAGTCCAGACCTAAGAACCACCAAAAAAAACAATGAGAGAAAGAAATAGATCAAATGGCCCATTCCTTTTTCTTTCAACGCAAAAGAAAGAAAACAGAAACAAAAACTCACTTTTGTCTGATGAACGAGATGTGCTGATTTTGCAGAACCACGATCTGAACGCCTTCCGCTACGTGTACAGATACAACGTGGCCTCGGGCGTGCCCTTGGACGGCACAATCAGCTACGCAGACCTCGCGGTCAAGTTGGGGCTGGATGCCTCGCAGCTCAAGCAAATGCTGCGACAGCTGATGGCGATCCACGTCTTCACGGAGCCGCAGCCGGGACACGTCGGGCACACGGCGTCGTCACGCCTGCTGGCCACACACGCGGGCATCGCGACCTTTACGGGCTTTTTGGCCGAGGACACGTTCCCCCTGTGCGCGGTGCAGGTCGAAGCGCTGGAGAAATGGGGCCACGGGCGCCCAGAGCCCTCGCGCACGGCGCTCAGCTACTACTACGACACCGACCTGCCGTGCCACGACTACTACGAGACCAACCCAGCTGTGCGCGAGCGCTTTGGCCGTCTGATGACGCACCTGACGGCGAACCCGCTCATGGCCAACAGCCACGTATCGCGCGGGTACGACTGGGGGGGCTTGCCGCGGGACAGCGTCGTGGTCGACGTGGCGGGAAACGCAGGACACTGCGCGATCCCCATCGCCGAAGCCACGGACCCGAGCGTGCGCATCGTCGTGCAGGACCTGCCCAAGGTGGTGGCCTCTGCGCGCGACCCGGCGACCAGCGTGATTCCCATGCCCCTGCGCCCGAGATTCGACTTCATGGCCCACGACTACTTCATGCCGCAGCCCGTGAAGGGCGCGGCAGTCTACTTCCTGCGCATGATCATCCACAACCACAGCGACGCCCTGGCCGTCAGGGTCCTGCAACAGATCGTCCCCGCCATGGGCCCAGACTCGCGCATCCTCATCATGGACCAGGTCATGCCCCCCGCCGCGGGGCTGCTGCCCGAGCCGCTCGAGCGCATCAAGCGCTCCCAGGACCTGCAGATGATGTTGTTGCTCAACGCCAAGGAGCGCGACGAGGCCGAGTGGGCGGACTTGTTCGCAAAGGCCGGCGAGGGTTTGGTACAGGACGTCTTTGCCGCCGCCGGAGACGAAGCCGCCGGGAAAGGGAAGACGTTGGGCATTGTCGCTATACGGACCCCGCCGGGCAGCATGATGAGTTTGATTGAGGTCGGCTTCGTCGATGGTGCCAGTGTCAATGGCGCGGAGGCTGGCAACACGGAACGCATTGCGGATGCAAGTCCTGACGCTGGGCACAGTTGAGGACGCGTGTTCATACGCTTAAAGGAGCTCTTGAGCGAAAACCATCTACGAGGTGGCAGTGCTGGAAGGTACATAGACAATAACAGCTACACAAGAAGAGAGACATGTTCATAATGAGTAGTATTTGCATGGTAGTACTCGAGAAACGGACGCTTTGGAATCTCCCGATGACCAGTGGAGACACGCGAGAGCTCGACCCTGGTATGTAAAGGAGATTCCAAGGTCGTCCACCACGGAGACACACGAGAGCTCGACGTAGCTTTCTATCGCCAGAGAGACATGATAGCTCGGGACTGACAGGTGAAGGAACTCCAAGATTGTCCACCACGGAGACACACAAGAGCTCGACGTGGCTTCCTCACACGAGTCCACTGGAACCCGATATTAACACGCCCCCTCTTCAACAGCACCTCTGGTTCTTTCATGCATGCCTGATATGATGTTGCAGCGTTGGCGAAGCAAATCGATATTAATAGTCTGCGTTTTCAAACAGCGCCTCTTTGATCTTTCAATAGAGGCTTGACGTGATGTTGCGGCACTGGCAACGCAAGTCCGCTTTCAATAGTTCAATACCCATTTCGTTCAAACTCCAAAATCTCTTCGGGATCAGTCACCCAAAGCAACTGTCTTCCCTGAGCGGTTGCCTGTCGTGCAGTCCTTAACCCTTCCTCAAACTCCCTGTCCCAGAACTCAATCGATTCTCGGGTATCTCTCTCTGTCCATGTCTTTTGTACGAGTGTTTCCACATACGATGATGCGATCCCGGCCTCAACGTATGTCTGTGGTGATGGGGCATTGCCGCCATTCAGGAGGTTTTCCGCCCATGAGTCATATTGGTGCTCGCGTTGATAGTCTGTCATGCCGTCTTGCCCAATCAGGGTGTTGTCTAACTCTTCGCGGCCCGCGAGCCTTGACACTGTAGGTCTTGTACTGGCTCGAACTGGTGTTTCTTGGAATTGTCCGCCAGGATAATTCGCGGTTAGCATTTCGCCAGTCTCGATTTGAGATTCAGTAAATTCTGTTTCTGAGCCCGGTGGAGACGATGAACGCGATCGCGCTTTCTCGCTCATGAAAAGCCGGGAAGATCTGGCAGGTTTGTATTTCTGTGCATCAGATCTCGCTTTGTTGAGTCTGAACTCTTGCGTCTCGTTCACCATAATGCTATCGGTGTGTCCTGTGAATCCGGATAATTCGAATGGACTAGTTGGGGGGAGTTCTGCATGCGACATCCGAGGGGTACTAGGTTGAGGTGGTACTTCTTCCTGTGCTGCGGCCTGATGCAGCGTGAGGGTGTCCTCTTCCTCTTCAAATTCAAATTCATCTGAGTCAGGAACGCGGAAGTGACCGGGTCTGGGATTTGCGAGGGATGGTCGCCAAGTGTCATCATTTGGATCGATGATATTGGGATCGAGTCGGAATGTGTTTCCTCTGGTATTCTGGATTGTCGTCGGCGAGTGTATGTGCTGCACCTCAAATGGAAGCGAAGATGAGGAGTCCGGCGATTGACTTTCAAGGTCAGCGAAGGTGCTGCCACGATAGTCTCCAGAGCGACCATATTGGCCGTAGACAGCTTTGACCGAGTCCACTGGGTTGATGCGCACTGATTTGACGGATCGTCCGACTGTGCCGAAGTCTGTACCGGTCTGTCTCATTGCCGAGCGCAGAGGAGTTTGTGGTAGAAGTCTCGTTGCGGGTGTGGCGGGTTGGGCTTCTGTCAACGATGATTCACCGATACCTTCAACTTCATTTTCCATGTCGAGATAGCTGTCATCGATTCCGAAACCACCTCTTTTCGGACCTGGAATCTGGCCTTCAACCGAAGTGAGTTTGCGCTTGTTGGTACCTGGCGTTTCGGTAGGGTTGAAGTCCGCTGCTCTGCTTTCTGTGCTATCGGCCATGGCTGCCAACTGTTCACGACCTCCAATGGTGTTTGCGGTTCTGCGCCTCTTGAGATATTCACGCGTAAGGATCCTGCTATCAGGAAGGGGAAAGTCACGAGCAGGTGAGTCAGGTTCGTAGATGGTGATGCGTGGAGCAGGGGTAGGACTGCCTTGTTCGGAAAACTCCAGTGATTCTCTGGCAGTTGTGTCTCCATCTTGTGTTTGGTCTTGGTCAATAAGACTGCTTTGTTGTGATGGTGGTGGTGGTTGTTGCCCGACCACGTTTTTTGCCGGACCTTGTGTGCTGCTACCGGTGAAGTAGCCAAAAAGTTTCCTCACACTTCCCATAATGCCACCTTGTGCTGCAGCTGGGGCAGGAGTGCCTAGTTGCTGTGGCGTCGGTCGTTCTTGCGAGATGGGACGTTCCTGTGTGTTAGCCGGGCTGGATTCGGGGCTCGTGGGCTCTAAAGTGCGATGGAAGAAGGGGGACTCGTGTCGGGAGCTGAGTTTGGAGGGCGCAGAGGTTAGGAGGCTTCGGTTTCGAGTCTTCGAGAACAGGAACTTCGGTTGTTCCGGGGTGATGGCTTTGTGCCGCTTCGACGCGGCCTGGGTGGCGCCGTCGTCGGGTTCTCGTCGTCGCTTCGCGCTCGCGGGCTCTAGGTGGCAATTGCACGTCAGCTCAGCGTCCGTTTGGGTGGACGCATCTCTATAGAGGGATCGCGTCCGGGCAGGCGCCCTGGTTATTGCCGCCCCCGTCAGGGCAGACGGATCGACGGCGAGGAAAGGGGAGGAAGAGGACGAGGAGCGGGAAACAATGAGAGGCGCCATAGGTGTCCTAGGCGCAACCTTTCGCTCACGTTTTGGTGGTTGGTACTCCGAGAAGCCTTCGGGTCGGGCCCCTTGCCCACGGGTGTGGACCATGGTGTTTGCTGGTGGTTAATGTTGATCTGAAAGAGGATTCGAAGGTGAAGGACAAGTCATAAACAATTGAAAATGATGCGAGTCGAGAATCCAGTTGCCGTATTAGGACTAGTGGGTGGATGTCTTGGCATCAGCCTCGGTGTCTGCAGCGAACCCCGAAGACCAATATACTATGTACAGTCTGGTCTGACATTGCGTCTTCTTAGCTGCGACGCGAGAGGTAATTATTATTGCGATGGAGGGCGCCTGCCATTTCGGCGGGACTTCTTCTTGTCTTTGACAGTGACTGTTTTCTATCGCTCAACCAGACGGTGAGTTCTATTCGAACCAGCGGCCTCCTCGTCGTTTTTTTTGGTCCTTTACCTCTTTGCAGGCACAGCGTCAGACTGTCCTCTTATTTCTCGCCGTGGCTCATCTGGTCTGAGACTTCCTTTAATGTCATTGTGTAGACACACTCGACGACTACAGCATACATAACATACTAGTTTCTGACACTTCCGTATCGGGTCATGTCCACGGACCAACCAGCTGCAGATGGAGTCAGTCAACAAATCTAGTTTCTGACAAAACGGTATGAGAGAGAATTGTCACGGACGGACGAGCTGCGGATGACCATTCAATGAGGCCGTCCGGACTGTACACACCCAAATGCGCACATGCGCTTGGTAAGTCGGTGGCTTCCATGTAGAAGCCCAGCATGTCCGGCCGTGCATATATTAGCTGGTATTCCCCGTGCGGAGAGCTATGTCGAGACAAGAGTGCGAAGCTTTTTTTCCCATCTCACATCCTAGGAGAAAAGAATGTCGACTATATATCTGATCACAGGGGCCAACCGAGGTTTGCTTTCCAGCGAAAATGAGGCAGAAAGATACCTGCTAATGTTGCTCGTAGGTCTCGGGAGGGCTCTGGTTGAGGCTTATCTACGCCGACCTGATAATACTGTTGTGGCTGCTGTTAGGGATGCAACAGATGATACAGCCAAGGCCCTTCGAGATCTTCCCAAGGCACCTTCGAGTTCCCTGATCGTGGTCAAAATCGACATGTCTTCCGAGACCGACGCTACTCGAGCGATGGAAGAGCTGCAGTCTGCTCACAGTATCACGGTCATAGACACCGTCATAGCCAATGCAGGCATTGCAAAGGTTTTTCCAAAGGTCGAGGATGCTCAGACGTCTGATCTCCTCGAACATTTCCATGTCAACGTGATTGGGAATATTATTTTGTTCCGAGCTGTCCTACCGCTACTTCGGAAATCCCAGAAGGTCGGAAAGTTCGTCACGATGGCCTCGATGGCAGGCGCGATCGCAGAGATGGAGAAAGCGAATGTTCCCAATGCCGTGTACGGCACGTCCAAGGCCGCCTTGAACTATGTCACCAAGAAAATCCATCTCGAGAACGAGGATATCATTGCGTTTCCCATTCATCCTGGGTGAGTTTCAGTGCGCCTCCTCTCAGCCATGGATGGGCATCGCAGGATTGACCGAGTATTTCACGAGTGCATAGCTGGGTTCAGACGGAGATGGGAAACAGTTCAGCTAGATCGTTCGGGCTTGAAAGCGCTCCAAACACAGTGGAAGAGAGCGTTTCTGGTTTGATGAATGTGGTAAGTGGGCGTTGGAGTCGAAGCACAGTAAGCTTGACGGAATGCTAATCGAGGTGCTTTGCAGATTGAAGACTCCTCGCGAGAATCCACCTCGGGGAAATTCATGTCCTTTGATGGCGCAACCATTGCGTGGTGACGCTTCCGTGATTCGGAGAGCGCTTAACGGATCTAGACTTGGGTGGTGGTGATGGTGCTTCTGCAAGACGGGATTGGAAGTGACTGCCCTCTACTCTCTCCTTGCAGACTCCTAGAGAACACTGATCCAGAGCTACTTCCACGAATCATCCAAAGCTCTGTATATAGAAAGATCTTGGTGGTGTCAATGAAATAGGATCTCGTATTTCTCCCTGAATTCCAGAATGATCTGCGAGGCCACGGGATCCGACGCAGGGCCCAGATGATGTGGCAGTGGAATCTGTGGCAGCGGTATCGGAAGGCGCCGAGCCAGAAGCAAAGAACCTCGTTCGATGGCTTGCAGCTACACCTGAAGAGTTCGTGCCTGGTCTCAAACGACGAAGGATGCTCATGGATATGTGCTCGGCCGAAGGGGGCCGAAGAGCAAGAGGCAATTTGCGTCCATTACATACAAGTACAAACGCCCGGCTCTTCGAGCTATGGATACGACGATCCTGGGTCTGTTTTCTCATGCGAGCGTCTTGGACACATACCAGCGCCTCTCTCGATTCTTCTCCAGCTTTTTGCTGTCCCCATGGCGTGCTTCCTTGGTGCGTGCTTTCAAAATGAGCAAGGGAGTATTAAGTTCGCATGTTCTCGGACGGTTGCCCGATTTGTGACAGTGCAGCACCGCACATATGCATGAGGGTACGGGGGTCAGGCAGACTGATTGCCGTTCGTGCACAGCTTAAGAACCAACCTGAAAGTTGTGTATGAGAGTCTAGGGGCCGAGAGGCTGCATCATGCACGTTTATGCGGCGCTAATTTCTGATGGTATTTTCGCCGCCGAATCTGATCCGCCTACTTAGTAGCTCGCTGGGGCTACCAGTCCTCGTATTTGCGTCCTGTCGCTCTGCCCATCCCGGGTCCTGCATCTCATCGCCTACACCATCAGGTAACTCCCAGCTCTTGGCGCAACATGGCCTCCATTGATCTAAGTCCCACTATCAGTCCCGCTACCCGCTACCTTCTTCGCAGCCCTTTCAGTCTTTCCCTTGATGAATTTTGACAGATCCCCCACAGGGAGCGTCAGCGGGAAGTCGACGCATTCAAGCAATTGTACCGCAAGGAGGTACCACACCATCATCGTAAGTGCAAAGGTGAATGCTCCTGCTGCCTGCAGATGGGGGGATCGTGTTAGCTTGGGAATTATTCTAGTGTAATGGGAAGTGGCGTTCTCAACGAAAGAATCACAGGGAACGGCGGAAGTTCAGACATAGGCATAAGCGAAGGCAAAGGATGCAATGCCAAGGGATTGGACGACTCACTATAGTCAACTTGCTGCCCATATCCGCATTCCCAAGCGCCAAGTTCCAGAAAGCTCCCGCGGCACAGCCAAAGGCGAAGATCAGTGTGAAGAGCGCGGAGAAGAAGACGATATTAGTACGCAGAGAGCAGATGGTAAAGATTGTGGTGATCATGGCGAGGGAGAGGTAGTAGAATCCTGTGCACAGGAGCGAGTGCGTTAGTGGGCTCTTTGGTGTTTGTGTGGCCTCGAAAGAGACGTACCGACAGTGGCGAAATAGCTCGGTTCAGTCATTCCATGCAGCGTGTCTCCCGTGGTCGAGTATTGGACTCCCACGCCGAACCAAGGGATGAGTTGAGTGCCAGCAACAATCCAGAAAGTGCCGTAGGTAAAGAATAAGCACATGGAAAAGGTGTTGCCCAGGATCCATTCGGCGATGGCGCCGAGGATCTGGAGAACACCGCCGAAGAAGATCATTGTTGGGCTGTGGAAGCGGTGTTAGTCCAACTTGGGCGGTAGGAGCAGGAGGGGAACTTCTTTGGGAGACATCAATGGTGTTTGGGGCCTCTGTAGGAGTAGGGAGGAAGGCTCACATAAGGGCACCTCCCAGACCTCCTGCACCACGCCAACCCATGTTTGCGGCAGCGTAAGGAGTGGCAGACATGACGAAGCCAATGAGAGCGGCAGGTGTTGGATTGCCAAACTAGTAGAGAAGACAGCCATGAGACAAGCCTGTTGGAATGAGTGATTGAAAAATTACCTTCTTCCTCAAATCTCCGGGCACATTTCGTTCAGGAGAGAGATAAAGGGCCTCAAACACATCACGAGGGAGGAAGACACTGTCCGCCGTCTGTACGCGGCGGAGGAAATCCTCTTTCGAGTTGAGGTGGTTCAAGGGAGGGGTTTTGATGTCCTCCATCATAAATGAAGTGAAAACACACGGCTTCGCGAGAGAATCAAAGGAGGGGGGAAATGGTAAGTACCTCTGAGATTCTTTGCTAGGTGAGGCAAGGGATGAGACTCAAAAGGGCCACGCAACGAAACAGAAAGAGGCGAAAAGCAAAATGAAAGCCAGGGACAGTCCGGCCTTCTTGAAGGGTTTTCAACACGGTTTGGCGCTCACAGTGCCCTGCAATGACGACTCGGTAGATGCGTTCAAGCCACGTTGGTTGGAGTATTTCCGTTCAGGAGAACAGCTCGCCATGTGCAAGTCCAGCAGCGGGGAGTCAGCGGTGGGCAGTGACTGGACAATGCAACCTGTTCAAGCCCCGTGGGGATTGTAACATTTTGCCATCGATGGCGTCGAGGAGCCAGTGAGCATACAGATGCAGGGATTTTTGCGGTGAAAAGCGGGTTTATATCCCTGGAGCTGTGGGGATAAGTAAGTACCTACCTAGGCAAGGGGAAACTTTGTCGTGTTTGGCCACAGCTGGGGTAGAGGGGAATCGGACGTTCAATCTCGGTCAAAAGGACCTGTAGAGCACCTGAAAGGGATTTATGCAGGCGAATGCAGAATTGTGTGAGACTCCCTGAGGAGGACCTCGCTCGACCCAAAGATGCATGGGTGGGTTGGAAGCGTCGAACCTAATCAGCAGACTGGTGTTTTGCTCTGTCAAGACACATTCGAGGATATTTTATGCCCTCTCGGTGCGATGATCCATCCCAAGCCGTAGCCTGCTCTCCGTAGGTATTTGTAGTATTTCGGACTCTGGAATGTCCGGATGAGAGCATACCAGGGTTTTCGAGTTGGAGAACGAGTAGCCTGAAGCTCTCGTAACTGAAACGCCACGTCATGACATTGCAGCTTGCGGGGAGGTGGAGGTGTGGAGGTGTGGAGACTGTGTAGTTGAGATTCCCGAGGTCCAGAGAGGAGCTTCCAGAGGGCCATTTAGCCGGCTTCGAGGGTATGAGGGACGAGCTGATGTGGTTTTCGAGGATAACAAGAGAAGGAGTTTGAAGAGAGGAAGTTCAAACAAGATGTGGCTGTCCAAGAAATCGCCAAGTGATACTAGACTATATTGCTTGGTGCCATGGTACTTTAAATATTACTTACTCTGTTGGAATACGAGGTCCTGCTGGCATATGCCTGCCGAGGCACCGGAATTCGTTCAAGGGCTCGTACAGCGGGCAGCCTTAGCTTTGCTTATGTACCTAGCGAGCTAGCCACTTAGACTTTGGAGAGGCCAAAAGGTCGGGGAAGAGTATTTTTGACCGAGTATTGGGGAATACCTAGGCACGCAACCAAGGTATCGATGCCGACTGTGCCTCCTCTAGCCCTTCTACCCCATTGGTTCTCTCGCAAGCACCCGAGCTGGAGGACGAGAAGGATAGTCACATTGGATTTTCGTCTAGACGCGCGAGAGAGGGGTCAGTGCCGGGCCAGGCGTCCTCTTTAACCTATTATGTACCTAGACAAATCTAGGACACCGTCGGTAAGGCCGTTGTAAGTTCCGAGTCGGACCCCAGGTAGCTCACAAGCTCGCAACCAATCGCCCTTCGCCGTATCAGTGTAGAAGTATATCTTCTTTAGGTAGTCGAACGGAAAGGGCAAGTTGCGTACGAGCCAGGCCATTGAAAGATACACCCGGAGAATGAAGACAAGCTGAATGCAGCGGAACGAGGGAGCGCCTTACCCGTGGCGTCGCCGGCGGGACATTTTCCAGGCGCTAACGACATAGCATTGTTACTTTATCGCCTCGTTGTGTATAAAGGGGATGCGTGGGGAAGCCAATTAGAGTGGCGTACTCCGTACTCCGTGATTTGTAGAGCAGACAGACAGCACAAGATCATGGTTGCAGATGTGCGCAATCCAAGCAGCCAAAAATACCCAGGCTCTTCTCTAATGCTTCTTTCCATCACACAATTCGTCTGCTTTACCACACCACCATATGAGATATATGGGATAAACGATGTTCGGACTGGACCTGGCGAATGGAGGAAGAACGAGAGACCGCCTACTCTCAGATGGCTTTCACTTTCATCATGCCTGCAAGAGTATGGAGTAGAGCTGCATCGTAATATCTCCGACGTGGAAAAAAAGGTATCCATGACGCAGCAGCAGCGTATGTCCTAGTAAGATTATACCACCCCGTTGCTGACCGCATGCATGATCATGCATTTCCGACGCCGCCTGCATAGCCTTTGACAAGATAAAATCGAGGTCAATAGGTTGATATCATCTATTACCACGTCAAGCTTGAAATAAGGACGGTGATAAGAAGGATTGGGAATCCTGTTACGCTTCGTCCGAAGACGAGCATCCCAGCGACTGCTATATTCTGGGTCTCAGCGCCAGTGCTAAGAGCACCGCCGAGATATGGCTGAGACGTTGGAGAAGACACGCTAGCATCCTGGCTGGTCTGATTTTGCAGAGAATTGTTTCGAAGAGTACACGATGGGCGAGTTCGACTGGCCGCCAGCTGCGTGGTTTTGGGGATGGAGTTGGTTACCTGGATCGGGAGGTTGAAAATGGTGTAGAATCCAGTCCCGTTGATACGAAATGACTGATGAATCGAGACCTGCGAAAAGTGTCAGTTCACCAGGTTGGGCGAGAGAAGCGGCCATGATCCCACATTATAAGACCCTCTGGCCGATGAGCTCCCGGAATCCTTTTCACCGTCGTCACTTACGAAACAGTCAGGCCACGCCCAATTGACGTGTTTCACGGTACTGCCGCTCTCTTGTGCCATGATCTCCTCACAGCCCGCATTCTGAAAGCCTTGACTAGTTGAGGAGTTACAATTGAACTCAGGTGCTTCCGACCTGTCGTTCAACCAGCCGTAACTGGTGCCATTCGATATCGTCAAGTTGAGGCCCGTTACGTAGCTGAACAGGAAAATGGTTATGTTGAGAATTCCGGTTTCAACATTGGGAGAATATGGAGGCTGAGGGATCCGGCCATCTCCAGAGATATCAATTGCGACTTGGAGGAATTCTAATACCGCTGTCAGGTTCGTCAAGATCACCTTTTTGCAATAGCATAACGTGTCCGGAAGAGAATGCTCCATGCCGAGATGTACTCACCACCCCCTTCAGGCGTAAACGGTTGAGGCGCATCAATTATTGCTAAGCCTGGAGTGTATATCTGACCGTTGACAATGGTCAAGCTCGCTGTAGCTTGCAAGCAGGCGGTGAATAGTAGGCAAAGGAGCACAAGAGCTCTGGGTAAAGAGGGCCGGGCCAGCGAAGTAATCATAACGCAGTAGAAGCTCTTGCATTTATGGACATCTCATGGGAGTCACTGACACCATGCGAACGGGGCATCCTGTACGCAGCATCTCAAGAGCCAGAAACTGCGGATGGGGTGAGCATTAATTTGCTTGAAACCGCAATCAAAATTGTGACGCGAAATCAAGTTTCTCGAGTTCCAGTCCCTCGACTTTAACCCGTTGAAGCATACTGGATTAGCCCAAATAGGCTAGAAAGGGGAAGTCTTGGTACTCCGGCAACTTGCTCGGATTTGTACCAAAGGTTCGGCCCGATGAGCTAAAATAGGCAGAATAGGCTAGCTGGATGTCCATCGCCATACCCACGGACTCCGTCCAAAGGATTCACCTGTTTGTTGCGGCATTAGGGGAGGTTGGTAGGAGGGACCTGTGGACTCATTGCCTTTACTCCTGAGCCCTTCCTCGTCTAAATTCATCAATAGTTTCCACGAGCCCTGCTGTGTTCTCTAAAGAGAAAACATTCCTGGAACTAACGTTTGCTGATATAAAGGCATAGCTTCCTCACCTTTCCTAATAGTTTTTCCTCCGCTGGCATTATTCTTTGTACTTGCACGCTCCCATTGCAGATCCCGAATTTGGGCAAGTCTACTAAATTTGTCTTATCGTACTTGGCCAGAGGTGAAAGCCAGTCGTGGAGAACGAGATGGGTTAAGATCAGGGCCCCAGCAATAGGAGACGCCAGGAACGCTAGGTTTGCCGGATTCCCGCTCCCGACATGCATATTAGACATGGTAAGGGTGCTCGGTACAGTGTACGAGAACGTGGAGTTGATCCGCGTCGTAACCATGGCTGCGACTAGACCGAGAACTTCTTCGAGCACGTTCTTGGAATCCGGAAATGCGTACGAGTCGATGGGTTGATGCGTGTGGCTTGCTATGTCAGATCGAAACAACCATCAAGGCCCTCGTTTGGAGGAGGATTTGCTATTTTGCGGCCACGACTGTGGTTACGAAGGAGAGGTCTACAGGCAGGGCCCGTGCAGGTTCCGCCAGTTGCAATGAGCGAGCGCGAGTAGTGAGATTGTGACGATTCAACGCCGTTCTTCATTCTGAGGGAGACATTCCGACATTTGAATACGTCTCTGGCATCGGCTGTACAGGTGATGACGTAGATTGAGGTATTAGCCGTGGGAAGTGCGCGTTGGAAGTCGTTGATTGATGTAGAGGGCAGAATCAAGACTTTGTGAATGCGCGTCATTCTCTGTCTCAAAGAGCCGTTGCTCTCGTCTATCTATCACACGGGGTTTTCCCTCCTAACAGCACGTGTTTCGTCGTCTCAGCCACATCATCTCCGTAGACATTTAAAAGGTCGTTGAAGTCTGGAGCTCTTGTTCGGTCTGGTGAATATATCCTCAATGGTGCTCCGATGGCACTCCGGTGCACGGCCACACAAGGGTCGATGTACGCAAAAGTGTCTGGGACAAATCCATTGATATTTCCAAGAAGCATCTGGGCGTCGCGGGTAGGGAAGTCGCCTTCCCCCATCTGTACCATGTACGCGGCTCCATTATTTCCATCGTCCCATTGGTATGACCACCAGTCAGGATGCTTCGTGATAGATCGAGGAATTATCTCTGTACAGAGCCGCGGCGTTCGGTTCATCAAAATGCTAGGCCATTGGCGAGCTTCTGGCTGTGCTGGGTTGACCATGTGGCTGGCAAGGAGTCAGGGCTGTGACAACAGGAGCCGTGATAAGGCCTAAAGAAAGATAGCCTAGATAGAATGGGATGTTGTAAGGCGTTTTGTGAAGCAGATCGAGTATCAAGCCCGTTTGACCTGCCGTTTGACCGACAGCGCAATTTACAGCAAGATAGCGTCGACATAGATGGCAGCGACAGGAAAGGTTTTAGGCTAGCTATTGTTACACAGTTTGAACATCTATATAAACAGAAAAGAACTCGCTTAACGGACAGATAGACAGACATCTCTCAGGATAGACAAATTCGATCAACCATTTGGATACTTAAACATCTTACACGTTTCCTTGAGGCTGTCTATCTTGGAATCTGCACGCGAGCACCTAGTGAGAGGAAAATTAGGCGCATGCGGATCTCACGCGCTGGGGTTGTGGTCGAAATCTCTGGCAAGAAGGGTCTGTATTTGCGAGCTGATGAGGCCAGTGATGACTGTCACAAGAATGGACATGCCAGTGATGAGCTTTGACTTGAAGCCACAACACAGGATTGGGGCGCAAGTCCACGCTCAGAACCTCTTGTTATGGTCCACGCTACCCCGTACTCCAAGCTTAGCCCGAGGCAATGATGTCCTGGGCGGCATGATTTGAACAGAAGACATTGACCGTATTGGGGAAGATGTGGACTCGAAGCACTCCACTCCTTGGCAATTCTGGGCCACCCGGAAGTTCTGTCACCACGTACTGTAACTACTTAGGTTGCCACAGTCAGTGGGCAGACTAACTTGATGTGGCTCCTCTGTTAGTTTAGTACCGTCCAGGGTTGGCATGCGTAGGGGCGCACAGCCTTGGCCTATATTGGCCTATAGTGACAACGGACATTCTCGTATATGTTCCCTCTCATATTCATTATTTTCATCTCTCATACTACCCTATCATCACATACCGAGTATTCTCTCATGCATTTTCCTCGTCGTCTCACACATTGCCACTTGCTCACTCCACTGCATCGACTTCCCTCGCTACACGAGACACTCCAAAACAAACTCCGCATTCGTAAAACCATGGCTTGCTCTGAGGGAATACAGCCATTTCGGCCTTAGCTTCTCCTCCCAATCCGCATGAACAGGGCACATAAGCCCTAGGGTTCTTGGTCCTGCAGTGTGCAATCAATTGCAGACAGGTTCTAAACAGAGAAACTAGAATCACAACACCCCGTTCGTGTCCGCTACAAAAGATGATTACCACTAGGGTTATTTCAAGGTATTTCCGCCTCAGATTTCAATAAACTCACTCTTAATGGTATACAATACAGTACAGCATGGTCACAAACTAGCTACCAGCCTGTTTCTGACCTTCTGTCCAATCCATGCACTAGGTCTCACTGAAAGTGAGGGGCCGGCAAATCTCCAGTATTATTGAACAGTATGGCTAGGCAGTGTACACCGCCGAAGTGGTCATTGACGACACTACGTTCAATCTCCTCGTCGACACCGGCAGCAGCGATACGTGGGTTGCATCACTCAATACCACATGCTTTGACCCATTTGCTGAAGCGGCATGCACGTTCCCCACGCACCTGAGTGTTCCAGAAGATGAGAAGTCGCTCGAGCCCTTTTACACCAGCTACGTAGACAAATCAAACGTGACTGGTGGCTTGATCCAACGTCCGCTCTCAATAGCAGGGATTGCAATCCAAGACCAGGTGATTGGGTTGGTGGATGAAGCGTTCCTTGGCCGCACTGATGGCTCACTGGACGGGCTACTGGGACTGGGACTAGGCGCAGTCGGAACATCCTCATATCTATCTATCTTCGGCTCCATGATAGCGGACAAGCTGATCGAAAGGAATAGCTTCAGCATTGCGCTCCTGGGCACCGCCGACATGGATGAGAGGGACTCAGGCCTGTTGGCGTTTGGTGGAATTCCGGAGTCAATCAAACTAACATCAGAATGGGGCATTGCGCCTATCTTGACGGACGCGTTTTATGCGATTGAAGTTGATGGATTCATGTTCCCAGGGAGCGCAAGAGATCACGCTCTCGCTGGATCAGAGAATTGCGGTTATGGACAGTGGGACGTTCGTAACACGTCTTCCTCCCCCAGTTGCTGATGCGATTTGGGATCTCCTTCCTGGCACTCCAACCGACGAGTGTACCGGCGAAAGCGGCGAGAAATGCAAAGGAGACCTAGGGTATTGGAAGGTCACCCTGCGGCGTCCGAGACCGAGCAGATTTGAACTGTTAACTTCGTATCTCGGCATTAAGTGGCCGGCTGAACATCTAAATATTCAGCTGATGACTGCAATGTCGTATTCACAGAATGGGTATTTTCAGACTCGGCGTATTCTTGTCGGAGAGGTCACTTAGCCCGGAGGCCGCGGCTACCTACCTAGGTACCCAAGGCCTCCAGAACTGGATTTCGGCCGGGTCGGCGTCCGTCGTTCTCATCTGGTAGTTGTCCATGGTCTGAATTCGCTGTGTTGCTTGGGTGAGATTGACTGCGCCTGTAAACGTCCGCCAATAGAATACGCTACCTTCTTGATTGAGGACTGCAGCGTGTACAGTCGCACGTTTTCCCCTGGCAAATGTATTCGTTTCGTGTGTTCAACCTTCCAGCATGTGCCTTCCAATATCCAAGGGGGGAGAAGATGGTGCAAAAGATCTGCCCACAGAATGGTTTTTATGTCCCGTAAAAGCGGCGCGAATCTTGTCCGTCGAGATGTCTCTGGCTTCCACGTGATCACAATTTTCAATGCGGCTGTTGAGCTTCCTGCACTCTGGTCCACAGACTTCATCATCACCTCGCTGTCGCCATTCTAGAGGTCTTTCTCTCTTGGCTTCCAATGGAGCAAGTCTGTGCACGATGTGCGAGACTCGGTCTCAGGCCAAGATCTACCATTTCATCAGTTCCGCTGGCCAACAATGTTAGAGGATTTTCCAGCTCAAGAGCCTCATGTGATGAAGGTAACACTCACATTCCTCATCTAAGCCTAGCCGTTCAAGGACATGGCCGACTGACCTTAACATCGCCTAGGTGACCAAAAGCCATCTCGCCAGCCGAGCGGCAGACCTCTATCTGGTCCCTCCCTACGCGGCGCGCTTAACAGAAACACCGCGAGTGGTTCGGCTGCTCGACCACAATTACGGCCAGCAGGACCAGTCCTGCGACGAACAACTACACCACGAACACCAACCCCAGGCCCAGCCGGGACTGCTACTCGAGGTGGAACAGCTACTGGAGCAGGAGCAGGTTCTCGCACACCACCACCCGGCCGCCTTCTACAACGCACTGGAGCTCCACGCCAAGGTCAACAGCCTGTAGCTCGACGAACGGCTGGGCGAGGCCAAAAACCCCAACAGACGCAACGACGAGACCAGCCCAGAACCTCTGCCGCGACTGGCAAGCACACCGACCGGCGCGTCCGCCGCCTTGTCGAGAAGACCAAAACCTCCCTTGCCGAAGAAGAAGATTCGTCTGCGCTCGCCGCCGAAGACCTCCCTAGCCGCGTTGAGCACTATATCAACACAATCGTGGACCCGCCCGTGAATCCGACGACGGAACTCCCTCACGTGCCCGGTCAAGATCTCTCCGTCTCTGAATTGCGCAAAGATTGGCCAAACACACCACTCTCCAACTCCGGATTAGTGGAGAGCGTGCAACAAAGGATCGAGTGGCTCGCACATCGAATTCCGCATGGATATCAGACACCGGGACAATTGGCGGAATGGTACACCAAGGGGTATTTCACGCGTTTTGAATCCGAGTCGGAGAAGGAAGAGGTCTTGAAACTTGCGCAGGAAATGGCTAGGGCAGAGGCGGACAAGGAGACTGAGAAGACAAACGTCGAAGTCCAGCCCAAGGACATGGAGTTTGACGACGTGGTTACCCGCGCGGCTGAGCGCAAGGGCCTCGCGGATACCTATGTGCGTGGCGTATATCCCGACGTCAAGAAGCAGAAGATGCCGTTCTTGGACCAGATCGTGCGGAATCTGAACAACAACGCGACGTTTCCCCATGGCAAGACCGAGCAGTTTATGCAGACGGTGCAGAAGGTCATCGTGTCGCATGCGCAGGATGGTGGGCAAGCTCAGAAGAGGACCGAAAAGTAAAGTGCGCAAAACACACCTATGGGAGAGTGGCGCAGAAGAAACTGGATTGGGATTGTTGAGTTGGCTTTCAACGTATGCATCTGAGCTAGATACAATGTACAAAACTTTCTTCAATGCCCTAAAATGTCATAGCGATGCCACAGCAAACCTCAATGGATCATCGCCATCAATGTAACAACAAAAGAATGACCGTACACGAAAACGAAAGACAGAAGTGCCACTCAACCTCCATGACAGGCACGTCGATATTTAGGCGTCCCATCCTCCCTTTCCCAGCTTGATTCTCTTCGCAATTCTCAAGTTGCACGAGTCCTTTGCCCATCAACATGTCCTTTGCGGCCGAAAGCAAGTCTCGAAATGCACGAGAAGTCCCCTTTTTCCGACTGTCCTGAAACGGGAGAGCTCAATGCTCCCCCAGCTAACACATCGCGCCATTGCCATATCCTAAGCTCGACCGCAATCCTGGTCGACAGACACCATTGATAAGAATCTGGTATCGACATAGCGGACAGTGTGAGCGGCCCTCGCGAATCAACCAGACAATCAGGCACCATCTGTGGAACTGATGATTGCAAGGTAAGTTGTAGACGTATTCCGCTTTGCCAATGACCTCCACTTGACAAATAGCACAATCGTGTCCCATATCTTGCCGATCATCGGCACCGTCTCCGTCAGGTGCCTTGAAAGCAACCAGAGGACACCGTTTCATGGCGTGTTCTTCGGCGTCGAATATGCAAGCTTCTTGGACCTCGAGAAAGCGGTACTGTTCCAGCATGAAGAGGCCAAGAAAGTACACTGCGGGCAGGATATTTCGATTCATGGTGGTTGAAGTGATCCATAGGACATGCATCTAAATAGCCCAAGTCACTAAGATGCCGTAGTTGACCACCTCACAGGTCGTCACTGCCGTGGGTCTCCATTGCGAAGTAAATTGAGGGACCTGGACGGTATCGACCGTGGTGCACCAGCTAAGTCTCTTTATGTCGTTCGCGGCAATCATGGTAAGTACGGGCGCCAGGTTGACGAATTTGAGGTAGATCTGAGTATGACCGCTCAGCTTGTGGTTGTCTGCGGAGAGCCGAAGCTCGTCCAACGCTTTGCATAGGACGTCGACTTTGCGAACCAATGAATAAAGATGATAACGAATGACATAGTCTGTCAGGCCTTTGGTTTTCGCGGTGATGCAAGGTGATATGCACAGAGAGAGCGCCGACAGAGGAACTTGTTCCATCTTGGGCGCGACCATGTTGGATTGTCTGAAGGGAAACCTGGTGGAGATGGAGACGAGGTGAGCGTAAAAAAGAGATATAAAATCGGGAGAAGATACGAAGGAATGAAAATGGAACGAAAGTATTCGAGATACGACCGTTAAACGATACGACAGAGGCTTGGGAGAATGACCAAAGAGAGATGAACATACTCACGGCAACTTAACTTTCGACGGAGTATTTTCAATTATGAGGAAGGAGCCCTCCAGCTTCAATAGCAGCTGGAGATAATAGTGACATCCCTGGCATATTGAAGAGACTATAGTACAACGAGTGTTGCTTGGTCGGACGGCAGAGCACTGGCAAGAGAACAGGTACGACAAGTTGGCGGATTGATTTCAAGAATCAAGACTGCAGATTCCTCTCCAAGTTCCATTTTGTGGTCGCCCATCCTAAGCCCATCAAAAGCCCATCCTATCACACTCTCCTGCATCCTACACGCCGTGTATCATCGCTAACCTGGCACTCTAGCAGAGATCTTCTGCCCCACTGTCCGGATGCCGACGGCCTTTTCCCCAACGCTGTATTGTCACCAGACGTATCCCTCTGAACCTCGCCCTTTTCCTGGCAAGCTGGATTCGCTGAAAACGCTTCGTGACCGACTCGGTTTGGTCCTCTCCAATTTCCTCTCGTTGGTGATTATCCGCCTTTTTTGGTCTTGCCCTGTTCTTGCTTGCTACAATATGGTCTAGTTGATGCTTCGCTTCGTTCTCCTTCTTCGACCGATCGGCTTTGAAAGTAGGCACAGCCTCGTGACACACAGGGCACTGACCAAAATTGTCAAGAAAGGCCGCTGCACACGATAAATGGAACCAGTGAAACTTGCTGCAAGGCAAGAATAGCAGTGTCTCGTGATCAGCTACATGCCTGTAACAGAGCACGCAAAATGAACCCTCCTTTCCAGCAGCACCAGCCTCCTGAGCCCATTTTTGAAAATCAACATTCTTGCGAAAACGCCTCCGCGATCTTAAGCGAAGGGGGATCACATTGACAAATGCCTCCCTACGCATGACTTGTGGGAGATTCTCGCCAATGTTCGCGTCCAATCTCTTGAGCAGGGCCCCCAGTACCCGGAAAAGATATGCAAGCTGCTGCCAAACACCTGCAGGTGGATTAGTGAAGTCAACAGCAACGAAAAGAAGACGACAAAGCCATACTCTGGATACCCAGGTGCCTTGCAACCCGGCCGGTCACCATTGAGCAAGCCAGGACCACGAACAGCGTAAAGTAAAAATAAATGATTTCGCCCATTCTCCAAAGAAAGTGGACAGCCTTTGAAAAGATTCGGTGACCGGGTTGGATTCCATTTGCGATTAAATACCGATTCAGCAACTTGAGGTTAAGGCAGAAGTGGTGGAAGACTTCGAGGAAGCACTCGAGGTAGGCTCCGAGCCGATTTTGCACGAACGTCCACGGGGCGTGGGCGATGATCCCAGCGAGATCGAGCGAGAAGATGATGATGCCCCGGGGAGAGTCGAACAGGCAAACGGAGACAAACACAATGCAGGCCTGGATCCAGGTGGCCCACCAGCGGGTGAGAGGCACCCGAGACGCCATTGTGGTGAACTATGATGCTTTCAATAGACTTGTTTCCCTTTGAGACGAATGAAATGGTAAATCTGTAGATAAGAGAATGCAGACTTCTTGAAATGCAATGTTTTGACAGGCTGACGATTAAGATAGATTGAGAGATGAGATCAAGCCGGCGGATTTTTGGATCCTGCAGCTTGAAGGACGCGACTGCCATGTTCAACCGCTGTGCATAGGAGCACTTTGGAAGTTGCAACGGTCGGAAGGGCGCCGACATCGAACGCATCATTGTGAGTGAGCGAGCAGTGAGTTGGTTCAGAAGGCGCGCCCACAAGTTCAAAGTGCGACGATGGTCCTTCTTGTCTGACCATGAAATACCCATAAATATATATATATATATATATATATATATATGCGGAGTGAGGAGAACGATCCCTAGGTCATGGATGTGAAGTTGGGAAAGCAAGAAACCCACACCCCTGGAGCCCTTGGAGCCCCTATCGCAATCGCCAGCGCCACGTGATACGCCTCTCCTTGGTGCCTCGGTGCCTCGTCATCCCTGTCTTGATGACGGAATCGTCGTCCTTTTGCTTGTGAACAACGATCACCGTCCGCACAATCGCAGGTTTCCAGCAGCGTATATAGAAGACACACCACTGACACTGGGTCATCTTTGGAAAAGAATATCATAGATTCCCCACATGGCTCTTCCGCCAAAATGCTCTGGCCAGCTCCTGGCCTCGGCCTCCAGCAACCAAGCGAAACACACCATTGAGCTCTACCTGGATTATGTCTGCCCCTTCTCCGCGAAGATGTTCAAGACGTTCTACAACAGTGTTGCACCTGTCATTGAGACGAAATACACCAACCCTGGCGTCCGCGTCATCTTCCGCCAACAGATCCAACCATGGCATCCTTCTTCCACTCTGGTTCACGAAGCTGGTGTTGCCGTTCTGAAAACCGCTCCTAGCTCCTTCTGGGCATTTTCCGAGAAACTGTTTGAGCAACAAGAGGATTATTTCGACGTCAACGTGGTGAACGAGGGTCGAAATGACACGTACAAAAGACTCGCCAAGCTGGCCGGCTCCGTGGACGGTGTTGACGAGAAGACTATTCTGGACTTGTTGCTGGTCCCTGACAAGCCAGACCAGGATGGCGGACTCAATATTGGGAACAAGGTCACTGACGATGTGAAGTTCATGGTCAAGGCAAACAGAGTTACTGGTGTCCATGTAACACCGACCGTCTTGTTCAATGGCGTAGAGGAACGCACCTTCAGTTCAGGTTGGACATTAGAACAGTGGGAGGAGTGGCTGCAAAAGAACGCGAGCTGAAGGAGAGAGGCCAGACCAACAAAGACTCAACGCGGTTGTGACTTGAAGACCAAAGGACGCGTGGAGATGAAGATGAGTAGAGTGCAAGTACAACATCCATTCTTTCATGGGGTTGAGCTCAAGCGGTGGTGGAGCTGATGAGGCTATGCTAAACCTGATAGACCACCAACATCTTTGTGCCTATTTAAATTCTTTGGCCGTCGCGGGATCCATTCATCAAGACATACACAAACTGGTAGTAAGCACGCTCGCTGAATGCACATTTGAACCCGGTTCCTGTGTTTCCGGAGAAAACGCCCTCCCAATGCTGCGCTAGTCGGAGAAGTGATTCGGGTGAAATTGTTCCAAGATCAATGAGTAGGAGGCTGGTATCCAATCGGTCGTCTACAGATGTCAGCATCTTGACAGATGAAAATTTTGCCTGACTTACTTGAACAGGAGGATATGTGGTTCTGGTTCGTGGACTTCATAGTGCTCCCATCCTAGACTCTGCATTGACGTTCAGCCAAAGGTCACACGGAGAAGACTGTCTCAAATACCTGTGTAATACCCAATCCTCTCCATTCTTCTTCCCATAGCAATTTCAAAGTGCCCTTCGAGTCATCAAAGTAGTCTCTCGGGATGACCTTCAACATGGCCTTCGGGAGTTGCACATGACGGTATTCGAATTCGCTGTCAGAGTATCTGGCGCATATCAGCTTGGGAACAAAGGGTCAAAGTTTCTGTACATACCTCGCCGAGTATCCAATACTGTCAATGAATTCCTCTAGGCGCGCTCTTTCGGACTCAAGCAATAACCTGGGCTTCTTGTTCCGCCTAGCCACATCAATGTCGGTCATGGTGGGGGTTTGCGCAACGCAAGCAGTGATGCAGACTTCACTGGCCGACCGTTTCTGACTCCGGGGACGCGATAAGGAATGGTGTGCTGGCAGCGGGCGGTACAAACAGGCGCGGTGCTCGGGCAGCGGCGGACAGGATTCGCGGAATGGTCTCGTGCTCTGGGTATGCAAGGGCTGTAGAACGCGCAGGGAGAACGTGTAGATGATTACCGGACGGAGCTGTGGAATGTGTGGCTGCGAGTGTTCGACTCGAAGAAGGGCGGTTGGAACCGGACTCTGGCGAGGGGTCGAAGCAGAAGATTGCGATCTGCCTCTGTGTTCGAAGTGGATAGGTATCCAGAGGCTCGCCGAAGTAAACACAGACTGGGAGCCACAAGCAAAGGCTGGCCTATGGGAGAAGGTGCGGCTGCCAAGACAAGTCGGATAAACCCAGTGTGCCCAGTGAGCCAACACTTCGGATCAGGCCGAGCACTTACCTAATAATCCGTTCGCAAAGCAGAGGTCACGTGTGCTGGGATTTCGCCCTTCGCTGAGAGACACCCGTTCAGACCGTTGCGTGTGTCGCGTCCCCGTTGAGATTCTGTCACCCCCAAAAAAGACTGAACTCAAGGGCGAGCGATGGCAGTCTCGCCAAAGCGCATGCAACTCCCACACCATTGAATGCTTTCGCGAGGGCCTTCTTTGCACTCATCGTCTCCCCAGCACCGTCTTCCGGCACTGTGCACCTGAATCCTGATGGTGGCCCCTCCTGCGCCCGCATCCCTCGCCCAATCTCGAAACCTTGGTGAGCCCGCGAAATCATGAGCTCGAAGCGCAGAAGCGGCCCTGCAGGCGACCCCGACGACTTTCTAGCCACGCCTGATCCCAAGCGACGCAAGCGGAGCGACGTAAGTATTAAAATAATCCTCTCTCACTCGCCCAACTCCCAACGTCCACTTCCCACCACTGCACTTCTCGACCGTGCGCAGAGCAGCGGAACCCCCGCCTCGTGCACCTCACGATGGGTGCAATGCCGCCTGCACTTGAGTTGACCGCAGTGCAGCGCTGCATCGACCGCACTTGCAGTGTTTGATGCATCTCGGCAGGGTTTCGCTAATCCAGCTGTCTCTAGGATACCCATTTCCCTGAGGCTGAAACTCGAGAGACCACCACAGAGATTGGCTTGAGACTCGTAAGGCAATTGAAGAAGTCGCAAGACAAGAATGGCCGCAATGTCGCTATCCATTTCCTGGACCTGCCCAGCAGGGCCGAGTACCCCGACTATTATCAGCAGACTGCCATGCCCCTTTCCCTCAACATGATTGAGCAGCGGCTGGAGAATTTTGAGTATGAAAACCTGGAGAGCTTGGAGTCAGACTTGAAGAGAATGGTGCAAAATGCAAAGGACTACAACAATAGTCGATCTGCAATCTTTGAAGATGCAGAGCGCATACGCAAGGCTTTGTCCAATTTCATGCCAAAGCACAATCCGGCGTATCTGCGTCCAGACTACCGCGCTTACCCAACTCCCATCCCGCAGGAGCTGCTTGACCAGGTTCGACGTCAATCGATCTCGTCAGAAGGAACCATGGCTCCAGAGAGGGTCAAGTTGGTATTCCCAAATCCTGCGGCGAGGCGACGTCAAAGTCAGGCCACTCCATCCACTGACACCCTTGCTGACACAAGGGAGGATGTAAGGCAAGAGCAGTTGAAGTTTTTGCAGGAGTTGTCGGAGCAGGAAGATGCAATGTAACTCACCCTATCGAAACTCTGCTGGTGGTGACCACAACAGACTGACATGTGCCGCGTAGCAATTTTGAGGAAAAGGTCTCCAAGAAGGATTATCCCGACTATTACAAATGGATAAAGAAACCGACGTCCATAGCGGATGTACGGGCTTTGGTAGAGAAAGACGCGATCCAAGATTGGGACGCTTTGGCGAAAGAGGTGCGACTCATCTGGGACAACGCGAAAGATTACAATCAGGAAGAGTCCGACATCTACCTGATGGCAGAAAAACTCGAGGTTTGTTTATCCGAACGCGCGTGAAGACAGCGATAACGTGACCACACGTGCTGATACTGTATTCATTTTGTTCACAGGCCTGGTCAGAGTCCAAGATGCAGTCGCTTGGTGCTCAACCGCGTCGCAATCTCAAACTTTCATTGTCACAACCAAAGCCAAAGGCCCTGCGATTGACGATGGGTTCATCCACGCCTACACGAAGCCTGGTCGGCGGTACCATCGACAGCGAATCTCTCCGGCGACAGAAAGAAGAAATGGGTCAAGCCTTGAGTAAAGTGCGGAGGGCGAGTTCCAAGGCCACGCAGGTCAATGGATCAACCCCAGTACCTTCGAGCGCTGTCCCCAGTCTTCGTCGAAGCGCATCACTAGCCACAACTACTGAGCGAGCTGATACAACGACAGCCGAGGCCAAAGTCAATGGGACAACAAGCACTCCAGAACCTCAGGAAGCTGCGAGAGCTTCACCACCTCCTGCGCAAACTCCAGCACAGCAGCTGCCTACGCCTGTCCAAGAAGTCGACGTAGATATCGCGAATTCAATGCCAGTCACGAATGGAGCCGGTCATATTGAGCCCTCTGCGCCGCAACAAACCAGCCCTACGGCGACCGCAAATCCAATGGTCTCTAATCAGAATTACTTGAACCAATCTGTCATTCCCATGGAGCGACGGTTTCGCGACCCTGGCAGAGGTAAGTTCAGTCCTCCCCTTCATCCCGAGCTGTTTATCAGCATTAGTTGGCTAACACTGGGTCTTCGCTACCCTTTCAGGATGGGACTTTATACTGCTCGGCTCCGTGACATTCATGACCAACCCTTCTTTGCCAAACGACCCACGCTGGAAGCTCGTTCGCTACGGCTCGGCTATCAAGACACAAACAAGTGGTTTCATTGCCCTGCCTGCTCACTACCGCGACCTGCGCATTATCCCCAACACCACTCCCGAACTGGCCCGTCGTCGGCGTCATCGCATCTTTTTCATGCACAACTCCACCGTCTACAGAGAAGGCAACAGTAATCATGTGGAGGGGGCGTTCGAAGTTAGGCTTGTTCCAGGGGAGAATGTCCTTGTTGTGGAGGTCTTGGCAGATCTCAGAGATGGAGAGAAGAAGGAGTATGCGCCGAGTCAGCTGCAGTTCGATTTCGAGAGGTCCACCTTGATTGTACATCTCAACACGGCCTAAAAATACGGGAAGGTTGGTTTGCCATGAGATTAGGAAAGATTTTTCTTGGTGCAAATGGCCAAAAAAAAAGGATTGGAGGCGCGGCGGCCTGATTTTCGTCGGAAGAGCGCACAGCACATGCATGGGATTGCATTGTGGTATGTGGTTTCTAGGACTTCAATGCCTGTACGGAGTATGTCAACAAATCAATGAAATTGCGAGTGATTTGAACCGCGCGGTTCGAGTCCATGCAGTGGTAATCACAAGACCATACGCTTTATGTCATAAGTTTTGATCGTACGCTTGATTCGTCTATACGGTGTCTTCGGCTGTGTGAAGAAATTGGCTTGGTTCGCCCTTACCCTCGACTCAACCGAAATCCCCCCCCCCCTTACCAATCTGTCATTCCCATGGAGCGACGGTTTCGCGCACAGGGTTGCCATCTCATGGAAATGGAGAAAATAACAATACAGCAGTAGCCCCTATCCTATCCTACTTCGGAGCCCTGGGGCCTGCGACCCCGGCTCCAATCACGCTGGGTAATTCCTCCGCTCCCATGCTGTATAACATGCCAATCGCGCCAGCGATTAACGCGGCCATGACTACGCCGAAACTCGCAAACAGGACAAACGGCACGGAGATGTCTTTCTTCTGGCACGCGTTTCCGCCCCATTTCACCGTCTTCTTTGTCCGTTCCTCGTTGACCCGGACGAGAGTGGACCCGCATCGGCATTTGTAGCAGTTGCTGTGGGCCTTGTAGCAGGAGCCATGACCGGAGCAGGAGTTTGTGGTGTTTTCACAAGCGGATTGCGAGGCGAAGCACGCAGGGATTACGGAGGGGAGTGTATAGTTTGAGGAAGTGTTGGCGGGTCTGATTGTGTCAAATTCAGAGACGGAGGAGGGGAGGTCGAGGCGTTCTTCTTCAGATTCCTGCGCTGCGCGGGCGGCATGTTTGTGGCTGTGGGCCTTTTTCTTCTTGGGGTTCTTGAGCTTGTTCGTCGGAGGAAGAAGGAGGAGTGTGGATTCGACGTTGTCGGTGGCGGAGAAGTGTTTGAGGATGCGGATCAAGGAGTTCAGCTGGGTCTTGACGCCCGACGGGTTGGTGGGCAGAAAACTGTGGAGGGAGAGAATGATGGGGATATTTGGGATCTCTGAAGCCGCTAGGCATCTTCCATTTTCGGCGGGATAAGTGAAGATGGCCTCGACACCCTTGCTGTTGGGCGCATTGCGAGAGGGGGGAACTTCATACTCGCAGAGCCCGTCCTTCTCTTTGCGACTCCCGTCAACCACCGCCTTGAAATCGCTGAGTAGATCCTTTGTTGGGTCTGAAATCCATAGATCGGGCATGGCGAAATCGAAGTCCTTGATCTGCATATCAACCCCCGATATTCTGATGAACAGCTTTCCTGGAGCATCCTTGGGATGGCCCTCTCCAAACAGAGGCGCCTGATATCCTCCGTAGGTATTGAGGTCCTCAAGCAACATTGCATCTGTGATGCCCAGGTATCGATCAGCGGTAAGGGCTCTTCTTCTCGCGATAATGGCACTGGCCATTTCTGAATCAATCATGCCGGTAGACGGGGTGGTGATGGAGCGATCGATGGTGAAGAGGTATGCACCTTGGGCGGCGACATACTGTGCGAGTGCTGCACAAGGCAGTAAGGCTGATAGGGGCTTCATAATTACTATCGCCAGCTGAGCTCAATATTGAGCTGTTGATTATAGCTGGCAGCACTGCAGAGCAAGAAGCACATTAGGGAGAGAGGGAGTAGAGACACGGATAATTGTTTCGGCCTGGAGAGCTAATTGGACCTCTCAAGACCCTTTCACGTGCAAGATGCAGCATGCAGCGGGCCCCTCCCAACTCCCCAACTCCTCCGCCTGCGATATTTCGAGGCTGCCTTTCATCGGTGGACTGACATCCTTTGATTTCAACTTCTGCGACAACATATCCTTCCTTCCATTGACTGCACTCTTCTTCCGCTAGTTGGTTAGGGAGAAGGCATTGTGCATGAAGTCGATGCCATTGGGGACGGCCAATATCCACCATCCGTCAACACCTTCTCGCTACAATGCGACCTACTGATGCCTCGACCTATCCCTCCCTGCCCTCCCTATGCTTCGGTATCTATTCCGTAGCTCGCGGAGCGTTCGCGTTCCCCTTCAAAATGGACCGGTCGATCTTCAAAGGGTCGCAATAACCAGAAGATCTAAATCCACGTACGGGTTTTGCCCACAAACCACACGAGTCCATGGAATATCGCTAAGAACTACAGACCTATCTTCTACCGACTCTTCACTACCATTGCGCTTACCTATTGCGTTGCTAAGACAATTAACTATGTCTACCCGGACACTGCGCATGGCTCCAGGCCCCAAGTTGAATCTGTCAAGAAGACGCGCGAATCTCAAGATCGGTCGAGATCGTGGCAAGAGCACTGGGACAAAGCCAACACCAATGGCTCGACAAACCAACCGGACGTTATCCACTTGATGTTGCCGATTTGGATCCGCCGGACAAAGCCCCAGCCATGGGATCCTGATGATCCAACTTGGAAGTCGATCCAATCTCTCCACGCAGATACCAAGCGCCTGCGTGAAATCACAAAGGCGATCCAAGAATCTCTGAAGCGGGAGGTGGTGAAAAAGTATGGTCGTGTTTTATTGGAGCTCGGCGGCAAGTTTGCTTTCCACGCTGGATGGAGATTGGCTCCGCCGTTATATGCTCCCACAACTTATGAGGTCCCATGCATCTTCTTAGAGCCCGGCACGGTCAGCTATGGCTGGAGGCAGCTGCCAAATAGCATGGGAGGGAAGATGGATCGTGTCTTTCATCCCATTGTGCTTGCCAAGGCCTTTTTCTATGGGTTTAGAGAATTTGCCTGGGCTTCGTATCTGATCACCAAGGCTCGACTGATTGATCAGCTCAATTCTCTCGGCGCCACCGTCAAAGACCCCTCCACGCCGCAGAATCCTCTCAGTGAAGATGAGAAGGCTCACAGGCGGTTGAGTTTTGGAAAAATATCTGAAAAGGACAAAACGTTCTGGCTCCCTTTTCTTCGCGGAGAATATGGTGAGCATGACTCAAGACGCGCCTACCGTGACCTTGTCAAGTCCATGACCTACCAAGGTGCAATCGAATCAGGATGCGCCGTGTTCCGAGCCTATTGGATTCACGGGCAAGAAAAGATCATGCAGTCGTACACTCGAGATAGCGTCCTTATGGTTGGAGAGATTGCCTTCGTGGGAGACAGAGGCACACTGTTTGTACATGCCGTGGCGGTATACTCCCCCGAGACCGACTCGCTCATTGGGCCACCTATCCTCAAGCATGCGTATGTCGTCCCGGACAGAGAGAAGTGGGTGGAGGAGAAGGTCCCCAACCCTGATGAGAACGACTTGCTGCAAACTGAAAGACAGGAACAGACAAAATTGATTGCTCGAGAGGCTCTGAAACCATCAACTGAACCAGGCGAGGCGCAGAGGACGGGGAAGCCTCCTTCCAGCGAGGAAAATCAGGAGAAGAATGGCGAGAAGTGATTTGATATGCAACTGCTTTGGACACAGCGTAAGGCGTTACTCAGGATCTGCAGCTTGGGACAGCTGGGATGTGCTCTGGGCTGGTGCCTTGGCCATGACTTTGACGACTTGACTTGCAGAGTATGAACCATGGAGGCGACTAGAATGTGTTTGATGCCAAGTCACTTCCTGTCCAAGTGAAGTGCTAGTAGTGAATTCTTCTCCTCACTTGACGTCGGCGAATTCAGACCGATCACCAAACGCTAACATTGACCTCACTCTTCGCAAACAGCAAGTCTCCCGAACACGTGCCACCAAAAGCCCTCTCGCCCTTTCACAATGCTGGGATCCAGCCTCGGATCCAGCCTCGTCTCTATCTCGCTGTACTTCATCCTCAACCTCCTCGTCACCGTCACGAACAAGCAAATCTTGTCTCAGGCATCATGCCCCTGGCTTCTCACCGCATCCCATGCTCTCACCACGTTCATAACCACGGCAGCGATTTTGCGCCTGCAGAAGCCAAAACTCACTTGGACAACTACGGCCACGTCTACATCTCTTTCACATTCGTTGATCCGTGAGAGACGCCATGATGATGGCGACGATGTGACTGAACAAAGACACCGAAATGGAGATGAGATCAGAGCCAGTCTGGTTGTGCACCTGCGGGTCCTGCTTCCCTTCTCTCTGCTTTACACCCTGAACATCGCTTTGTCCAACTTGGCCCTGGGCTTGGTCACTCTGACTATGCACCAAACCATCCGCGCTGCGGCTCCAGTCATCACTGTCCTGATCTCCATCGTGGGGCTTGGAAGGTCTTGGCGAGAATATCCCTCAGGGGCGTACGGAGCCATCGGTCTGACGATATGGGGTGTGATTATTGCAACCCACGCTACATCCTCTGCAAAAGCGAGCGACGGGAATGCTCTGGACTCGACAACGACAACGACAACGACATTTGGATTCGGGATAACATTGCTTAGCGCCGTCTTGGCCGTGGTGAAAACGATCCTTACACACGAGTTGCAGCAACCACCCCGCTCCAGCCGATGGGGACTAGGTCTGCCCTCAACGAGGCTGGTGCAATATCTTGCTCTTTACGCTGTGATTCAGGCGGTGCTACTTGCCAGCTGGACCGGCGAAATCAAGCGTCTATTCACATCCGACTCGGAACTGGCACCACCGACGCTAGTACGAAACCTGAGCGGTCGATCGCCTCAGATAAGACTGCCGTGGCCGTGGCTATGGCTCTTCAACGCCCTCGCCGCCTCGATGCTGAACCTTGCGTCCTTCCAAGCGAACAAGCGGTGCGGGTCCCTGAGCATGGCCATCGCCGCGAACATGAAACAGGTCGTCATCCTGCTATTCCTTTTCATAAGCTTCCGTCGCGACATTGCGATGCTGGAGGTGTTGGGCGGAGAAAAGGAAAAGAAACAGGCAGCTGAGTTACGACAGGCAGAGAACATTATCGTTCTTGGGTCCTTGATGACGGCCCTTGGAGGCATCTGGTACGCTTTTGTCTGTGTGCAGGTGAAAAAGAGGCAACGGAGACGATATCCAGTGGGAGACGATTGGGATTCTGACAGACGAGGCTGGAAGGGATAGCGGCAGCTGGTCCACCACCTAATACCTACCTAGGTACACAAGCAGTCCGAGAGCTCGGAAAACGAACGCTGCGCGGCTGGTCTTTGAGTGGGAGGGAGGTTTCTTGGTCCGAGCAGGTCAGAGGAATCAACAAAGCAACGCTAAGCGGCAGGTCCTTGAGAAGGGGATTTCTTGGTTGGAGCAGGTGAGAGGAACTGACAAGCCACGGTGCATTTCCTGTTCGATGCGAACTTTTCATGTCAATCGAAATCCCTGCCTTGTTGGAAAGCTCGCTCCAAACACGGCGCAGCTAACTGGAAGGGAAACAAATGAATGGCAGAAGCGATACCTCATCTAGCACTTTCTTTCCACTCCCATTTTCATGTCTTCCAGGAGGGACGTTCGACCAGTTCTACAAAGTGGTACTGGCACACATGATACTTTTCTTTCCAGAGCCCGTCGTTCCATGTCGCTTTTCATCCCTTTTTCCTGGTAAAAGTGCGCGTAGGATTCTCCTCAAATTCTCTTTTTCCCGTCGGTTTCATAGTTGTAGTTACATATAAATACACCCACACGTCCCTCTCCATCCATCTTTTCCCCCTCTAGTCCACGCAATCCAACAGACAGAGTCCTTCGTCAACTTCTGCCTTGGGTAGCGTAGCGTCTCGTTCACCCATGATTTTCTTTTCCTTTTTTTTCTTTTCATCCATCCAAAGCCTTCAAGCTCGCTTCATAAACCTTCTTGACCTCATCCTGGCCCTTCTTCACAACCTCCTCCATCTGCTTGTGCGCCTTTCGCAATTCGTCCACAATGACCAGTTTTCCCAACTCCATCTTCCGAAACCGCTTTTGCGCGTCGCTCCTCGCATTCCGCACCTCTTGGGACGCACGTTCGAACATCTTTTTGGCCTCGGCGCGCGCGAGGTTGCGTGTCTCCGCTGTGATGGGCGGGACCGGCACGGTTATGAGTAAGTGGTTGGAGGAGGTCGGCGGGTTGGATTGAGAGACAGAGGTCGTGCCAGGCGTGTGAGGGGCGGTGGTTTGCGGGACGAGGCTGTAGGGACTTGCCAGCAGCGCTGATGCTATAGGCTTGACGTGCTATAATAGGAAAAGAAAAAGCTCGTCAGTACTGGGGTTTGACTAGAACTAGGGAAAGGAACAAACAGCCCAGCCCCATCGGCCTCCAACGTGAAAGTAACAAAGCAAATACGGAAGCATAAGTACTTACAGCCTCTTCCGCACAGAATATCTGTACACTCCTTCCCCCCTTGGCAACGACACTCGCCAGATCTCCCACCTTGACTTTTTCCTTGTGCGGGCTTCCTCTCCCCGTCTCCGCTCCCTTGACATTGATCTCCACGGGCAGCACCTCGATCATTTCCGGCGTGACTCTGCCCGCGTCTTTCGTCTTGACCAGCGCATCCTTTAGACGCGCGACGGCCTTGGCGATCCCGGCCTCGAGCTCGGAGAAGTCGTAAGGATCGATTTCGCTGTCGCGGTTGCGCGTGGCTTTGTTGTCCGGGATGTGCACGGCATCTTTGTGTGTGAGGGAGTCGACGGATGGGGATTTTCGGGAGGATTTGGACGACGATGAGGATTTCTTGAGCAGGAATGGAGAGGTGGAGAAGGCTCTGTTTGTGAGTTGATGGGATTTTACGGACACTGTCGACGGGGGTACGCGTCTCGGTGAACAAGACTGAAGCAGTCGAGTTTGGCATTGGAGGCAGAGGGATCGCTGCAACGTGCGCGGTAGCACATGCGCTGGGGGCAGCTGTCGGATGACTTGTGCCACATTTTTGCTTCGTGGAGGCATTTTCCCGGATATCTAGACACGATTGACTAGGTTCAAAGCCCGTGAGAGTGGAGTTGTTTGGATTTCGCAAGGAAGTTCGTGCTCTGTTCCTACAAACTCGGAACTTGAAGTTGGAGAAGCTGCAAGGTATGGCGACCCACCTCGACGCTAACGGATGACAAGGCTACGAGGCTGCAGCCTTCAGGGGGTTACCCTTGTCCATCTTTCAAAGCACACAGAAACCCTGTCCACACGATCCCCGCAAAGTCTTCCTGAACTCAGGGATATAAATAATACGTTCACAGATTGGTGATTTACAGTCCGATGGGATATTAAAGCTCAAATCTAAAGGGACGGCTTCTACATTCTATGGGGGAGTGGTTGAGAATGCCACCACGCTACCTAGATGTACGAGGCTAATTAAAAGCCGTTGTAGTTGTGTTGTGCTTCGCAGATGTGTTTTCGAAGGAGCTTGGTTAAAGGAGAGAGGCAGAGAGACAGCGCAATAGCTAAAGAGAGGCATCATTCGTAGTAGAGCTACCCTCGAGAGATCAACTAGGGCGGTATTTGGAATTGTCGCAAGCTACACTGCAACGTAAATGTAAAGCAACATTCTTTGTACTGAAATCGTCTCAAATGCACCGTCGCGGCAAAGGAAACAGCATCTTCATTCTGATTTCGTGACGGAGAAACGAGATCGCCGCTCTATCTTAACACAAACTAAGGCAATAACATTTCCCTAGCCTTGTAGCGAGTCTGACCAGCAGATGCTAGTCTGATTGACCCGCCTGAGAACTATCCGAAAATGACGCCAGCCACATTTCTTTTGAGTGCCATGCATAGTGTGATGAGGATGGGAGAAGTAGCGCCCCGAGGTCTTTTCGGGTCATTGGTACCTCGATCAAGAGTGTCTTGATAAGTCCAAATGGTCGACAACTAGAGGTCTGTCTACCTCGTAGCCATGGCCTTGGTCATAGCTCTCTTCAGAGCCAGCTCCTTCTTCTTCAAGTCATCTGGTGTGGAATCTTCCACCTCAAGTTGTTGCATAGCGTCGCTCAGAGCCTCCTCGATCTTGGCCTTGTTGCCACGCTTCATTTTCATCGACAATCCAGGGTCATTGATCAGCTCCTCCACACGGCCGATGTAAGACTCGAGTTGCTGCTTAGCTTCGAATTTCTTGGTGAATGCCTCGTCGCTGGTCTTGAATTTGGCGGCGTCTTCGACCATCTTTTCGATTTCCGAGGTGGAGAGTTTGCCGACGGCATTAGAGATGGTGATGTTGGCGCTTCTGCCCGAGGATTTCTCGGTCGCGGTGACTTTAAGGATACCATTGACGTCGACCTCAAAGACAACTTCAAGAGCAGCCTCACCAGCTCTCATCGGCGGGATGGGAGCAAGCGTGAATTCACCCAGGGAGGTGTTGTCTTCGCAGTTTGTCCGCTCTCCTTGGAACACGGGGAATTGAACCTGAACTGGTGTCAGCCTATATCGTGGGCGAGGGCAGGAAAAACACGTACAGTTTGCTGGTTGTCGATAACCGTAGTGAAGGTTCTATTGAGATATTAGCGATTGTAATGGCCACGGATGACACGCTGATGTAAATGAAAGATGCAGAGGTGATGGGTCGGTTGAACCGACAGCGTCGAAGTGTGGGGGAGGGACGCATTTGCCAAGGGGGAGAATGCGTCCATGGGATGAGGATGAAGACAACGGATATACTTGCCTCTTCTTAATGCAGGGAACGGTCTGTCCACGAGGAACAACGGGAGCGAAAATGTTGCCTTCCATAGCCACTCCGAGAGACAGAGGGACGACGTCAAGTAGGAGGAGGTCGGCAGTCTCAGCAGAAGTGGCCTTGCCGGACAGGATACCTGCCTGAACAGCGGCTCCGTAGGCAACGGCTTCGTCAGGGTTGATGCTCTACACAAAGTCAGCAGAAATTAAAATCGGCAATTGAGGTCACGTGCCTTTTCCAGCTTCTTGCCATCGAAGAAATCACTCAGCAGTTTCTGGATGCGAGGGATACGGGTTGAACCACCGACAAGCACAATCTCATCCACCTTTGACTTCTCGATAGCAGCGTCTTTCAGAACTTGTTGAACAGGCTCCAGAGTGCCGTTGAAGATCTTGGCATTGAGATCTTCAAAACGGGCACGGGTGATTGTAGCATTGAAGTCCTCGCCGTCGAACAACGAATCAATTTCGACAGTGGCCTGCGTTCCGTTCGACAGCGTTCTCTTCGCGCGTTCGCAGGCCGTCCGAAGTCTTCGAAGGGCACGGGCATCCCCGGACAAGTCTTTCTTGGTCTTTCTCGTGAATTCCTTCTTGAAGTGTTCGAGGAGATTGGTGTCGAAGTCTTGACCACCCAGATGCGTATCTCCTGCGGTAGCCTTGACCGTGAAGACACCACCCTGGATGTTTAGTAGGGAAACATCGAACGTACCACCACCAAGGTCGTAGATGAGGACGTTTCGCTCCTTGTCTGATTTGCCAGACCCAAGACCATAGGCGATGGCGGCAGCGGTGGGTTCGTTGATGATACGGAGAACGTTGAGGCCAGCGATGGCGCCGGCGTCCTTGGTGGCTTGTCGCTGGTTGTCGTTGAAATAAGCAGGCACGGTAATGACAGCCTTGGAGACTTTCTTGCCCAGTTTGGTCTCTGCAACTTCCTTCATCTGTGGCGCAGAGAATTAGTGGGTTGCAGTAGTTCAGACAGAAAGACGAGCGCCCTCACCTTCACAAGAACCATGGACGAGATTTCCTGTGGTGAGAAAGTCTTGGTCTCCCCCAAATATTGAACCTGCACCATGGGATTGCCACCCTGGTCAACGACCTTGAACGGCCATGATTCAATATCCTTCTTCACAGTCGGGTCATCAAATCGTCTTCCGATCAATCTCCTGCGCCACGGTTAAGAGGAACTCAGTATTTTCCGGGCAGATCGCACTGACTTGACATCAAAGACTGTGTTTTCTGGGTTCATTGCCGCCTGATTCTTTGCAGCCTCGCCGATGAGGCGCTCTTCGTCGGTGAAGGAGACAAACGAAGGAGTGGTGAAGCTACCCTGCTCATTGGCGACTGTGATGACAGTCAGTACGTCACTTAGTTTCGCGGGTCGATGGCAAAGGCGGTCTTACTGATTTCGACATTTGTGCCTTCGTAGACGGCGACGCAGGAGTAGGTGGTACCTGATGGGCTCTTTGTTAGAGGGCGCAGACGTCGGTGAGGGCGGGGAGCGAGCGGCATACCAAGATCGATGCCGATGGCACCTTCGTAGACTTCGTCGGCCATGATGATTGGTATGAAAGTCACTCCTCTCTGACCTTCTCTGGCAGGAGGACACGAGAGCAAAAGCGAGACGTGGAGGTGTTGTAGGCAGAGGGCGGAATCAGCCTACAGCAAAGTCAACCCTTCGAGAACTTTTTAAGCCACGGACCACATAAATTTTCCAAAATTTTGGCCAAGAACTCGGTATCCATGGCCCACTTTGTGTTGTTTTGGGGGTAGAAGTCATGCCGCCTTGTGCGTCCGCCGGCTCACGTGAGCTGTGTATTGGTGCGGGCAAGGTGCGGGGCATCTCATTGAAATTGAGCAGTGTGAGTGAGTGCCAAAAGCAGCGCCACTGACCACACACTTCTTGACAAGCCAAACAAACTGAAGAAACTGGCGGCCGCTTTACATCAAAGGCATCGTGTTATTGCACCCGTCGCCCTCTCACCACTTCCACCGGCGATTGACAACGCCAAGTTCCTCCCCCCCCCCCCAGGGATCTAATGCCAAATCTATGATTCCAAATATTGCACAGTTCAAATGATCATCTCACAAACGAATACAGATACAGATGCAGCATATGTGTGCAGCTGTGCAGCCAAAGAAAAGAGTACAAAGAGTGCTCTATGCAGTCCCCCATCCCCTCAACTGTCCAATAGATATGGCAAACATCCAAACAACATCTTGAGCGCCGTCGCGTGGTCCGAAGGCTCTTGTTGAAGACTTGCGCTACTGCCTTGCCGACTCATTTCCCACCAGCATATGCCCATCCTCAATGTTGTCGTATTGCCCTGGTTTGAATCTGTCCGGGAACCAAACAAGGAAAGCCGCCTGGACAATCCACATCGGTGCCGCATCAAAGGCGTACATCGGCCACTCATTGATCAGCAGATATGAGTCCACGCCCATCACATACTCGACAACGCGGAAGATTGATCTTAGCGTGATCAACGCGCTGCAGATGTATATCATCCTCAACCCCTGCCTCCACGGGACTTTTGGCCTCAACCGGCACTCCTTGTCAACGTTTCTCTGCATCCTCACGTGGAATACCAACGCAACAGCAACGAACCATCCAAAAGCGATCAACTGGATAAGCAGGCCAGCGACCACTATATATTTCCCCACCGTTTCAGTCTTTTTCTTGACCGTCAACCCAGCACCATCTCCCTGCACGTTTAGCGATAGGAAATCCGCCAAGACGAATAGCTTGGTCATCTTTGCGGGCCGAACAATGGAGAAGCGCTCGCCGTGCACGCTGCAAATGAGGCGACCGAGGACCATATAGACGGAGGCGGTATAGAGGACGGGCGCCAAGAGGATGAAACAGCTCTGGACTGTGTAGGGCGCGATGAGATCGGTGCGGTAGTGAGCAAATACGCGGACGGCATAGCCGATTACCTGGACTGCGAGGAAAAGTTCAGTTTTCGTCCCCCTAGGTGAGTCGAATTCTTTCCACAGGCCGCGAGCTAAGATAGAGTTGTGAAGGCTTGAAAATACAACTTACAGAGTCCACCGAGGGCGAAGGGTATGCAGAACCATGACCGCGTCTTCACCGTGCGCCAACAGACGATGCCAGTAACGATTGTGAATAAGATAATGAATATGACTGCGGCGAGGACCGAGGGGAGAAATTTCCATAGGTAATGGTCCGTTCCGCTCACAGGCCTTAGTTGGGCCATGGTCGTCTTGTGTGTTGATGTGTTGGAGGAGACAGTCGTCGATTAGGGCGCCTCGAGACTGGAACAGACGACCCAAATCGGGCCGTGTATACAGGGCGAGTGTTTGGAGGGAATCAGATTTATTGTTTGACGAGAAAGAAAGGGTTGCCGTGGTCAGGTACGTAGCTGCTGCTTCAGTCAAGAGAAGGGAAGGATGTATATAGTCCATATATACTCGGTACCTGCACAACAGAACCGACCGTGGCTGAGCACAGATCCACCTCCAGTACTGCTGCAATGCCCCTGGTTCTAAACCTCCGTACAAGCAAACCGTCTCACCAAAACCATCTCTCTCTCAAATGTACGAGTGTCTACCTAACCTACCAGATACACTGGATGAGGCCAGTTTCGGGGCCGTACTATTCCTCGAACGATCCACGTCTATCTGCTCTGGGCCCGCCCGTGTCACTGAATTTGGCTTAGTGTACGCGTACACTAACAAGCGAGCAAGATTTGGGTCCCGCACCGCATGCTGTGACAAAGTTTGGCAGGCAGCCTTGTCGGTGTTAATTCCCGCCTTTGCAATTGGAGATAAATAGGGGTAGCCGAACGGCTGTGGCGTTTTGGGCGTTTTCGCTTCTGGCTTCACGCTTCAAGAAACACGACTACCTAGTTGATACTACTGCTCCGTGCATATCAGGCAGCAACTTTTATTCTGCGACCCTGGAGAAGGACGATGGTGGATCCCTCCTCGCCCTTCGTAGTAGATACACAGCACTCCATACCTCAGAGTACGAGTCCTCGCGGTGCGATGCGCAACGTACTATGTGATGTCCCTGAATTATCCCCGAGTCTAGCCTTTCAAGGAGGAGTCCGAGTCTTCGTCATCTCGAAGCACCGCTTGTGGAAACTTCAACCACTCCTGCCAGCGGGAGTCCAGGCTCCTACAAATCGTCTCGATTAGAAAACGTCCGCTGTCGCCGAACAGCCACAGGTCCCGGCCCCGATGCAGAAGGACAGCATAGTGTGCGAGGATGACAAGGGCTTCCGCTCGCTTCTGCCGCAGCAGATCTACGTATTCGGATGAAGCGAGGACCGGCCATGCAAGCACCGCAGGTACTCCGATTCTGGTCCCCGAGGCTGCACGCTGCGCATTGAACACGCGCTGAAGATGGAATATGGACTTCCGATACGCCTCCCGAGAGTGCAGAGGGGTTCTAGTATCTGATGATGACGCAGTTATCACATCCCAGAGTGCATCGCATTCTGATCCCCTCGCGTCCGCTGAGTCCATAAGGACTTGGGTCAATTTAAGACGGGGTCCCAGTTCCGACTCGAGCAGCAGATGCCAGCATTGGTCGATGACGGCGAGCATGCCACGGTAAACACTTAGACAATGTGTGAATCTATCAATGAAGCTTTCCAGGCCGTCTCTTTGATAACGCAACGTCTCACACAGTTGATGAACGCCGACCCCGGACGAGAAGAGGAACATGTGAACGCAATTGGCCGGGGTCACTTCCAGGACGGGGTTAGCTTCGTTGAAGAGTGATATAGCACGGTTTTGTAGACCCGTGGCATGTCCACGGTAAAAGGTACGACACCTGGTAGTCGTCGTGCTGAGTTGCAAGGCTGACGTCGCGAGCATCTGATGCATTAGATATGGTATGCTAAGGGCATGTTTGGCGTAAATTTTGGTCGTCATAATGTCAGGTCGCCCTGATTCCTCGAAAGAACGAAATTTTGTGCCGAAGAGATTGTGGAAGAGCGCGAGGTGATTCATATTTATGTTGTAAGGGTCGAATGCTCCCTGGTTGTTCATTGTGTACTCAGGCCATGGTGGAGCCGGTGTCGATGTCCTGGTTAAAGAAGCGCTAGATCCCGCCACTCGTGTATGGGAGGAAGCATGCATGATATAGGGCGAGTCGCTATCGAGAAAGGAACACCGTATCTCAGCCGACGCACAATTGACACATATCGGCAGGTTTTCGTCGCACTTCAAGATGTTGTCAGTCTTAACTCAAGGGTCGATATCGTAAGTGGACGCACTTTGATATGCCGCCTTTTGCACTCCAGACACCCATTTCTGGACTTCTTGTGATGCCGACGAGACATAGATCGATCAGTAGGAAATATATGAATGACCACCAGTATCCTCTGAAGTATTTTAGCCTTCCGAGTATGACTTGTGGCTCTAGAGAGAGTGAAGGGGCCATTGGGCTTTTATACTCACCTTCAGGAAACGGCGGTGGTGCCGATGGCGGCGCGGCGGTGGGTGAAAATGAGCAAAATGCCAGCTAGAGGACCACACATTCGTACAAACAATTCTCGACGCACAGATCCCATGATAGATTAAATTGTAGAAGTGAGACATGCAACACAAGGCATCGAGCAGAAGATCAACAGAGGGACAAGGAAGGTACAGCGAGTGTTGCCTGGAGAATCGCCCACTCTTGGCCACTAGGCCAACGTCAAGGCATCAGTCCTTTTTGCTCCCAGTAATGGCAGCTACCCACCAGCACAACTGATCTATAGGTACCTCACGCTGGAAGGGATGTGAGGGAAAAAAAGGAGCATGTTTCCGTGCCGCAGTAACGTGTGCCGCCTGCTTCATTGGGTATCATATCTCAGAGGTTCCATAGCGCCCCTCCATCAGCCATTCCCTGCCTGGCCTCGCCTTGACCGTTGCAGATTACCATCCATCCTTGATATCACCTTTTGATCAATCCAGTACACCGCTTTCTCTTAACCCAGCAAGCAACTCGGGCTCCAGGAACCTCTTAACATCCACATCCTCGCTCAACCCTTTCCTCCGTCTTGTCTTCAGTACAAAGTCTCTTGCCGCTTGCTGAGGCGCAGCCATCTCCAGCGGTCTTACACGGATACTTTTATCCAATGGATCCCCGGGAACGACATCCCAGCGTTCAAAGACCAGTGAGACACTAGCTGCTCCTTGACTGTGGATCCGCAAGTCCGTCTCAAATCCAAAACTGTCAATCACGGGGAGAAGCGCTTTGGCTGCGTACAGTGGCGTCCCTGCCACAGGCCCATCAGAAACGACATGTCCACGCCTCTTCATCAGCACTGTGTAGAGGCCAGAAATCGAGTCAGCTGGACCAGTCATATGGACGCTGTAAATGGGTTCCATCAGTCGAGGACTGGCCATCAGGAAGGAACTGTATACCGCTCGTCGTGCCGTCGGTATGATTTGTCCGCCTCCTCGGAAAATAGGCTCTGTCGCTAACTCGGCGCCAGTAACTCGGAATTTTGTGTTGCGGATTGGCTCTTCACACAGTGGTCCTTCTCTCGTCCCCCACGAAAAGCCTTGCTTGATACTCTCTTGCACAGACTTGAGCAGCTTCTTATCCGTGGTAGAAGGCAAGGTATCGTCGCAAAGAATGTTGGGCCCCATCTCGTCTGGGCCAAATGCCCATATTGATCGAGCAGCCAATTTATCCCATTCGTATTTTTCCTCGAAGAATTTTGCAACTTTCCTGATTGGATCTCGAATTTTGACAACGCCAGCCTCAATATCCTCAGCAATTCCATCATCCAGCGGTTCGGCGATCATGGTCAATTTGTTCTTTTTGTTGGGGGTCAATGCGTAGCACATGATGGCGCTTGTTTCGGTCACGGTCTCGCAGAATCGAGTAACGGGATCGGAGACTTTGATGTCCATTTCGGCATACTGCGTTCGCAGGTCATGCAACACACAGTCCATGTACAGTTCGCCTGTGCCCAGGACAACGTGCTCTCCTGATTCCTCAACTTTGGTGGTGATGAGAGGATATGACTTGTTGATTTTGCGCAAACCCTCGAGCATTTTGGGGAGCTCTGATGGGTTAACAGGTTCAACTGCGACCTTGAAGACGGATTCCGTGAAATGGCGAATCGCTTTGAAAATGTAGGCATCCTCATTATCCGGGTATTTCTCAGCAACTACTGTGGCTGTCTTGACGATAGAATTGTCAATCCCTGACAGGAGAACGAGGTTTCCTGCAGGCACACCAGAGACCGGGATGTTGTACCGCGAACAGGCAATTTGAACAGCCATGATTGTTGCAGTAGTCGAATCTTCCTCATCTTCAAGACTGTATGCCTCTCCGAGGACTCGAACCACCTGATCCGGTGATGCTGTGCCGGACATGACGCGACCAAAAGCATTGAATGTTTTGGCATCTGAAGAGCTGAATAGCTTTGTGACTTCCACAACCAAAGGTCCGTCTGAGTCGCATTTGGACATTGCTTCACTGACCTTCGATCCAGCGGTGCCGGTGTAGTAGTTGTCGAGCATCCTGCTTGCGCCCTCAACAGGTGAAGGTATGTGCTGCACCACCATGTCGACGAACCCGCTCGCAGTCCCAAAGAACTGCGCGCATACGAGTTTGAGCAACACTTTCGCATCAGATTTGAGCTGCGACGGTTTCAGTGAGATACCCAGCGTCTGTAAAGTCGGCGCTAAGTCTTCGGGGCTTTCGCTGATGGTGTGGGAGAATAGCTTATATATGGGCTCCAACACAAAGTTCACAAATGCCCTCTTTGATCCTTCTTCCGTCCCTTTTCTGGTGAACTTTCGGCTCCGAGGATTGAAGAAGATATCCCCCCAGAGTCTCTTGGAAAACTCGGCAGCATCGACTTTGGGGTAAGTTTCGGCGTACATCTTTGCGAACGACGGTAGTGTGAATACCCAGTCCATAGATGTACATGCAAAAGCCACGTTGCCCTTTTCAGGCGAGAGCCGCCTCTTTTCGCCACGGCCTGGAATGGTATTCTCGATGACTGTGTTGACCTCTTCAACAACGTGCTTTAGTTTGAAGTAGGCATCTGTTGGTGGTATTTTCAGCTCGAGGATTAGGCGGTCCATTTTGTTGATAACCAAAACCATGGGTATATCCTCCAAAACAGCGTGCTTGATGACTTGCTCGGCGTTGATCTGAACACCTTCGACCACATCAACGACGAGCACCACTCCGTCCACCAGCCGCAAAGCCGATGCAACCTCATCCACAAAATTCACATGTCCAGGAGTATCGATGATGTTGAGTATATGCGATTTCCCTTTCGTGCCTTGCATGACTAGACTGATTGGCGCGGCCTTTATGGAAATTCCTCGTTCTCGTTCCAGGAAGTGTGTGTCGGTATATCTTAACTGTTCGTCCCTCCTCCTGCCAATCCTCTTATCCAGTCTTTCTTCTAGATCGTGTGTCTGCATGACTAACATATCCACGAATGCAGTCTTGCCGTGGTGTAAGTGTCCCGCCACAGCGATATTTCTGATACCTTCGGGAAAATTTAGGAGATCTGTCATGAATTCTCTCGAGTAGTGGACAGGAGGAAGGCCTGCTTCCTGCACCTGGAACTTCTTCTGCGTGACGGGCGCAATTATCGGCTGTGTGAGCGGCTGTGCATCCTCTTCCTGCACCAAAGTCTCGACTTCTTCGCCGTATACCTGCTGCGCCGTGGGATAATACTGTTTGTCCTCGTGCAATATGACGGCATTGGAGGGGCCTTCTTCATCGACTTCCATCGACTGAACTGCAGGAGCTTGCTCCTCGGGTTCCGACTCCTCGTCGTAGACGTAATGTTGGCCGGCCACACCATCCTGGGATGCCTCTTCGTCGGAGACGGCTTCGCCGATGAAATTGCCAAACCTGCGCCAATTGTTAGCTACACATCTATGACCACGAAGTTTTGGCTGTGTGACATACTCATCATAGAGGTCATCCATAATGATTAGTGGGCTGCCGGAGCTGGGGAAGTCGCGGCGCAAAATGAAGGAAATTCTTTGACTGCGGAGTTGGAGGCAGAACAAAATTTGGGATGTGGAGTTGTAGAGTGAACGCAGGCGGCGGCAGGTTCCAGCCTCGTTCAGCCTTGCGATACCCAGTGGCTTACTAAGGATCTCATCTCCTGCGGTAATCGTGATCGCAATAAGTCTTGCGAAACCAACTCGTTCAATTGACTGCAAATGCTCTCAATGGAGGTCGACAAGTGCTCGGGTTATTATTCAAGCAATAAGTTTTGGACCGAAGCTGAGTCACTTGCCTCATAATCCTATACGAACTGCAGTTGAAAAGCATGCTTTTAGAAACAAACCACATGCTTCGCCAGCGGGAATGCTTCCTTGACAATATGAACTCCACTAATCTAGTATGTATTTCCCATGCCAATTTTGCGATGCTGTGCGATTCACATCAAAGATTCGAGGACCAGCGCGCTCGCCCCGCCGCCGCCATTGCAAATGCCAACGCATCCAATCTTGCCTTTCTTCGCCTTCAAAACACCGAGTAATGTTGCAATAATCCTTGCCCCCGAAGCTCCTAGTGGGTGACCAATGGCCACGGCTCCACCGTGAAGGTTGACTTTGTCTGCAGACAGACCGAGCAGCTTCATGTTAGCAAGTGCCACAACGCTGAAAGCCTCGTTGATCTCAAACGCGTCGACATCTTCCTGGCTGATGCCAGCATGCTTCAGGGCCTTCGGGATGGCAAGCGCTGGGGCGGTGGTGAACTTGCTCGGTTGTTTGGCAGCATCACCCCAGCCCAGGATCTTCGCCAGTGGTTTGATCTTCAATTCCTGCAGCTTAGCTTCTGAGACGAGTACTACAGCTGCGGCGCCATCATTCAAAGGCGAGGCATTGGGAGCAGTCACTGTGCCGCCATTAGGGATGAATGCAGGCTTCATTGCGCGGAGCTTCTCGATGTTGAGGTTCTTGGGCTCATCATCCTTGTCGACTGTGACCCCGGGCTTCCCTCGAGCACCAGGCAGCTGGATAGGAGCAATTTCAAAATCGAAGAGGCCATCCTTCTGTGCCGCTTGTGCTCGTTGATACGACTGAATAGCATAGTCATCTTGCTGCTCTCGGTTGAAGTCATGATCCGTAGCACATTCTTCGCCTTGCAGACCCATATGTTCTTGCTTCCCATATGCATCTGACAATCCATCTCTTAACACACCATCGACCAATGTTTGGTTCCCAAATTTGGCTCCGGTCCGCATATTGGGAAGGTAGTGGGGGCAATTGGACATGGACTCTGCACCACCGGCCACAACAATGTCGGCGTTTCCGGTCATGATTGTCTGCGTGCCGAGAATGATGGCCTTGACCCCCGATGCGCAGACCTTGTTGACCGTGGTACAGACTGTAGAATCGTCTAGGCCAGCACCAAGAGCACATTGGCGCGCGGGGTTCTGACCAAGACTATGAAGCGGTCAGATTGGCCACACTGGGTGCCACAAGCGTGTGGACTCACTTTGCGGACAAGACATTTCCAAAGAAGACTTCTTGGACATCCTGCGGCTTGATCTCCGGAACTCTTTCAAGGGCAGCTGTATCAAGTTAATATTCTATGGAGGGCTGAGAAGCGGTGAGGGGAAGAATACCTTTGATGGCATGAGAGCCGAGTTGAGGTGCGGTCAGTGAGGACAGCGAGCTACGACCTGTCAGTGATACTGGGTAGAGTAGAATGCGTGTAGTTAATACCCAAGAAAAGATCCCACAGGTGTTCGTGCCATTGCGACAATGTAGACTGGGGGGAGCGAGGGTTTACGGTGCGGGACGCCATTGGCGTTGTTCGCAGCCATTGTGTGTTGGGAAAAGGTATCTGCAGGAGTGCAAAGGAATGGGGATCAGCGAAAGATTTATCAAGTTCACTCAAGTCCGCAAATAGTAATCAGGAGGTACATAGACCGGTACAAAGTGCAGGAAGGCGAAGTGTTTTGTTGATTGACAATGAGACCGAATCCCCAAAATCTTGGTGTGGAGAAGCCCTCGACTACTTACCAAACATATGGTGCCACCTCGGATGCGTTCACCGCTGCGTTGGTGGCGCGAGGCGCTATGCTGGCAAAGCTGCGAGGCTGCAAGGCTGCGCTTATCGGTTTATCCGCTCACTCCTCAGTCGCCGTTCAAGCTAGTCATGGTACTCTGTTTCTCTCCGCGCACGCCGCATTCCTTTTTGTCGGTCTAGAGTTACGTCGTAGCAGTAAAGGGTAATACAGGCCAGCTTCTTGTCCTTTATGCTACATTAATATCGACTTGGTCATGCTGGGTTTCTTTAACCACGTCAGGCGATGCAGTGATCTCGCGCAGGGGAGCCCCTGATCTTCGAGAATATGGTCGGGCATGAATTGACCATGTCCACTTTTAACTCCTCGCTTGCATGGTCCAGTGACTTTGATCTGTGCAATAGAGCGTGAGGATCGGGATGGCTATAAGTGCATGGTGAGTCTCTAGGTCCGGCAGAAATGTAGATACCGTGATGCATTCTCTCCTCGGTGATATTGATGCGAACTCTTTACTAACATGCTATGGGAACACACCCCTAATTTCTCTCTCACGCAAAGACCCAAGGTGCATATATTGTCTCGTCCCAGGCCTCGTCAAACTACCTGTTCTATCACCTAGAGCTTCGTGGCATTGGTGATATCCACTAATGGGAGCTTCTAGCTAGGGCACCGATTGACCGTCCTTGGGCTGTGCTAGTAAAAATCAGCGTGTGAGAAAAATTGTTCGACCTTTTTACATTTTGCTCACACCTCTTCAGCAGCCATCCACGTGACAGAGTTCGACGCGGTCAACGCTGCTTGGGCAATTAGACTTGAGCTCCATGATCTCGTGGCTTTCTTAACGGGCGTTTCCTACACATACGGCGGGAGCTCAAGCGCGTGACCTAATCAGTACCCTTCGCTTTCAAGTTGAGGGAATCGCGACATCCAATGTCCACCAATCAGATCGCAGAGTGCAGGAGAGCATGTACCGAGCCATGCTGTTAGACTTCCTGGAGGTTGATCGACTTGTCACTGAAGAAGTAAGTTCCACAGACGGGCGTCAACAAGGCCAAATCAATCCGTCAAGAGACAACTCAAACTTCCAGAGTCGTGGGTAGGGATGGCTACTACGAGGACCCTCGAATCAACCGTGATGGGAGGACTGATCTGAAAGAATATCAGCGCGATCTTGGGCTCGATGAGGTTCATCCTTCCCAGGAATGCTATGTTTGCATGGAAGATATCTCGTATCATCAGACCATTACTCATGCGGAATGCCAGCACCTCTAGAGCCGTTCATGCGTATTGCAGCAGTTCGAGTCGGCCGTAAAGCACCAAAGTTACTATCCTGTCCAATGCTGCCGAAGTCTTCCTAAAATCTCACATGAGGATCCTATCATTGCGCGCCTCCTCGGTGAAGGAAAAATTGCCAAGCTGGAAGGAAAGATCCAAGGAATATGAAACAGCAGACCGGAAGTACTACTACGAGCCAACCTGTTCAGCTTTTATCGACCCAGATGAGCTCGTGGCTGGCAGAGCTTCTTGGCCCTCCTGCCACAGAGACATCTGTGTGAGGTGCAAGGCCAGTCCCATGGATGTTCAGACTGCGGGGAACCCAAGAATGAGGCCTTCGACGAGTGGAAAAGAGACAACGAAGCGTCAAGCTGTCCAGGTTGTAGTCGCGTAATTTTCATCTCGCACTGTCGCAATTACATGAAGTCTGGCCCCCTTCTTTGATCATGAGCAGGTATGGATACTGATTTAGTATAGGTGCTATTGTGGAATAGAATTCTGCTATCAGTGCAATGCTCGGTGGAAGACCTGCCAATGTCCACAATTGCATGAAGATCGTCTGCTTGAGCGAGCTGAAGCCATTGCTAAACGCCAGAATCCCGTGGCCGATCTGCAACGAACTGCACAAGAACTCGCGCACCAGCTTTTTGCAGAGTGCCGTCACGATGACTGGACGAGGATGTTTGTGAGTGCTCATGCCAGGGGGGAAGGCCGCGACCGTTGTTCGGACTGCCACTGGCGAGCACATCGGTTCTTATGGCATTGTGATCTTTGCGATACACGAGTTTGTGGCAGGTACAGAGACGCTTCTGAATGATTGCCGATGCGGCTATGTGGCCGTGGATCCAGGAGACACGAGGATGTCAGCAAGAAGAGCAAGTTTGACTAGGTGTGGACAGAGGATGATGTCTTCGACACCCGCACATCATGCAACGGAATCTCGGTGCGAAATGGGGACCGAGCAGTGCAGTTTGGACTAGAGTTCGGCTGAAAATCTGAGCAACTACATGTAATTAAGAGTCTCCGATCCCGAAACATCCGATATCGCGTCGGAGACCTTACTGTAGATATGCCTTCCGCATCCCATTGCCACCGCGTCGGCCTTTCCAAAGCCAAAGCATTTTCCTTCCCGCCTGTCTCCACCTTCCCTCTCTGCGCGTTCGTTTCACAAAAGCTTCGGAGAACACGGCGAAACTCGACGACGATGAGGAGAACTGAACGAACTAGAGGCCACTGAACGCGCTCATGACTGGAAAGGTGTGTTTTTTATGATCCCTCAAAGGAAGATCAATATTAGTTTTTGCACCGGAGAAGCAACAACAAGCGCGACTAGATACAGAAAAAAGGCCACATAAACTCACTCGTGCTTAACATCAACCTTTGTGTTGGCGATATCCTTGAACCCTTTCTTGGGCGCACGAATCTTCAATATGCCAGCCTCCAGCGTGACACTGACGTTCTCTACATCCGTCGGGAAATTGACGTATCGTCGAAACGGGCCGATTCTCCTCTCTCCAATCAACAGATGGATTCCCCCGTCATGAGGTTCTGGTTGTTCTTCTTCCACCTTTGTGTTCTCGGCATTTCCATAGTCTGGCCGGTCGACTTTGCCCGACAACAGTAGGGATCGGTTACCTGTCCAGGTAACGGTGATGTCTTCGGGCTTCTTGATGCCTGGCACTTCGATCTCGATGAGGTATTCGTGGATGGCATCGCGGAAGTCGAGGTCAGGTTGGTTCGGGTGGTCTTCTGGTCTAGGGTGACGGCGGGCGATGTATTGAAGGAGCGACTGGTGCTGATGGTGTCGTTCATGAGGGTTGTCCACCAATGGAGGTGGGTAGTCATAGTAGTAGGCGTAGGCCATTGCTTCGAGGATCTCTTTTCCTGAGACCGTGGTGAAGAATATCTGCAATTGAGGGGTTGAGGTCGCTGCTTGCTGTCCTTATATAGATGTTCTGTAGAGTGCTGCTTCTTCCGATTTATCAACTGAGGCTGAGGAGAATGTCGCGGGAAGGAACTCTCTGACATGAAGAGGGAGGCGCATATTTATTTACCCTGTCTGATTCTAGAGCTCATGGCGGGGCAAGAGCCTGGCGGCAATGTTGGAGCTCCTCATTGCTCGGTTTAGCATGTGCCGATGGAAATATGCGATCTTGTGATCATGAAGCCACTGGCATTGTCCCCAGGAACTCAGAGCTATCTCCATAGGCGAGGTCCTGGACCAGGTCTGGTTCTCGAGTAAGTTCGTCCTCTCTCCGGTCGCAGCCGATGGAAGATGATCTAGAGAGGGACCCAAGCTCCACGATCTGGTTCACGAGAAAGAGCTGGTCAAGTTGGTCAGTCGTCATTGGGTGCCCATCTCATGACTGCAAGGGGAAAGTAGCTCACATCATCATGAGAGGGGGAGATGAAATATGCACCAGTGGAGTGATGTCCAATCCCTGAGCGGTTTGTCATTACGCATCAGACGTACGATGCTTACGTCTTGATGCCCCAGCCTCCTATCAGGGAAGAGCTCGTCCCTGCGCACATTCAAGGGAGATTCCGATAAAATGGGTTTGAGTTTCTCTACCGGCTTCACGGTTTTGGCCTTCCGCACCTCAAGTGCGCAAGCACAGTCATCGAAATGACAGAATGATGAGGGAAGCAGGAAATAATGTGGAAGTAACCTCCCTTGGCGCCTTGTTTGAATGACCGACATTACAAAGATGGCCATGCCGAATACCATCTGTGGCATACAACTAGCTGTCCTTGTCCCTTGAAGCTATCCAGATGGTCGTTTCTTTCGACTTTCTTCTTTGCTAAACTTTCCCGTGTGCTCCTCAATCTTGTCCGTCCTGTCATATGATCTGATAGGCCTTTTCGATGCCATGTAAGATCTCACGCACAATGATTCTTTTCTCCTTCAATGCCCCTCGGCCCATTGCCTTGGGCAAATAGCTGGTTCTTGGCATGTTTTCTCCCGAACAGGTGATGGTTGCATACCAAATACAGTCCACTGAACTGCAATCTCCTGCACACGTGCACACCAAGGCGGTCGATTCTCAACTTATGATCGCTCGTATTCAACTTGGTTGGCTCAAAGAGAAAATTCTGGCTGAGCCCCATGACGTCTGGGGGCCTGGAACTGGGGGAAATTCGTCAGATGTGCTCCCATGTCTGCAGATCAGGTAGGGGAAAGAGGAGGGATATGTAAGGTACCACTGTGCCCGCTTGCCGCTCCTCATCCTGCAACAGAGACTCAAATCCCAAGAAACTGAAAAGTTCACACGATCGCGAATTTCGAGCGCGACAATCAAATCTTCAACATTCCACTTGAACCATCCACCAAAACTATCAAAAGTCCAACTGGCGTTAAAAGACACCATTATGTCGACAATTGAGTGCCTGCTGCACCCTCACCACATCTCGCTCGTTGACACGCACTCGTTGCGGGCCAAGCTCAACCATATGGGCGACGCTTACTACAACGTGGATGGCTTGCCCTCGCACCGCGGGGTGCTGGCTCCAAAGTTGGATGTTTTCGAGTTGGATGGGAACACGGCCGGATGGCTTCTCGTTGGCGATATCCCAGGGGTCAATTCCGTCGATGATATCAAGATCGAATGGTTGGATGGAACTACCATCTTCATTCGTGGAAAGACGGCAACCTCATCAATACCAACCTTTGGTGAGACCGGAAGCAAGATCATGAAAACTGTTCACAAAGAGAGACATGAAGGGTCCTTTGAGCGTTCGGTCACGTTGCCCGCAAAGGCCAACCCGAGTGAGACAAAGATAGAGGTGAAGGATGGAGTCGTCTTTGTCAGAATCCCAAAGACATCTGAAGCAGGCTCAGGGACTGCGTAACGGATAGAATGCTGGGAAGAGGTTGTATGCTGGCTGGAATAGGGCGCAGATCCAAGGTCCAAAGCGGTCTCCGCTTTTAATTTGCGCCTATTAGTGCCGTTATTTTCTGGAATTCTCATTCTCATTCTCTCTGCATTTCTCGTCGTTCACTTTCCATCACTGCGCAACCTCTTTTTTTTTTGGCATCCTCGTTGGCCTTGCAACAGCCTCTTTGTTAATACGATGATGAAACTGGCAAGGCTGCCGAGGCTGCCAACCGTGGCCAATCAGCGGAGGCTCAGCTCATCGGCGGCGCTAACTATTAGCGCCCACGCACGTGACGAGGCCAATTCTCCGAATGGCCTTGCTAAATTTGGCCTTTGGGGGCTTGGGCCTCTGTCGAACATCCGTCCAGCAATTCACGCTATTCACATTTCATCGTTCGATGGGTGAATCCGATCTGATCTGACAAGCCACCATTTCTCGACGGTACACTGAACCGACTGCAAGGTTCTTCCATCAACTTCATACTGTCCTTTCGTGCACATTGTTCGGCTGGGCCGTCTCACAGGTTCTCAATTCTCTCCCGCAACGCGTCGTCTCCTCGATTCCCACTCCTTGTCCGACCTCCGTCTCCTCCTTGTCCCCTCGCGCGGCCTCAGAGCCTCCCCCCTCTCTACCGCGGTGCCGTGAAGGGATCTTTTCAAGCACTGTTTGCAAAGAACTGCACAACCGTCACTCCGTTGATCGTTTTTGGTGGAATCACATCCAGGGCGGACATTGATTGCGACTAGTTTTATCGAACAACACACCACAAGATTCACACAGTTTCCCTTGTCCCTCGTTATTTCTTCGAGTTTTCTGCTGCATGGACTTGCTACAGTCGCAGGCAAGAGACGCGCACAATACTGTCACACGACGGAAGCCAGTCACTTCTCTAGGGTGCGGTTGAATTGCGTTCGCAACTAGGCGCCGTCAAAGAGGCTCCGGTTGTCGAATGTTTACCTGACTAATTGCCACATATTCATGCTACGCGCTCTGAGTGCAATCCAAGTATGGCAGCTCCGCTTGAAGAGCTGCAGCAGGGGAATTCTGGCACAATAAGATACACCATCGGCGTTCCTCGCAACCAGAATGAACCTTCTCCGCAGAACTCCAATGGTCAGTACGCCTACGGTCCACCAAACAACGCAAACGGCAATTCAAACGACGCTCCCTACGACAGCGACGCCAGACATTCCTCTGATAGTCGAACAGGGAGAAAGAGGTCCGTGGGTGGGCAAGGAGAGCGGAGTAGATCAAGAACAAATGGCAGTACAGGAAAGTCATCCAATTCTGGAGCCCGGCAATGCAGAAAGTGTGGTGAAGCTCTGACTGGTCAATTTGTCCGTGCTCTTGGTGGGACATTCCACCTTGATTGCTTCAAGTGCGCCGACTGCGGTCAGATTGTCGCCTCAAAGTTTTTCCCTGTAGACACCGAAGATGGATCTGGACAATTTCCTCTTTGCGAAACAGACTACTTTCGGCGCTTGGATCTTCTGTGCTTTGAATGCGGCGGCGCTCTTCGTGGCTCCTACATCACAGCCCTCGACCGGAAATATCATATCGAACATTTCACATGTTCGGTCTGTCCAACCGTTTTCGGCGCTCAGGACAGCTACTACGAACATGATGGGAAAGTTTACTGTCATTATCACTATTCCACGCAGTTTGCGCAACGATGCAACGGTTGCCAGACCGCTATTCTAAAGCAATTTGTCGAGATCTTCCGGAATGGTCAGAATCAGCACTGGCACCCTGAATGCTATATGATCCATAAGTTCTGGAATGTCCGACTTGCACAAACCGAAACAGAGGTGGAGAGGAAAGACATTCACGCCCCTGTCACCGAGGATGAGCGGGAAACCGTCAAAGAGGATGAAGAAAAGATGGAGGACAAGGTCTATAGGATCTGGAGCACGCTTTCCACCTTTGAGGAATCCTCTGCCTCATGCATCTCAGATATGCTTCTCCACGTCAGTAATGGCGTCTATGTCGATGGAGTCATTGTTGCACGGAAATTCATCTGGCATGTTGACATCCTCTTCGGCGCAATCGACACGCTCGCAGCTTTGGTCATCAAGGCTGACCTCAAAGAACTTGCTTACGGTCGAGAAGCGAAACTACTCTGCAAAAAGGTCGTGGCATTCTTCACACTCCTCTCCAAAACTCAGGAAACTGGCGTGCGAAAACTTGGAGTCACCCAGGAGCTCTTGTCCTTGGTTACAGGTCTGGCTCATTACCTAAAATTACTCATTCGCATCGGTCTTCAAGGAGCCCTGAAGCTTGAACGTGAGAAAGGGTCACCGGAAGGCCTGCATGCCTTCTTGGACGAGCTTGCCGATCTGGAAACAATCAAAGAGCAGGAGATGAAATCACTAGATTTACAGGAGAGTGTTGCAGGCCTTGCTAGCCAAGAATCGGATTGCTGTTCTGCATGCATGGAACCCATTGACGACGAATGCGTCATGATTTACGGTCGAAGATGGCATGTGAAGCCCCGTCATCTTACCTGCAGCGTCTGCCAACGAGATTTGACAAGCGATCTCGCGGGTGCGATGTATAACGAGAGAGAAGAAAAAGTGTACTGTCTTGATCATGCAAGACGGACGCCGGACACAGTTTCAGGCTTCGCTCATGTCACCAAATTACAGCAATATGTCTTCCTACTCCAAGTTGCGTTGGCCCGGTTGCTTGAGGTGCTGAAATCTGGCGGTACTCTACCACATACATCCGATGATCCTAATCTGACTCCATACAATACGAATGAAGGACATCATATCTCGCCTACCGGGGAGCCCGTTACGCCCCATCAAAAGATGGGATCACGATCTAGGTCTTATGCGGGTGCATCGAGCCAGCAAGAATCGTCCCTAGAACAGACTGTGGGTGAGATGAAGCGACTTCGATCTACTCGAAACGAACGCACTCTTTCCACGACATTCCGAAAGGCTCGAGAGTCCAAAATCCTCTACGGCCCAAGTGGAGTGCGACCAGGTTCTGAAGGAGGCGATGGTCAGGATAACCGAACTCCCGGTGGCTTCCAGATCGTTCAAGAGAAAGATCTTGATGGTCGTATGAAATCGGAACTAACCTTTGGCGATCGAGAGGCTCTCACCCTGGATGACATTCCAAGGATTGTTGCTGCCGAGCAGGCCAAGGAACAACGACCGAACGCTTTCCGCCATGCAGGCACCAACCTCATCGGTCACAGAGGCAATGAACCGAGGCTTGTTAATGGACACCAGCGAGGCGCATCTAGTGGCGGTGCTGATCTTCTGGGTGGCGAAAGCCCTCTTAGGACCAAAAGATACTTTTCGGAATTATCCGCTCTGGAATATTTCATCGTCCGACATGTGGCAGTCCTTTCGATGCAGCCCTTGTTGAATGGGGAATATACCCTTGAGGATTTACTAGGTCTGATTGAACAGCGAAAGCAGACATTTTGGGGCAAAGTCAGCCGTGCACTTCGCGGTGATGCCAGCGCAAAGAAGAAGGGCATCTTCGGAGTCCCGCTGGAGACGCTTGTTGAACGTGAGGGAGCAGAATCGACTAACGGAGTCGGACCTGGTGCCCTCAGAGTTCCAGCGATTGTTGACGATTGTGTATCTGCCATGAAACAGATGGACATGTCGGTCGAAGGTGTCTTCAGAAAGAACGGCAACATCAAGCGACTCAAGGAAGCTGCAGAAGCGATTGATGCAAATCAGACGCCTGACCTAAGCCGAGAAAACCCCGTGCAGGTTGCCGCACTGCTCAAGAAGTTCTTGAGAGAGATGCCTGACCCGCTGTTGACATTCAAATTGCAGAAGCTTTTCATCATCTCTCAAAAGATAGAGGACGATGAACGCCGAAGGAGGGTTCTGCATCTCACATGCTGCCTGATGCCGAAAAGTCATCGCGATACCATGGAAGTACTATTCTCATTCCTAAAATGGGCAGCGTCTTTCTCCCAGGTTGATGAAGAATCTGGCAGCAAGATGGACATTCACAATCTGGCTACCGTTATGGCGCCGAACATCTTGTATGCGAAGGAGAAGGCACCAGGTGCGAGACAGCCGCAAGTTCCACAGGTCGATGATAGCTTCCTTGCTATTGAAGCAGTCAACACCCTGATCGAATACAATGATCTATTCTGCCAGGTATGAAACTATCAGCTAATACCCTGTCATAATGGAAGCTGACTCTATTCCCAGGTCCCCGAAGATCTACAGTCTATCTTGACGGACACGAACCTTCATGGAGGATCTGCAGAACTTACAACCAAGGAAATACTGTCCAGATATGGTCATATTGCCAAGGGCCAGGTACAGAAGCAAACAGTTGCAGCACCAGATGCGCCAGTTCGTAGTCCCGCCTCGGCATCGAACTCTCTCGGACCCGTTGCAACAAGGGTTGATGTCGATCCATATCAGGCCAATGCATGGCAGAAGCAAAGTTCCGTTAGGCCTGTACAGAACATGGTTTCGGCAACATCTGCACCAGCAAACGACTTCAATTTCAGTGTCCCTAACAGCCCATACGCCCGAGGCCGCGCAGGAAGTGGTGATAGTGGAGGAAGTCACGCTGGTGCACCGGGTGGACGGCAGAGCTACCAGCCGAGACCGGGGCAAATGGGTGTAGCGGGTTGAAAAGCATATTCAAATCGAACACAAAGAATTTATCTGCATTCTCGGGGCGGCATCCCTCCTCACGGACCGGCTTATGGTGCGCCATATCAGAGTGCCCAAAGTCAGAGGTGTCGAAGTCGACCAAAAAGACCACAGTGGTCACACCAAACATTTGCACGACCTTAATGACACGAAAATATTTCCTTTGTTCAATGCTACTCAAGGGGGGGACACAACGGGCTTCGATGCATGACACCACAATTGCAGAGCTTTTGTGGACTTTTCTTACTTGTGCTCTTTCACCAAAGCTTCGACCAATTGAGCTTTTGCCGGGTGACCGGCGGTGCGGCTGAGCGCTTTACCGTTTCACTGGACACAATTCATTTCAATTCTTGACAACAAGCAGTGCTTCGATTTACGCAACACTATTTTCCGAGCTTGGGGGCTTTTTTTTTGAGCTGTGGGGTTTGTTTTCTCACCACTCCTCGACCATGTCTAGAAGTGCGCACTGTTCGATGAGAACTGATTGAATACACCTTTCTTTCAAGGCTTTGCGGCATATGAACTGGGCACGTTGACAGCTGGGACATCCTCAAGGCATTGAGCTAGGTTCATGCTTGAGCGCTCTTGGCGGGGCCATGGTCTCGGGAGATTAATATTGGATACGGAAGTTGAGTCTTGAAAAGGATCGGCTGCTGCAATCGATATGGGTCACCAGGGCCATGCTCACTAGGAATAGGAGGATTGAGAGAGTGAAGGACGTCGGAATTGGCAACCGTGCTGTGCTGTGCTGTGCTGTGCTACGCAAGTGCTGAAATCGGGCATCATTCGGCGCTATTGAATTGGAAAATAAGGCCCTCCGTTGCGATTCGGCGCTTCGTGCTTTCGATAGAGGGAGGAAAAGGGGAGAAGAAGGTCGCGTCGGTGGACGACGAATCCAGCTAGTCGTCTAGTTGTCATCACTTGTGCACTTCTTGCGATGGGATTTTCGAATGGAGAAATCGACCGGGCGGCTGTGGCCTTCTTGTGAAATGGCTTTTTACAAGTCAAATATCACGATCCGGGTTTCCGAAATTCCGCTGAGAATGGAATACAGTGTTAGTCATTCTCTCATGCAGGTGGTCGGCTGTAGTCTTCTGTCTATCTAATATTCTCAGTGCCCGTTGACATTCCCGCTACCTCTCATTGACTCCGTTCTGTCTGTCTTTTGCCCTCCTTTGTAGGACGGCGTCCATGACTCTTCCCAGCCTCTCCACTGCCTCTTCGGAAATCTGATAGTGCACTACCAATCGTCCACCTCGCGCCTTTAAGCCCTCCATGCTTGCTAGCTCAGCGAATTCATCGGCTGAACAGCCCTCGTTTTCAAGATCTAGCCAAACCATATTCGTTTCCGTGGGGTTGGCCAATTTGCCACCCTTCGCGGTCCACATCTCTGCGACTTTCCTCGCCCGGGCGTGGCTGGCGCGTAACTTGCCGCCTTCACCGTTGGGACCGTGGCCGAAGTTTTCTTCCACGGCGACGCGGGCTGCTGCGGATATGACGCCCGCCTGCCGCGTGCCGCCGCCGAGCATCTTGCGGATTCTCCGCGCATGTGCGATGAAGGGTCTACTTCCGACGATTATGGAACCAATCGGCGCGCCTAGCCCCTTGGAGAAGCACATGCTCACACTGTCGAACTCGCGCGTGAAGTCGGGAAGACTGCCGGCGTCGGCGGCGACGGCTTCCCAGATGCGTGCACCGTCCAAGTGGAGCTTGATGCCGTGAAAGCGGGCGAACTGGGAGATGCGGCGGATTTCGGAGAGAGGCATTATCATCCCGTCGAGGGTGTTTTCTAAGCTGATGACCCGGGTGGGACAAGCGTGGACGTCGTCTGAGATTATGCAGTGTTTTTGGACGTCTTCGAGGGTCAGGTGGTGGCCGTTGCTGGGGGTGACGGATATGAGCATGGCGCTTGAGAGGCAGCTGACACCGCCGGCCTCGTAGTTGTGGATGTGACCCCTGATGTCGCAGAGGACGGAGTGAGGTGGTTGAACCAGATGGCTACGGAGAGCGACTTGGTTGCCCATTGTTCCGGACATCACCAGCAGTCCGGCTTCGTGACCTGATAGTGAGGCTACATGGGACTCCAAATCATTAGTCGTTGGGTCTTCGAGGAAGACATCGTCGAGCAATGTGGTGTTTGTGATGGCGTCGAGCATAGAAGCCGTGGGTGTGGTCATTACATCGCTGCGGAAGTCGTAGGACGCGGGACCAGGTTGTAGCCAGGCATTAAATTTCTTGTGCGAGGCTGCGTTGGTGTTCGCAGCTGCAACTGCGGAGTCCTGTTTGACGTCGGTGAAGGAATCCGGCTTGTCCTCCACGATATGCAAAGAGGCCATCTTGTAACTTGAATGGTTGATGCTTCTGGCTGATGAAAATGCGAGACTCCCGGGTACAAGGCTCAATCTGTACGACGGCCTAGCTGATATGCGAACTTTGGCCGTGAAGGTCAACCCTTGTCTAGATGCTGCTGCAAGCATGACCAGGCACGCCCAATTCTGGAAGAGGAAGAAGAATCTTGTTCCGACATCGGTAGCAACCAGATATTTGGAAAAGGCGTACGAGGGCGTAGCGGTAGGAAGCGGTGATGTGCGCAGGAAGATCCAATGGCTCGCCAGAGTTTTAGGGGTGTTTGGATCTCTTGGAAGCCACCTTCCCAATTAGGACTGCATGCCCCGCGCCGCCCGGTAATAGTCATGTTTGGCTTTGACGAGACGCGTTAAGTCTCCAACGCGTCCCGGTCGCACTGTTAATAATTTCCATCCCTGTCCCCGTTCGCAATCAATGTCCGCAGCCAACATTAAAAGACCGACAACGATATCGACATGGCTCCCTCATCCCGGCACATGTCGCGATCAGCGTCGCAGCACGTCAACCTGCATTGTCTTCAATGCGACAATCAAATCGGCGTCTTCGACAACGAATGGATCCGCCTGACCAGTTCTTATGTTCGCCCTGCCCACCCCGGCACTCACTTGGGAACCGAGATCGCGACCAGCAAGACGCAAGTCGTCCCTGAAGGTGTCACGCAGCGAGCCCTCGAAGGATGCACTCTGGCTGAAGTGTTCTGCACAAAATGCTCTGCGGTAGTTGGGCAGTATTGCAAGGCGGTTCCTGCAAATGTACAGAGAAATATGTTGTATGGAAGGTCCCAACAACGCAGACAACAGAATCTGTGACACTAACTGGATGCTAGAAATCAGTACCTATACAAATTGTCCAGGACATGTCTGAAGAGCAGCGAGACGAATCAGCCGGTTGATCCTGTGTTTGGATACGGCGGAGATACTGTCAGAGCAACTGCAAAGCCAAATAATACGTCAAGGGGGTGCCTCATTGGCACTCCTCAGTGTTCGGATACTCCCTTTTGCAGAGAAGAGACATCTCCACGTCTCCAACCCATGGCTGAATCAAATCGGCGAACTTTATCACGTGCTTCGTTGCAAAACAGCCAGGAGGTTCCTCAAGACTCCATCGTACTGCAACTCGCCATGCAGGATGCATACTTGAAATCCCAGGGTGAGAGAATAGCAAATCAGGAGACGAGGGCATTGGAGCATGATGCGCAACTCCGAGCCATCTCTTCAGTCTTGGATACATTTCGCGCCACACTGGAGGAGATCAAGATATCCATTGGGGAACTGAAGTCTCAAACCTCCGTCCCTCGCCTCGATAAACCTACACATATTGACTTCATTGGCACACTCCAAAAAACGATCTCGACAATGAAAACGGCCCAGTCGAACGCCCAAGAACTCGAAGAACTTCGTGCTGAAAACGCCGCGCTTAAAGCTAAATGGGATATTGTGCAATCTGCCATGAATACCGCTACCAGACAACCATCCTCGGGTTCATTGTATAAGGTATCTCACGGAAACACTTTACGAAAACGCAAACGCGACAGCGACGTCCCAAAACCAAGTGCAACGGTCCCTTCAGACGGAGCAATGCAAAACCGGTCCCAATACTCAGAAGATTTTTCGTCGTCTGCGCAAATGCCAACTCCTCAGTCTAGCAGCCACTCCGACAGGCATGACTCTAATAGCTCGAGAACATCGACCCCAGAGCAAGGACAGGCCGGATTCAACTCGCACAGGATGCCTCAATGCAGTAATGAGCACACAAGTGAAGATCATGTCCTACCACCAATGGCGCCGTCTCAGCGGAACCTCAGGAATCGTCTACCGTCTAATCATACCCGGGATATAGAGACTGCTAGCTCAGCTGTGCACTCTACACCGGTCGCAAACGTTGGCACAGTTGCAAAAGCAACCGCTATGATCTCCGACGTACAGGAGACTCAACAGCTGCTTTCTTCAGGGCTTGTTGAGGGATCGTTACGGTCGTCAGGACAGGCAGACGAGTGTGAAGAGTTAGTTCTTGCTGAGCGTGCAACCGGATCTATGAACGATGAAGCTCAGCCACAAAAGGATGAGGATGCCAATAGTCTCGATGATAGTGGTCAACTGCCTGACAACAATGATGAGCCGCAGATGGATATTGATCTTGTAGATGCGTCGGAACTCCAGTCGTCGACGAGGGAAACGGATGAGTTTGGCGGTGACGACCAGGATCGCTCTTCCAACTCTTTTGATACCCTAGCAGATGGTGCAGCGAGTAAGAATGTGGCTGCGTCTCTCGAAGCATCTTCAGCGGATGATGGATCGACTCAGTCTGCACCGGCCGGAAGAACTCGCAGCAAGACGAAGGTGCCATCATCACAAAGAAACCCCGACTTCATCATCATGGACAGGCGAAGCATTGCCCCCGAGCCAGCGGCACTTCGACGGATCCTCCCTCGTCGGATTGGTGCGCATCAACGGCCGCAGTTTGAGCACGCGACACCGGAATCGATCAAGCAAAACCTAAGGAATTCCGGAAAAGCCAAAGGACAACGACAGTTGAAGCCTCACATTCAAACGACCACAAAGATCCTCCACAACGAGCTCAAAGAGCTCGGCCTGGAGGATTGGATCGAGAAAGACAAGGACACTCCCGAATACAAAAAGGCTGTAGAGGAAGCCAGGGGCCGCAAACGAGAACAGACGAGATTGGCTACATTAGCGAGCCGCGGAATCAGCCTCCCAGGAGCGTCTACAGATGATGAACAACCGGAGACGGCTCCAAGCCTAAAAGAGCCATTTGTCCAACCCCCTAAAGCTCTAGTTGATGTCGATAACGAACAAGCTGGTGGAAGACCGGTCTTGTCTGCGTCGGGGGTGGCAGCTAGAAAAGCGAAGGGGATGGACCTGCGCAAGACCAAACGAGAACAACGAGCAGAGGAGATTCGCCGAAGAGATCTGCTGGCGAAAGCGGCAATGGATATGAATGATTAGGGCTCGACGCTTGAGTTCTAATGGGGGATCTCGCGGGAGACGTGGCTGGGAGACGTGGTTATGAGACGCGCTTCAACGGCATCATAGCGCGGTGCATGACGGAATTTGTTAATGTATTGATGGGACACCGTATAGGCATCTGGACGACTGATTCCATGTGCGAAGCCTTCTGCAATAGGTACAGAGTACGAGGTACTCTGTATTTGTCCACGCACAGTCTCTGCAGCTGGCCTATTCTCAGCCTGGCGGATATCACGCGTGACGTGACGTGACGTGACGAAGCGTTTCGCCTTTTGATAAGGAACCTCGATCTTGCCGAAGCAGGCGAATACCACATGTACCAGGTATCCATTGGCTCTGGACACACCGGCTCGCAGTCTCCGAGACACGCTACTTTAGCCAGGAACGGGGAGCCGGGAAACAGGCGGGCGAAGCCCACACGAAGTCGCCCTGTCGCCTGGGAGGTTTTTGGGGTCCAAGCCTCCAAGGTCGCGAGGAGCTGCAGGGGTCCTTCCTGATCCTTCCTGCGCCTGCGTTGGCGGGGAAATTTCTTCGAGAGCCTTACAAGTACTGTGCTTGTAGACTGACCCTGACAGACTCGACTTCGTTAAGACTCCTCCTCCACCCTCCCTTCTTTCTCCCTTCGTTCGAGTTTCTGTTCGGCCGTTTCGATAGCGTTGCTCTTCTCTGCATGTGTAGGATTCCCTTGCTGTCGTTGGATGCGTCTGCCTGCCTGAGAACCGACAAGGATTTGTAAGGAAAACAATCTCCATTTTCGAGTTCGCCACGGTGCAACTGCTAACAGCTTCAAGGAGGAACTATACCTCAGGCGTCTTCCCTTCCTCGCGCAGTCGCACTCGGTAGGTTACCCTCCCCCTATGTCAGTCGGATTATCGCATGTGTCGAATTGTTGCCGAGCGACATCCTTGGAAAATTGTGGGCTCCGCAGGATGTTTGCTCAATGCTGGGGGGTGCTGAAAGAAGAAATATCGCCCTTGAAAGTCACCAATTGGAGAAATAGACGCTTTACGTGCTCAGTGCCAGCATAAATGCAAGCTTGTTATCGTGGATGAGGAAATTTGGTCGTTCGATGTCGGAGACTGACCTGGACAATGCCAGATACTTGGGTCGATTCAATCCCTGCCGTGCAAAGGCATAACATCAAGGTATGTGCATTGAGATTGACAATCTCTCCGATCATATAATCATGATGTCTTCGCCTGGGGCGCGGTGGCGCGGGCCGTGGGAGGCTTTGGCCGCTGGCCTTGGGACACTATCTTGCTTCCCTTTCAGGAGATTATCTCGCTGAATGCCCAAACTGAACACTGCTAACGATGGTCAGGTCGACTACCCCGGCTCTAGCGATGGTACTCCACCATCAGCTCAATCGGTCCAAATCGACATAGTTTTGGCGAAATATTACCCCAATAGAGAGAGCGTAATAAACCCCTTGTCCCTGGTTAAGGTGCAGCCCGAAAACAAGAAGCAGTCTGCTGACAATCCTCTGTAGCAGCAGTTGGCTGCCAAAGAACACAGGGCTTCACGTCAACCCCCTCTTTGTCTCTCGCTTTATCCTCTTCCACTCCGTCTGAGGGGTCCAAGGTCGTGGAAACTCTTCGACGCTCTCAGTATGGTCTCGCAACCCACTCAGCCCGCGACACAGCCTGTTGATGACCCTCGTCGTATCCGGAGAAACATCTCCAACGTTTCTGATGAGGATGCCATAGATGTGATATGTCTGCTGAGTCCAACCTCCCCTGCTGCATTTGAGGCAGTGAAAGCCAATCTCTTGGTTGCTCCCCGTCACATCTTGCAAAATGACGACCTAGAAGATATCAGTCAGGATGACCTGCTTTGCGGTGCCGAATACGACCAGCCGCGAGATATAGCCTTGCGGATGTCTTCTGCCGTCAAGAATCCCAAGGATGGGTTTCAGTTTGGCCGTACCAGGAGCAAATGCGATGTACTTCTTACTCCGTACGATAATGACACCTTGGTGAGCAAAGTGCATTTTAAGATTTTCGTGAACAATCAAGGTAGCCTCATGCTGGAAGACTTGTCCACCAATGGAACTGTCGTGGATGATGTGCACCTTAATGCCAAGGCTCGTCGAGGTAATCCCGCCCTCAAACCTGCGACCATCGTCCTCAGGCATGGAGCTATTATTTCTCTTTACAGCGGTGCGAGGCAGCAGGAGATCAAGATGATGGTACGGATACCGAGCCGTGGTGATTTCGAAGACGCCTATGAAGAGAATCTAAGAAAGTACCTCGCGGCAAGAGGGGATGTGGCCCAATTCGCTTCCATGAGGGAAAGCACTTATGGAAATTACTGGAATGGAGGTTCCCTGTACAACTTTACGGGTCTCCTTGGGAAAGGTGCTTTTGCAACCGTCTACAAGGTTCAGACCAAAGAAGATGGCGATATCTACGCCGCAAAGGAGCTTGACAAACGTCGGTTTATCAAAAACGGTGTCCTCGATATGAAGTTTGATAGCGAACTCAACATTATGAAAAACCTCAACCACCCGAATATTGTCAATTACGTCGATTGTCACACTTATCAACATTGGATCTACATCCTGATGGAGTATGTTCCCTATGGCGAGCTTGCAAAAGAACTGGGGAAATATGGAGCTATTCCCGAAGCCGACGTCCAACAGATAGCCAAACAGATATTGCACGCCCTCTATTATCTTCATCGACGAAACATCACGCATCGCGACATCAAGCCAGACAATATCCTCATAGCATCTCGAAACCCCTTGGTCGTCAAGTTATCCGACTTTGGCTTGTCGAAATGCGTGACAGACCAAGAGACCTTTCTCAAAACGTTCTGTGGCACACTTCTTTATTGTGCACCTGAGGTATATCCTGACTATGCGAATTATGCTCAGGGATCAGCATCCAAGAGGCGTCGGCTAGGAGAGCCTGCAACAAAATCTCCACCGTCACCGTATGACCAATCCGTGGATATGTGGTCGTTTGGCGCCGTCATCTTCCATCTCCTCTGCGGGAAGCCTCCGGTGACCGGGAGAGGCGATGACCGCGGCGCGCAGATGCTGAACAATATTATGACGAAAAATGTCAACTTCGACATGTTAAGGCAGGCAAAGGTATCGGAGAATGCCATTGATTTCGTTGCGAAACTTCTGAATCGAAATCCTGTTCTACGGCCGAAGGAGCCCGAATGCTTGCAGCATCCGTGGCTACGTGATTTGCCTGACCACTGCAATTATGAAGATGTCGAGGAACCGGTTCCCGATCCGCAACATCACCTGGACATTGTTGACGAGGTTGACGAAGATTTGCTCGATGATGAGTTGATTGACAGCCTGAACCAGCTGACGCAACCCCCCTCATCAGAGCATACGCCACATCGCCCAGTGAAGCGTGCTCGCACAGCAATGAATGTGTCACCTACGGAAGGAGACATCACATATCCTCATCTTCCAGCACCCGGCGAGAGCTTCTTGCCATTACCTCCCGTGCCAGGCCTACCGGCACAGCGTCTCTTCGGAGAGATTTCCGCATCCGTTCTGCGTAGTTCGGGCGTATTTGGCGGCGAGCTGAGTCCGACGACACCGATGGGAGTACACGATATCCGCAACCGAGTGGAACAGATCAGCGTGAATGATTTTGGAGATCGAGGTCCAGCGAGCAACGCAGAAAACGCCGAAATTTCTGGCCGGCCACTGCAATATCCTCAAGTGCTTGACGTCCCCCAAACCCAAGGGAGTTCAGCTGCAAGCCTTATGGGGGCGGAGCAACAAATAGGCCAGCTCAACATGGCATCTCCTGAAGCAGATATCTCGGATGCTGCAACTCCAGAAACAACTAATCCTGTTACTCCTGAAACACGTCAGCTATCGCCGTCTGCTTCGGTCACTCCACATGCAGATACTGAAATAGCGGAGACAGCTCAAGTGACCGAAGAGCCTGTATGTACTCGTCGTATCGACCTCGGCCTAATTGAGAACCCCGTTGATTTCGAAGCGGAAGTCGAGGCGAGAAATGCATCAAGAGCCAGCAGGCTACGAGCAAAAGCGGAGACTTTCCATGGGAACTCGACTGCTAGGACCTCCCCACCATCTGTTGAGCTGGCTGTCACGATTGATGCGAAGACTGGTCGTGAGGTGGGAAGTATGGGACAACTGAATCGTTTTATCCGTCCTGCTCCGGGGCCGGAAACCACAATCAAAATGGGTTCCCAAACAATGCAATTCGTCAAGCCTCCGCGACGATACGGCAAGTTGACCAGCCTTCCTGGATCCTTCGCGAACGTAGCCGTCAATCTCGAAGACAGATTCACTGTATGGGGGCGAGGCATTGATTGCACCATCCAGTACCCTGACACCAAGGACACGCGTATTCCCAAGTACGCGCTCAAAATCACATTCTGGGCACCTGGCATAGAGGCTCATGTTGACGGCGGAAAAGACTGGACGGCATTTCCCGGGATAAGAACACTGATCGCTACGTCTGCAAGCGGGAGTATCTCGGTCAATGACGTTGAATTGCGAAAGGAATCGCCCTCAGGAGACGCAGCCTTGTTTGGGAAGCTACATACAGACGACATCATCACCATCTTCGACAATGGAAAGGGTGAGTTTTTGAAGTTCAAGGTGGAAATTACGTTTGGGGAGAGTGCGAGACCGAGGCCCGCTGGTGAAAGAGGGTTCGTCGTTCAGGAGGAACGACACCATCACCAACGCATGAAGCAGCGCGAAAGTATGAGGCTGAGTATGAGGGAAAATGCTGACGAGGTGCCCCTTGTGCCCACCGTGCGGGTAGAGCCCGATTGTTGAATCATGATACGCGTATTCGATGTCTGGTAGTTTGGAAATGAAGATGCCATGATAATGCTTGTGCCTCGGTGCCTGTCGAGCACCTCGAATGCATTTGGTTTCACAGAAAATCACGATTCTCCATGCTCCGGCCGAGAGAGTTGCATAAGGACCGAGTACGCAAGAAGTCTTTGGGCCAGGCACTGTGCTACCCTGGCAAGGGAGTAGGTATTTGACCTCTATCAATGGAGGCGAGGTAACCCAGCCAAGCCCATATCAGGCTGTGATTGACAGGGGATGAGTGGGCATGGCCGCTCTCTAGCCACAGACGGAGCCCCACCAGCGGCATGGGTATGAAGCAGGTTGGCTCGCCATCGTCTCGCCCAGAGTGGACCTGGTGACAATTGTGGATGGCTCGATGGCATGAGAAAGGAGCAATTCGTGTTCTCCTGCGGCTTTCCACCAATATCTGGACAGAGAGCAATGGGTCGATCGCAGAGCAGCGGAAAGCGGAGATCTCACAGCGGAGATCCAGCTGCACCAATGTCTCAAGAGGTTCCACCGACTGTGCCTGTCCCTGGAAAAATTTCAATGGGTGTGGAAGGGAACAAATCGGCGGTGCGTGAGCTTGGAGCTTGTGCACTCGGGTGTCTAATAGTTATATTGTGCTGAGGTTCGAAGGAAGGCTGTGTGTATCTGCATGGGATGAAGGAGAGGAGGTTATTGCGACGCACCTTGGTAGTTGACGGATGTGGTGTTTGAGAAAAGACACCTGTCATTTTGTGATCTTTGCTGAAGAGTCCATCCAGCCCAGACTCGGTACCTCGTAATAGTAATACCTCGTAGGTACTGGGTACTGCAAGGTGCTACTTCCGGCTGCCAACATCCCTGCCTACCAGTTACTGCGCGGAAGGTGCTTGGCAAGGCGGCGTAGGTGCGGGTGCAGGCGCAGGCGCAGGCGGGTGCGTGGAGGGTCGGATTTCCAGTTGGGGCTTTGTAACTTCTCAAATATTATTATTCAAGTCGAATTCCAGAAGAGAAACAAGACTCCCTCCCTTAAAGTCTGGGCTGCTCCGTTAGTCAATGAGACCATCCAGAGTACATGTGGCTGCTGATGCATTCGCAATCACTATCCTGGTCGTGCTGCGGGTTTGCAGATGGTCCTGCACCTGAAGTCAGTCAGATGAGCTGAATCAACCTCTCGCGCTTCGTTGTCAATTGACCCTCACGCTATTCTGCCAACATCCTCCCCTCGAGTAGCAAGACCATCCGCTCCGCAGTACCTACTACTGCCAGTCGTTGTCCCTTCTGATGCGAAGCCAGACTCTCCCCGTCCTGTGGCTCCCTTCTACCATCTACCCCGATGTCCCATTCCAGAGCGGTTTCACCACTACCCAACAGAGGATGGAACGCACCGGGTCTGATTGAGCGCGGTTTAACACCCAATGGCTTGTACGCTGGAGCCAACAATTACAGCAACAATGACGATCAGTGGGCTGCGGCAAAGGCAAGAAGTGCTCAAGTGAAAGGATATCCCAGCGTCCAGACCAGAAATGAGGGCTTCTTTCAGCGGTCCAAGCGGAAAATATCCTCCACGCTGCCCGTCTTCAGTCCCTACACTCCTTTGTCCGCCAACTGGAAAGATCCAGAGAAACTTGGCCGCAGCCGGTGGTATCCAAGAGGAGGAGGCAGTCTGGCGAGAATAAAGACTTTTGCTGGCAATGTCTTGAGGAGGTTCAAATTTCTGTTCATAATATTGTCCATTGTCACACTGACGACGGTTGTATTGTCTCAGACAAGTAAGTTCTTGGAAACCTCTACCCAATTGTGCCCGCTTCTAACTTTCTGCCACAGACGTGTTGTCCAAATACCGTGGCAATTCCCACTTAGGCGGCGGAAGTAAATTCGTCATCATCCTCGGAGCCAATGAGGGCGGCGGCGTTATGGAATGGAAAGGTCCCAGAGAATGGGCCATTGAGCGTGACAGCGTGAGAAACAAAAAGAGATATGCCGAAAGATGGGGATACATATTAGATATTGCAGATATGAGCACCAAGAAGAGGTACGCTCATGAATGGCGGGAGAGCTGGGAAAAGGTTGACCTGATCCGAAATGCCATGGCCAGGTACCCAAAAGCCGAATGGTGAGAGAACGAGTCTGCAACACGAGTTGAGCATCCTATGACTGACGGGAAGCAGGTTCTGGTGGCTCGACTTGAACACCTTCATCATGGAACCATCAAAGTCACTGCAGTCCCACATCTTCAACAACCTCGACAGAAATGTGTACCGCGACATCAATGTCTACAACCCTCTCGACATCGTTCATCCTCCCGTCACCGAATTTCTTGATCCGGTTGCCCGGTCACCCACCGGCGACAATCTAACATCCTCCATCGACATCATCATTCCTCAGGACTGTGACGGTTTCAACTTGGGGTCTTTCTTCGTGCGACGATCTCCATTCACAGACCGGTTACTTGACTTGTGGTGGGACCCTGTTCTCTACGAGCAAAAGCATATGGAGTGGGAACACAAGGAGCAAGATGCACTAGAGCATCTATACGCGTCACAGCCATACCTCCGGACACATTTCGCATTTATCCCCCAACGGAAAGTCAATTCATTTCCTCCTGGCGCATGTGCCCTCCATCCAGAGCAGGATCAGGTTGTCCAGGACGGAAAACCCCTTTTGGACCCTAGGTTCCACTACAACGAGCAAGAGCGCGACTTCATGGTCAACATGGCCGGATGTGAGTGGGGTCGAGACTGCTGGGCTGAAATGTACATGTACCGCGAACTCAGCAACAGACTCAATCGGTCGTGGTGGGAAAGGTTCAAAGATCTGACAAGCGATAAGTGGGCCAACCTAAAGAAAACGTTGTTGCAAGAAAAGACGGCGGCGTCACAAACAGGTTGATATGCACTCAATCTTGATTCTCCCGCCGCGGAGCCCGATGCCCGGAAGCTACACAACCGCCGGAGCATCCATAGCCACTTGGCTGGGCTTTAGTATCATGACCGGAGCATCGCCTTTCAGAGCCTTCGAGGCTCCCAGGAATCTGTTCGGCCTCGTCAACTTGCAACGAAATATGCTAAGCGGTGTGGCATATGTCCGACCTCAATGGCCGGATCCAACTGAACGATTACCAGCAAATTCGCGACTGAGCACTTTTGTTCTCTGCGAGCATATCAGAAAACACACAGGATCATGCAACTGGGTTGGCAAAATTGTGTCTCTTTTAATGTGTATACTTAGACAGGTCGGCATGGGGAGATACCAAGGAATGGCCTTTAAGGAATGAAATAGACTGGCGGGATTTTCGAAGGGCGGAAAATGTGGTATGGACCAGTGCTCAAGCTGTTGTCGGCCACTTTGTTCACCAGGATCTCTCACGCACCTAAACATGGATGAAATCCAGACTAATGTTTGTCACAGCTGTCGGCGGCTGCAGAGACAAGGTGGCTGGACCAAGACATCAATGACATTCTAATCTGTGCTGAAATCCTAAAACAAAAATGCCTCCATCTTGAGGCACACTCACCTTCGCTGTTCATGCGCCAGCAGTGCTGAATTCTTGGCCACACCACATTGGGGCTCTCAGCCTTGTGACTACCTCCTTCAGCCTTGTGCAATCGGTAGACTTTCCCTCCTACATCACTTTCATGGCCTGTTTTTCTTTTTCCCCTCCCCCTTCTAGAACTGGGTTGTTTTAATAGATAGGCATCTATATTGACTCGAGAATGAAGAACGTCAGGAACGGGCTGGAGTCGGGATTTGTTGTCCCAGTGTCTGAGGCGTCCGTCCGTTGTTCTGCCCTGCCTTGCGCGACCAGCGACCGTTTTCCCACTCTCTATTACTCTTGAACTTCTACGTCAGTCAGATAATACGAGCGTGCTCGCAGAGGACCTCGCATGCCTGTCTCAAAACCTTTCCCAGCTCCTCCGCCGACATGGGTCCGGCTGGGGGAGGATTGGAGCTGGGTCGAGGGATTCGCCTTCCTTGCCAGGAGGCGAGCCTTCGAGTAGGAATGGCAGTGTCTGGGCTTTCCAGTTCATGTGCAGCACGAAGCGCCAGCGCTCGTCGTCCAGCGTCATCCTCATCTTCGTGAGGCCGATGTTGGTGGACGGGTAATAGCTCGTCAACTACCCCAATCCCAATGGATGAGCAACCGCCAGTTGATTGTGTATGCGCATGCGTGCCACGAGGGGAGGGGAGGATCCAGGATCCAGCTTTACTTACAGATTTAATTCTGATGCCCGCATATAGATTACAAGGGTTGTTCGCCGAAGACGCAGCAGAGGCTGGATAGATTGGATTCTTCCACCCTGTTCCAGATAGATAGTGAGCCACACACACGAGCGGCGCGGCTAGGGGTATTCAGTTCCTCTTTTAACTCACAGTCTGACTCGTAGTCGGTCGGCCCATAAAGTCCCAGCACAGAATCGGGAGGTTTGATGCCTTTTGCAGGGGGGAGTATACGGCAACGTCATGGCGAGATGACCCCCCGTGGACCGGCCGATAGCGACGACCCGGTTCCCGTCTGGGACAACTTGGGAAGATTTGAAAAACTTGAGCCGTGGCACTTTGTGTCTTGCGCGTCCAAGCGCGTCACTGTCATCGTTCATCGGCCCTTCATTCAGTGTGAGCTCGGGACAGAATCGATATTCGACGCTGATGGGCTGGAAGCCTTTCTCAAGAAGCAGTGGGATCAGCTTGGGTCCCAGGTCCTTCCTTGTGAACATGACATGGCCACCTCCATGGATCAGTGACGCTGTGGCTAGAGTAGTCAGCAGATCAGCGGACTGGGTTTGCAATGGCGTGGGCTGCCCGGATGAATGACATACCAATCGGCCGTGCTTTGCCATCTGGTTCGTTTTCATCCGGCAGATAGACATCAGCATAGAGAAGGACGTCCTCTACCTGGCTCCACACGAGATTCTCGATTCTGGATTTCGGTCTCGGAGATGGACTAGGAACGAATTTCGCATTCTCGGCGTGTCGGACAAAGCCCGTGATTATCCTCAGAGTCCGTGACCCCTCGCTGGCGCCGTCCGTCCAGGACACGTGCTTGAAGCCGGCCTTTCTGAGATCACGCTGCCAGGTCCTTTCATCTACTGGGACATGTTGCTGCCGGCCGCCACCATCATCATGGAACAACCAAGAACCGTCATCAAACAGACCGAAGACGAGGTCAAACCAGTACATGTTCCGCGTGAGCTCAACTAGCACAAGGAAACCGTCCTCTCTGAGCATGTTGCGAATGGTCCCAAGAGACTGCTCCAGATTCCGCGTGGCCTGCACACCGTGTGCAGATTTGACAGTGTGGAATTTGCCGAGGAGCTCCGTAGGTGCAGGCTCGTCCACGTTCAGTGCCATGAATTTCATGGAAGCGTTACTTTGGAATTGCCGTCTGACTTCCGCAACACGTGAGGGTGATTTGTCCGTGAATGTGTACGTATACGAGACCTTGCTGCGATCATGAAGCCCAATAATGGTTTGGATGGTCCCTGCTCCTCCTCCGGCGCCGCCACCGCCACCAATTTCGAGACTGTGAACAGTACCGTCAGACTTGGAATTGTCGTACACCCGTAGCAATAATTTGGCCAGGAGTCGCGTGATGGCTTGGTACGTGGGTCCCTGAGTGTATACCTACTCTAGAAGTTCTCTGTTCTCGGTGTTCCGGACCGGTAGCTGAGAGGCATCGTATGCGCCACGTAAACATTCTGCCAGCTGCGAACCTGCGACGCGGAGAAGCTTATGCTCAAGGCCATGCTGGGGATATTTAACCAGGATGTTTTCGTAAACGGCACCCGAGCTTTGCTTGTCAATCTCTGTCTCGGTTCGGATCAGGTTGTTTCCCGTCTGAAACAAGCAGCCCGCCGTCCCTGAGAATTCGCAGAAGCCGCTGAAAGAGTTGCTCGTGCCTAGCAATGTATTTTTCTTGTGGAAGGACGCCACCGATCTTGAACGCGCTCAACGAACAGCCCAGTTTTTCAAAGGCTTCAACCACATAGGCAAGCGCCAATCTGGACTGGAGGGGGTAGATTTGCTTCCAGAATCCAGAGAATCCAGTCTCCTAGGCGAATGCCTCGTAGTTGTATCTGTTGTTCTCGAATATCTGCTGAGCATGGCGTAGTGTGGTTGCAGCACTATAAGGATCGCCAGCAGGTGGCTCGGTGTGTGGCGCACATACCACTGAGCACTGGGTTTTCGATGGTTTGGGGAGAGAATGTCGTTGACAAGCTCGATGCCCAAAAGGGAGTCCAGCCCCGCGTCGACAAGGTTGGTATCTTGATCCAGCTTCATGTTGCCCGAGTGCTCTCTCACCAGAGAAGAAAGTAGGGCTATCCGATCTTCGAGATGGCTGGTGTCGGTCGTAATCGACGTTGCAGTTGATGACGACTTTGGAGGAACGGAGTGGGACATAATGCAGATGGCGGCCGCAGTTTCAGTGAAGAAAAGATCCGGTTTTGTTCTTCCACTAGCAATGAGATGGTGTCCTTCCCAGTGGAAGGCCATTCGTATTTTGGGGTTTCCCAATGTGTATTACAAGGTAGTGATGTTGGCAAACGGCGAGACAGCTGAAGCGGTGCAAGGGTCTAAGCCAGCTTAAGGACCATCTCAGCTTCCGCCTTTGCTGTCCAAGGGTGGATGACAGCGACTCAGGTCACCCAAGGCCATGAACTCTTTGGAGGACCCCTTGAGATTGGCAGAACGGCCATCGGGCCGTGCCTGTGGACACACTCGGCCCCTCAGCATTGTTGGAGACAAGACCCAACTTGCAAGAAAGTATACTCCTAGAATGGTAGGACTCATAGACTCGCAACGAGAGTGACATGTCTGATATTAAATGGCGAGATGGAATAGAAGTTTGGGAAGGGGAGCCTCGGAAATTGGAGCTTTACCAAAACCCCATGCCACCAGTCCTAAAAGTGCTTAGAGTTCCAGGTGGAGCGGCCAGTCTTGAGGGACCGTTAGGCTATATCGGTCCTAGCGAAATAGGAAGTCAATTGCGGCAAGGCTGAGAAGATTTGGGCTTCCGCTTTAAGGCTTCGTGCCACCGTATCAGAAGTCGCAAACGCTTTGCCCACCATGCGTTCCAGTCGAAACGTCTCCATGTCCTCTGTACTGCCCACAATTTAACTGATCGTGTATCTGTAGCGAGCAAATCATGACCTTTTTCGTGGTTGCTGATGGCCTCGCCGCTTTAGCCTACGAGTGACTCGAGACCTCATTGTCGCTAACGACTTTGCCGTCGTTTACCAGCTTCGTTGCGATAAACGAACTGGGGCCGAACTCGGTACCCGGAGACATTCCGCCTCCATTGACCTCTAGTTACAAGCTCTTGGATATGCTGATACTAAGCACTAGGCTCTCACCGTCAGGAGTCCAGTTTTCTTCCAGAACGAGATACAAGTCCCAAGAGTCTCTACAGTGCAGCTCCTCAAAGTTTGGGCCACAGCCAGTGTACTTCAGTGTCTATGTTGACACCGCCACACTCCATTCGCTTGTAACCCTCCTGGAAAACATGGTGAGGCCGAATATTTCGTCTGCTTCATCTGCGCGATGGCCAGACTTAGCTAGTTGTCTAGGTTCAGGAACGGCTAATGTTGCAGATTTGGCAGCTGAGATACTATATAGAAAGTACCGCCTGTCGGCACCACTAGTTTCCCGGATGGGCCATGCAAGGTCGAGGATAATTTAGAGAGGTTTGTGATCAAATGTCGACGCCTTCCCCCCTGTTGCTAGGCTTGACTGGCCATCGAAATTCGATATAGCTGAGCCATTAACGCGTTCAGGCGCACGAAAGTTGGTAGTCAGCGTCGACACATCAACCATCTTGACAGTCTTGGGCTTCTTGGATTACAAAAGCATGATATTCGTTGAGTATGAAGCTCTCTCTGACACGAATGGGCTGATATGCGGATGCACAACCTCTTTCAACGCCATATAAGCAACCTTCCCGCTATTTGTCTACCACATTGGTGCATGTTAAGTGGTGTCCTCTATCCGTCTTCAACCTGACAGCTCAGGACCAGAGTCCTACTTTGATCCCAACCACGCCGCGGTAATCGGCACCAGCGAAGCCTTCAACCACGGCGTCTCAAGCGTTATATTCTCGTTCGTGTCGAACCCGTGTTCACCAGGCTGGACAACCAGCACAACCTTGTCGTCTCCGAGCTTCTCCTTGGCCTTCTCCACCCACTTCTCGCTCCCTTCTACAGGGACGGCGCTGTCGTCTTGCCCGTGGATGATCAAGATGGGCGACACAACATCAGGGTCGACATCCTCGACTCTCTCAAACGGGAACAAGACCCTCTCGTCGCCCAGCAATTTGGTCATCAGGCCTTGCTGCACCATCGAGAGCGACAGGGGCAGTCTCTCCGGGGGCGTCGCGGAAGTGACGATCCTCCTGTTCCCGTTCTTTGCGTCTTCGTCGAGTGCGCGCAGGTGGTCGGCCATGACGGTTTTCGGGACCGTCGGCGCCCCCAGGACGACCTTGGAATATTCCTCAGTGTAGAACCTCGACTTCAAGTCCAGGGCGGGATACGTCGCGATGGCGGCGCGGAGCAATATCCCGCCGTCAGTCGCACTCCCCAGCGCGCTCTGGGTAGACAGATACCCACCGGCGCTCTCGCCCGTGCAGAGCACCCGCTGCAGATCGACATTGGTCCCCGGCGCGGCGGTGTCAAGGTACGCTTGGAAATCGGACTTCAGCCAGCGCCAGAAATCGTGCATGTCTTCCATGATCTCCACCCCTCTGGCCTCGGGCGCCAGCCGATAGTTCGGCAGCACCGTCACCACTGAGTGGCGCAGCGCGTACTCGATCAGCCAGTGCGGGAACCAGTCCGGGTACAGCGCCGTGCCTGTGATGAGGAAGCCGCCGTGGAATTTGACCATCACGGGCCGCGGTGACGACGATGGCGGCGGCAAGGTCTTGGGAATCAAGGTGTAGACGCTGATGTTGTGCCTGTTGTCGATGACCTTGTAGGTGGTCTCCAGGACGGTGAAGCGGGAGTACTTGGGTGAATCCATGGATCACTCGGTGGCGCTGGTGAGAGACAGACTGTGTGTAGGTTTCCTCTTTCGGCAGCCTGGTAAATAAATATGTCGATGGATGATTTGAACTGTTCCGTCGACAGCGGAGCTCCTCGATGTTTATATGGAGATCCGGTCCGTTTGAGTGCATCTGGACGCTTTCCTCCCTTTCAAAGGCACATGGCTAGCTGGTTCAGGTATCATGCTCGGGGATATCGAATAACACCACATACACACGCACAGAGCTTAACCCCGATCCCGCGCCTGGCTGGGTTGGGTTCGGGCACGGAGGAACCCAGCGGAGAGTTATGGGACATGCTATCCCACTAGCACAGTGCCTATTTACCTAGGTTGGTGCATAACTGTAGATAATAACTAGTGATGCCTGTACAAATAGAGGTACGCCTAATTAACTACTCGCTAGATATCCTCTTTGGAGCATACGTTCCGGAGGCGGACGTTATGGTGTAGCGTGTGATCGATAATAGAGACAGGACATGCCCCTGGACCGGCCCCTGATTGGAATAGTGTCTGTGCCAGATTTTCCTCTGGTAGGTCGTCATGTCGTGTCGTCTGCGGAGTGAGGCTTCCTCCTCGGTGGCGGAGCGCGTATCGGGATTGCTAAGCCGCGGGTTCGGGGTGCAGTGGGACGGAGTACCGAGTACATGAGGGTAGGCGGCGTGTTTGCAGCATCACGCAGCCGCAAATACCTAGGTGCCTATTGCATGCCATGCCACGCAGAAGTGTCTGTGCTGTGATAATGAAGAAACGGACATGATAGATTTCGCAAAAGAACAAAAAGCAAATGCGAGATGAAGACGGAATTGATGCCGATATTGACGGTTCTCCTCCCCACCTGGCCAAGCAAAAGGAACTCAATAAAGTGCCCGATGTTTTCCCTAACAACAATAACAACAGCACAGCCATTCACCTTGCAATGATGCACAGCCGGTGAGGAAAACAAGGACAAAAGTGAACTGAGAAAAAGAAACCATGCCTATTCTCTCCTCTTCGTCAAGAGCTCGTGTCTCCGTCCTTGCTGCTGCCTCGACTGATGACCCTCATCAGCCTCTCGGCTACGCTGCCTCTCCGCTCTGTCTCCTTGTCCTTGTCCTTGTCCTTCTCCTCCTTCTTCCGCTGCTTCTCCTGCTGTTTTCTTCTCTTGCGCTCCTCCTTGGTCTCCGGCTCGGGCCACCCGACCTCCCAGTAAGGATTCCCCGAGGACTGTATAGGCCCCCCCCACGCCAGAGACTGCAGTCCTCCCGCCCCGCCGCGCAGGTCCGGTAACATGCCATTGGACCCGGGTTCGACGTACAGTTTGGATTCGGCGAATTCTCTGAGCGCGGCGAGTTCTTCTTGACTGTTGGCGAAGCCGTGCGACGCCTTGTACGGTGGTAATCTGTCCCTTCTGGGGTCGGTTGCGGTGTAAGAGGGTGGCGAGGCCATTGTTGGGGGGCAGCGACTTTGCTCGCGCGGGGTGTTTCGCTCGTTTTTTTGTTCTTTTTCCTTTTTTTTTTAATTTTTTTTACTACTTCTCAAAAGAGGTCGCGCAGAGAGGGAGTTGTTTTGGCGGGAGATATTGCTTCAAAGTTACTGTGTGTTCTGTTCGTCCCTTTTTGGCCAATGTATGTCTTCCTGGTGATTGCGGGGGAGGATCCTGAATGCTACATCTCAGGGCAGAGTCGAGGGTCAAATTTAAGCTGATATTTTCGAGTTGGTCAGGATCCCAGACTTCAGATGTTGATGTGCCAAGTTGCAGTGGCACGAGGATCTGGTGACTGTTGTTTTTTGTGCGGCATGCGGCATTGAGCATGGAGTGGCTGGTGATCGGTGAATGCCAAATGGCGACGTCAATGCGTCAATGTGATGTGCCTGACACTGTGCCACGCTGTCACATGGCCGCAGCCACGAAACCCAGGGGGGCAGTTGGCGGTGGTGCAGTTCCCCTCCAGCAGCCACAAAGCAGGGAACGCGAAACACGCCCAAACACGCGCTCGATTCATTGGCCGCGTGTCGCTATCTCGCTCTTTCCCCGCGACCCCGTGATGGCCAAGTAGAATATCTAATACGAGGTATTCGGGACAGGCAAGTGCAGATATCACACCATTGCCCGTAATCTCATGGTCTGTTTCTCTTCTTCTCGTCGAATCCCTTGGCATGGCATTGGCGTAGGGGTCTGAGGCGTACAGAAATGTGAAGACCACGAAAGAAGAAAAAAGCCCGGATCTGGACCCAGCAGCGGTTGCGGCGATCCGAGGATCTGGGTCACCGACCGTACCAGGTAAGTAGCTCATGGATATTTTTCCCGGCTATGAAAGATCCCATTTTGCCCGTTGTGCTTCAAGCAACGTTTAGCTAGGTAGGTATAAGTATGGGAGTAGAGGGTGTCTGGTCCTGGCCCCCGACTCTTGCGAGCTGCTATCTCAAGCCAAAAGGTCTGTCCACGGCAAGAGTACCAATAAACAACTACAGGATGTACCTACATACCTCTCGGCACATCGATTGGCGTTCGAGATAAGGATGCGAACCAGCGGGGCGGTGGAGCGCCGGCTAAAACTCCGCTGATGGTTCAGCACCGTTCAACCCTTTTTGCTTCTGCAACACCCAGCAGGCCAGACACCTAGCGAGCTAGGTACAGTATCACTGCTGCTTATCTGCCTGCCACCAAACAAATCATCGTCGGATTGGCTCCCACACCGCATCTACATACGTCGACGGCGCAGCATGGCGCTAAATCACTGGGGAATCCCTCAATTGCAACCTCCGACCTCCAGGTTTCATGCCGAAAGCGCTGAATTGGACATTCCCACAGCGTTGATGGCTGTCTACGGAACATCTCTATGTAATCGATTGCCAGGGTGATGTGCCTCAACATACTCACCATGTGGAACATCCCCTTCTCCGTGGTCCTGCTGGCTATATTCTCCTGGCTGTTCCTTCAGCTTGCGCAAGTTTTGTATAACATCCTACTGCATCCTCTCCGAGATTATCCAGGTCCCCTTGCAGCACAGGCTTCGGGTTGGTACAAGGCTTATATCGAATTGTTCCTGCAGAGGAGCTGGACTGATGTCTTGATTGAGCTGCATCAACGCTATGGCAAGTCAACGGCATTTAGGAGATGGATGGTACTGACACGGCATGCAGGAGACGTGATTCGTGTTGCTCCAAACGAGGTCAGCACACGCTCGTTCTCACTTTTATGTCTCTGGCTGATTTTCCAGCTCCATTTCTCTAATCCGCAAGCATACCACGATATCTACAATAATGTGAACCGATGGGACAAAGACAAGGCATTGTATGAATGCTTTGGCGAGGACCACTCCTCGTTTGGCTTCCTCAAATATCACGAGGCCAAGCAACGCAAAGATGTCTTGCAGCCGCTCTTCTCCAGACGAAACATTTTGCAAATGCAGAGTCTTGTCCGGAAGAATGTAAGTGGGGACGGGCCTCCCATTGAGAACTCTCTGACTCTCTTTCCACCAAGATGGACCACCTTGTACAGAGACTCTCGGAAGACTACGCAACCGGGAAGTCGTCGGACTTGTTCTTCGCCTTCAGATGCTTTACCATGGACACAATTACTAGTTTCTGCTTTGCGAAATCCGTAAACGCGATCGACGTACCTGGTTACAACGCGCCCATCATTGAAGCCATGGAGGCATCTGGCCCGGCCTTCATCCAGTTCAAGCATTTGCCGTTGTTCCGCAAATTTGTCTTCAGTCTTCCACCCAAGATCGCTGTCAAAGCTTCTCCGGAAACGGCAGGCTTGACGCGTCTCCAGCTCATCTTACGGAATCAAGTCGACGAAGTAACGGCAAATCCAGGCATCCTCAAAGAGGCTCCTCATCCGATCATTTATCATCGTCTACTCGATCCTGAAGCGCACAAAGGCCAGCCGTTACCGAACAAGCAATCTTTATATGAAGAGGCCCAAGCTTTGATGTTTGGAGGCGGCGACACTGTCGGAAACACTTTGATGGTCGGCTTCAATCACATTTTGCAGCCGTCCCACCAGGAACTGTACCAGTCTCTACGCACCGAGGTTCGTTCCGCGTGGTCTGACCTTGCGACTCCGCCGAGCTCTTTCGAGGCATTCGAGTCTCTACCTTTGCTCACCGCAACCATCAAAGAATCTCTGCGTGTGGCTCCAGGCGTGGTGTCTCCTCTGCTTCGCGTCGTCCCAGCACAGGGTGCAACAATTGCTTCCCGCCAAGTCCCACCAGGCACGGTAGTGGGAATCTCGGGCATCTTTGTCCATTCGTCTGCGACCATCTTCGACAACCCAAACGCGTTCATGCCGCAAAGGTGGCTCCCCACGGGCACCTCCACCTCCACTAGCAGGGATCTCGAATCCAACCTTGTCGCCTTTAGTCGAGGCCCAAGGTCGTGTCTGGGTATTAACCTTGCATGGTGCGAGCTATATGTCGCCTTTGCCACCATGTTGCGACGGTTCGAGCTTTTGGAGATCGACAAGAACTCCCCACCCGCGGACTTGAGGTTTCGCGACTCCTTCCTGCCGTATTTCTACGCAGAGAATCATCTCAAAGTGAGGTGCAAGCCGGCGACTGATTAGCAGAGGTGGGATTTTCCGAGTCGATGGAGCGTCGGCCGCCTTGCCGTAGCCATTGCTAAGCATCCGCAGGCACCGATCAGGCACTTGAAGACTTTGTTTACCTAGGTAGCTGCAGACCAGGATGATTGGATGGATCTTGAAATCCGTAGTTTGCTAGGTGCAGGTATTTTATTGCATCTTTAACGAGAGCACAAATGTGTGTATGACGGCTCACTTGGCTAAGCCTGGTATATGTGTTGTCGCAAGGTGCAGGGCAAGAAACGCACGGGTGCAATGACCAAGATTGACCTAGTCATACGGAGGAGTGCTAATGCTCAAGGCGCAACTGAGCCCTGTGATCTCATTTGGACCTCACCAGCCCCCGCTGTACTTGGTATGTCGTCAATTGGGCGGCTCAATCAATATCGCCCTAACAAGAGGAAAAAAAGTCCAGCGTAACGATGAGCAGGACGACAACTCCGAAGGAGACCCTGATGCTCCAGATTTTGGACCACCAGAGCTCTTGATTATGTGCCCATATTGTTGGTACGACTGTGAGACATTCTCTTGGCGCAGGAGGCTACAGAAAGAGTATCGCAATTGTGAGGCTATGGAGCTTCATAATATTGCCAGATTGACGCATGTGAGAACTCCCACAGACTCGGTGTGTGGCGCTGACACATGGTAATAGACAGTATCTCAAGAGAGTGCACAAAGGGGCCAACCACTGCTGCGGGAGGTGCTTTCTCGTCCTCAGCAGCCAAGAAGAATTCGACATCCATTCAAGACAAGAGCCATCTTGTTCAGTCGTCCACCCTAAGGAATTCACGGAGAAGATGACCACAGCTCAGTGGTATGCCATAAAGGAGCAGCGATTCCATGGACCTGTCGAAGAGAGCTTCATAGATATATGTCGCATCCTGTTTCCCGACGAGCTACTGCCGTCATCTCCATGTAAGTATCAGCCATGCTCAGCCCAGGAGCAATACACGGCTGACCACTGATGTTTCAAAGATCGTGTGCAGCGTCGAGTTCCCTCGCCGGCTCTTTTTTCCGCAGGACACTTCCAGGCATCCTGACTGGTCTCTTTCGAAGATGCAACATACCGATACCTCCTGAAGGACTTGCGGACTTTGCCAACGAAGTAATCCGAAGTTTGGAAGATCCAGACCTTCATTCTCCTGCGCAACCCGCTTCGTTGCAAGAGTTGGACGATGGAAGCTTCGGCGGGCCCGAGGAAATTCTGCAGACATTCCATGGTTCAAACCCCGACAAAGCTTTTCTAGGCGCGTTTGATTGGGGAGACTTGCCGCAGCTAGCCCTTTCCGCTGCCCTGGAAGGCATGTTTGATCAGCTCCCTTGTCAAGTTACTGCGTTCACATAATCGTGGTGGTTGCACCACGTAGCATGCCTGGAAAAGGCAGAGAGGGATCGAGAAGGACGGACAGGATTGACCTTGATGTCGAAGACACGACACCAAACTCCGTTTTCTTCGTGTTTAGTCATCGTTGCGCATCAGCACCCTTTAAGCGGGCTGTCTTTGCCAAGTCTTGTATCCACGAGGGCTTCATCATAACAAGGCTGAAGAACCCAAATAGGGAGGTAAGCTGACAACAACCTTCCTCGGAATCGCCCCAGAGACAAACCCCGGTCATCACGACTTCCTAGTCTAGAGCCCTTGCCGGAGCCTTGCTTACCCAATACGCATGTGTATGCTCATCGCTGATAGATGATCAGGCGTTCAAGAGCGGGCCCCATTTGAGAACACATTTCCCTTGCTGGATGTGATTAGATCCGAAACTTCCCAAGGTGGTGGTGTGCTGATGCGGCACAAACCCGAAAGACTCAGACGAATATGTTATGCTGTGATCGTCATCAGCGAACGAAGACGTAGGATATAATATGCGCGGGAGCGTGGGGGTCCTCCTCCGGTTTCGTTCATGTTTGCAGGAAAAGAGCTGGCCTAGTTGTCGACAGACTTGTCGAGCATCCTTGTTCTCGAATAGAGGCTCAACCCGTTTCCAGGACGTATGACCAGAAAACTTGCCAGAATTTGCACCCACGAATATCCAGAAGACGCAGGAATCCATCCTCTCGGCATCTGAGGTATGCGAATGGACTTTGAGCAGAACTTCACAACAATCCCCGTCAACATGAACAGATATCTCGGATACAAGTTGCTCCCAGCTGCGGACCGAGAGCACGATCCCGGACGGTCACTGAACAAAGAGAAGGCTATTGCCCACTCCGAGAAGCTGAAAATACTCTCAATACTGGGGATCATCTTGGCTATCCTGGCTTTCGTCAGCGTATGCCTCCGCCTCATTGTCGCAGAGAGCCCACGCCCACCTCGCCATCCTCCCTTCTTGACACTCTGCGGTTCAACCCGCGCCGAAGCCCTGTCCCACAACTGCACATTTGACGTCTTAAGCTTTGCTTGGATGCCACCAGCCTGCCATGATCCGGAGCTGTGCGAAGAGTTCTGCAGTGTCGTGAGTGGGAGTGGTTTCTGGACGAGAACATGACGCAGAGTGTGTCAAGGACTGAGGTTGAAGAAGGCAAGGTAGAGAAAGTGTACACCCCTAGGGAGTATGAAGAGCTTCAGTGCGTGTTTTCGTGGAGGAAGGTGCATAGGGCCGTGTCAAAGGGGGCGCCGGTGGACGGGTTCAGCGGTGACAAAGGGTATTCCGAGTACTGTGGCGCATTGTTGGTGGAAAGGGTTGGACGACCCAACGAGGATAGTGTCCATGCCGATAATACAGCGCACCAGGCTTTCTCGACGGAGTTGAAGTTTCCGCACTGCGGTGTGGAAAACTTTGTACGCAATCATTCGCACTAATGCGAGACGGATATGAGTTGCGCTTACAGTCCCTTGTAGTAAGGCACCTTGAGTATGAATTCGCTTGGGTGTATAGCTCAAGGAACAAAGTCATTCGAAGAAGCTGTTCGCTGTCATTGTTAACTTTCTTGTTGACCAGAGGTCACGCACGCCTTCGTCCCTCATGCGACATTCCTGTCCACTTCTTAAGGCGTGCAACCTCTGAGCAAGCGATGATGGGTCATCTCAAGCTTTGGGCATCGATGGGCTCGCTATCCCTACCGTGGGATGGAGGTCGCACTGGGTTTCTCCCCTGGATTCGAAACCTGGCTGGTGGTTTGTTTCGCTCGACATTGATGGTAAATCACTCAAGGCAATTGCAGCTCGAGCCGTCTCCATGGTAGATATTGCACTCTGATCAGATACACATGGCTAACTAACTTTTGTGAGTTCTCTTCAAAGGCACACGAAAGTGATGAGGTCCTCCCGCCCGGAAGCACACTCGAACGGTTTCAGCGCCCGGCCACGCCTCACAGCGAGCCAAGCCTTGTTGGGCCCTGTTTTGCTCGCCCACATCCCTGAAAGCTGATGAGTATTCTTCTGAGGGTCATTTAAGCTGAGCGATCGCCGGCGTAGCAGCTGCCACCCAGGATTCTATATGTAAAGTCGTTGTTGGGAACTCCGCCTTCGTTCAGCCGGTCCAGACGGTCCAGACAGTCCAGACATTTCCCGTATAGTCTAGCTTTAGCCTTTATATGCTGAGGCTGGATTAAAAGGAAAATGATCCAGTAGTTTCTCAGCAAGAGAATTACAAGGGTTCTGTTTCGACCCATGTACTGATTTGACTTCGGTTATCGAGAACCTCCACAACTTGCCTTTGGTGAAGCCAAGCTTCAGGACTGAAGAGTGGAAGCCTGGTGGCGTACCACATCCATCCACAGTTCCTATCTTCTCACATTAAAAGATATCTTGAATCCGACTCCGCCGTCAGCCATGGCCATGGCTCGCGCGACTGATCGAACATTCTACTCCGGCTTGGCCGTACTCCTTTTCTCTCATTATTTCTGATCGAATGGCTCTAGGACGGCGAAGCGGTGTCGCGTCGCGCGGCTAGCCCGCCGCGGCGTCGGTAGGGAATCTGGACGCAAAAGCCTTTTGTGGTGATGCGTATCTGTTGCTTCTGGGGGATTTGCTTATCACATCAAAAATGAAATGTATGGCGAAACAGGAGGTGCATTAGTCGTTAAGGGAAGCACAGCTCGGACTCCAATCACTTCCAGCTGTTGCTCTCGTTCAGTAGCGCTTCCATTTCGGTGCGTGACTCACTCCAGAAGGCTGTCTCGAGATCTTGCATCCAAGACCATACATTTTCGGAATTTTCGTTCGCTTCATATTGCAGGTGGTCTCCAATGGCGGCTGGCGATTGTACGGTCGTCTCATACTAGGGCTAGTAGTAGCTCGGGTCACTTCTGACGCTACGATTCGCGTCTTTGACAATATGAATTCCTGCAGCGCGGAGCTTGCGGCAAAGGGCATTCGCCCGCCTGGCCACCGCGTACCGTTTCTCACTCAACTGGAAGAGAAGGACAGCACGGTCAAGTTTACTGATCGCAGTGTCGGGATCCATAGCCAGAGGGTAGGCCGATATGAACAGAACTAAGTTCAGCATCGCGTTCCATTGTAAACTGTACAACTCGAACTGACCATACAGGAGATCTGAGGCGCGAAGGGCAAGGAAGATTATATCAATGACGTTGAGCGCGTGTCGCAGGCCTCTGTCGGAGAGAGGATCGACATCATCGGCTTCGCGATCGATCCGTAGACGATCTGAAAGTGACTGCATAATAAACGGCCGGTAGAGCATGCTCATGATGTCGTGATAGTGAAGCGAGAGCAATATAACTTGCCTCTGCAACCATTCAGGTAACAGATCAAAGTCTGGCGCAAATGATAAGGGCTTGTCGAGATCCAAATGAGCGAACATGTCACTGTTTCCAAGTTCATCCCTCCACCTTTCCAAGGGCGTAATGGCCTGTGCCAGAGCCTCGGCAGATATGTCGGCCACCCCTCCGTTGGCAATAGCGCCGTCCATTTTGGATCGTGCCAAACTCTCGTGCAAGAGCAGTCGGGCCGCGGTAAGTTTTGCGGTCCAAACATGATACTCGAGTTTGACGTGAGGGCTCTGAATATCCGGTGAGGGTAGGGAACAGGCCAGGGCTGAGCCACATGTCGCCGTCGGCCTGCCTAGCTCGGTGGAACATCTCAGGTCGAGCATAACGAGCACCCACCAGGTTCGCCTTTTCCATTCGGCGTCACTCAAGTCCAGGGGAACGGGGTCATCCCGGTGAAGATCCAACGCGTACGCAAATCGGATAGCCAATCCTAGCATGGTATACGCAGTCTGGTATTGCCCTGCGTTAAGTAGGTAAATGGCCGTGGAAATGTATGTTTGCACTGTGACCAGTGACGGCTCGCCCACGGTGCCGGTGTCATCGATCATGCGGCGACATCGTCGAAGATAACAAAATGCCCCCAGTCCGATATCGCCGTGGTATGTGCACCGAGGATGCCTTAAGCCCAGAACTCTTTCAATCAAATCGGCTCCATGGGCGTATTGTGATGAAACGGCTGTGATGGCGTCAACAAGCGGCGAAACAGTATGTTGTCGTCCGTCCGCGGACCATAGACTCTCGTAGTGTTGTTGGAACGCCTGCCGATCGAGGATGGGGATGTCGACGTACAGATAGTGTCAGAAAATGTCCATCAAACAATCCACCTCGTCCCGAGAGAGGTTCGTTACTGGTGGACAGTTGGACTCTAGGAAGCTGGTACGATAACCCGAGAAGGGGGTGTCGTAGTCGACATATATCGGGTCGTGCAGTGGCTCCTGTGGGCTCTGGTGAAGTGCTTGAGAGGCAGACCTAATGAATGAGACGACCTTGGAGGAGAGCGAGCTAGCATCGGAGCGTTTTGTGCTTATATGAGGTGATTCCACGCGTGTTACCGCGAAATCTGTGGTTGACGCGTCGAACCTTGTCCCCTGCTCGTGCGCGCTGACATCGACAATATCGGTCTGGGTGGAAGAGACTTTGCGTCTCTTGCTCCCTTCCAAGACGGATGGCCGGTAAATCCTGCCCGAATTCGGCTCGCTGGCGTGTGGCTGGGATTGGCCAAAGGAGCTCGAAAGCTGCTCGTTCTGTCTACATTCTCGATCAGAGAGGCTCTCGTGCCGATGAAGACGTGCATACCGGTACTCAGGGCGCCCTGCTGCAATCATGCCAGGCTTCTTGCAAGGAGTCCTGGCCTCGAGACATTGAGGACAGGGAGTCTGGTGTCCACACCGGATTCGGAGGGACCGACAGCGAAAGCAAGCGGCAGCCACTTTGTTGCGTTTCTGTCCTTGCCCTTGAGGATTCTGGGACAGAAAATTGCCGTTCCCATCCCGCTGCAGCTTGACAAAAGTATAGAACATATCGCTCTTCCCGGTCTCCGCTGGCGTTCCGAGGAGTTTCAATGCCTGCGGAGTGTTGAGGATGGCCGAAGGAGCTTTAATATCTTATGTAAAGGCATCAGTTGGGCGTTTAGTAATAATGTGGTTTCGTGAAGGAAGAAGACGGATTAGGCCTAGCGGGTAGACCGTAACTACTATCGATCACGTGGCTATCTTACTCACCGATTACCCGGTACTTGGTACTGCCGAGGCCGTCGAGACGCGAAGCCGCTCTTCGCCGCCATCATTGGAATGCTGCACCTACAACTTGTTCAACGGTCACCCTTGTCAATCTTTCTCCTTTGCCACCATTACGGAACCATGGCGACTTCTTCGATCGATGATCTGTCACACGGCTGAGGAGATGCGCCGTCTCATATTGTGCCCCAGGGCTGGGGTCAATCCCGAAGGGGAATCAAGGTTTCCCGAAACGGCAAGGCGACTATCACCCACTATTACTTCCGGCCCTCAGATCCGTCAAAAGCGTCGACCGCGGAAGTCTCCAACCTGAGGACGAGTGACATTTCCTTGTCTTGGGAATCGAGTACAGCACGCAGACATGGAAGTCCTCAGCACCACTCATTCTGGGCTGTCTACATCCCGAGGTTGGGATTGTAGCTGTGGCGCGACATGATGTGTGGCTGCCGACAAGACTGCCACACGATACCAGTCCTTTCCTCAAGGAAGGATATAAATCTTGCTATTCTACGGCTTTTGTTGATCGATGCAAGTGAACTTGGATTGATGATAAGATACTACAGAGAGCTATCTGAACGGAGCCCAGCGCTTTAGACAAAGGTCGAACCCAGAAGGATCTGATCGTCCTAATTCACTACAGCCGCATCAATCCATTCCTTTGGAGGGCCTCAGGAAACGACCTTTCCCAGACAACATATCATCTTTTTGAATCACACCATCACGGTCTCCTTCTCTTCCACGTTTATACTCTTGTCGTGCACGGCCCCGTCAGGATCCTCATCGATGGTCCGCTGGACTTCCTCACCGAACAGTCCGTTTATCTCTTCCAAAGTGAGGCCTTTCGTCTATTCTTTTGGTCAACTTGGAAAGACTAACACATGACGGATTTCTTCCTAGACATACCTCATGGCAGAAGAAATAGATTATGGGCAAAAAGAACATATTGAACGCGATGAAGAGACTGACGTATCGGTAACTAACTTCTGCATAGGCGATAGGGGTGACCTGTCTGAAAATGATGATGCAGACGTAGGCGCATAGCATACCCAAGGCCATCCCCTGGGCTCGGATCTTAGTGGGAAGCACTTCCGCGGCGTAAGCGTAGCCTGTCGAGATATAAGTGACACCGTAGAACCAGATGTAGATCATGACCATAGCAACACCAGCCTTTCCCCACGCTGGAGATAGGAGAATCTGTTAGAATACCGACAACAACGGACCATATTCTATAGCCCCGACTTCGGACTTACCTGTGTTTCCCGTCTTCTCGAATTCGGCGACGCAGGCCATAAAGGCTCCGAGGACGACTGAGAGACCGATGAGGCCGGACATCATCAAAATCCTCCTTCCCAGCCAGTCGATTGCCAGTATGTTTCCGATACCTCCAACGATGCATAGCAACTGGAAGAAACATGCCATAAGAAGGATCTTGCCGGTGCTGTACCCAAGACTCGCGTAAAGGATTGACTTTCAGTAATAGAGTCAGTCCACTGATCAAATGGGTTAAACGGTGACAGGTTTGCTCCCCACGCACCTGGAAGATGAAAATGGTCTGCGCACCGTTAGTCTGTAGACTGGTCAAGCCGACCACTGCGAGTAGTGCTCGGTGCAGCTCTCGCCAGTTAGTAAACATGTGGAAGCTATTGACGCCGGCGGTCTCTCGTCGCTCGTGTTCCAGCTGGGCAACCATTTGTGCGTACTCCCTCTCCCAGAACAAGGGATTCGCGTGATCATCATGGAGACGCCGGAGCACCTTGCGTGCTTCTTCATGTCTTCCTTTCATGGCTACTAGACGCCCGAGTTAGTCGTCCCAGCATGAGAGGGTCAAGTGTAGAAGGCACTTACGCCATCGAGGTGAGAAAGGAATGAAGAATCCACCAATAAAGAGTGCGATCGCCGGAACACACTGCAGGGCCACGGGAAGTCGCCTGCATTATTTCAGATTAGTCTCCTATACCTTGTCTTCGCAAAAGCAAGAAACTCACCATTGTAACGCGGGGTTGGAGACATGGTATGTGCCAAAACCGGTAAAAGCGATGATTTGGCCTGCTGAGTTGATGGTGACAAGCTGGACCGCAATCATCCTTCCGCGAACCTCGGGTGGAGCAATCTCGGACTGATATATTTGCACCGTGGTGAGCATAATGCCTGAGGCTATGCCGGCAAGGACACGTCCGACGATGAATTGGGCAATTTGGTATGCTGTCGCTTGTAGTATTGTAACAAGGCGAGGTGGCTGTGCTGTGATGGGCTGTGCTGGGCTGGTAGAGCGGTGGCAGAGTGAAAAAGTTGTCTAGTCACATGTCAAACCTAAATGGGCTGGCAGAGAGGGGGGTGCAGAACAGTTTACAGTGCTGGCAGTGTGCCATTCATTACAGATTAAGCAGAGTATCATGAATACCATGGTTTTTTGGCGCCGTCTACCTAATTCCTAAGTATTTTTTATCAGTCCTGTTCTGTCCGTCGATGCTCCCGCTGTGCTAGGTGTTTATAGCCCTAGCCGCTGCCCCTCTAAGTGGTGTTGGTGGTGTTGTCTTGTCAGTATCAACCAGAAACGCGCTCTCGATTCCCGATCTACTGGACAGGCCTCTGTGCGTTATTGCACGTGCACGCTAAACCCTGAAGTGCTCTATTACAGTTGGCGACCGCGGGAAGATGATCTATTCATCGAAGATTCGAGCTCTTTACGACTATATCTTAATAAGATGCTGTATTAAGGATTACTGAAGTTAATGCTGAAGGGTAAAGAACATCACTAAACAGGAATTCGAGGTTAACGACTGAAATTCGCGTAGGCATCGATTTAACCCTAAAAGACGGTGAGGCTACTTATAGAGGTAGACTTCGCTGATTATTTAGAAAACCTTTTCTACGAAAGAGTTTAAGACCGAAATATTAAGGAAGATTTAAGATAAACGGCTCCTTAAAGAAGTAAATTAATTAATCGCGAATAGAATACTATAGTAAAGGTATTTTCGAAGAAAAGATACTCGATTAGTAAAACGAGATACTATAGTATTATAACGTATAAAGTCTAACGCGAAACTTAAAGAGAAAGAAGACTATCTCTCTAAGATCTAGAAGAAATTCTTCTAGGCGAGCCGTCGAAAAAGTATATTTATCGAAGAAGAAAGATATACGGAATAACGAAGAGAGAAAGTAAGGAGATACGAAATACGAATAAGTTTTAAGATAGAGAAATATTAAGATAAAGAATTCGATATAAAGCTATAATAGTGATTTTAAATTATTATGATTAGATAAATAAAGAAGATATTATCGACGGCTAGCTATTACTACGTCGAATATAGTTCTTCTAACTAATTAGTGTTTAAGATACGAACTTAGTCGACGCTATAAAGGTTACTCGCGTAATATTAGAGCTAATTAGGAAGATCGGTTCTCTCGTATATAGAGATTACTTATAGATCGGAAAGATTACGAACTAAGTATTAAAGAGCGAGATTTATCTAACTATTGAATTAAGTTTCGAGAAGAAGGCGCTCTATAGAAAGCGTAGCTAGTTTACTTATTAGTTTAGCTACTACTTAAAGAAATCGAAGGTATTCGAGAGTTTCTAGACTAGTTCTTTCGAAGTATAGAAGCGATGATATCGGAGTAATCTAGAATACCGAGGTTTCGGGAACTAGCTACGAGTACTTCTTCTACGTCTTTCGCTATATTCTTATCTTCTTCTAGAGATTCTTTATAGTCGTTTTCGTTAGAATTAATATAGATAATGACGACATCGGATCCGACGATAATAACGTAGAATAGAAATAAGCTAATTATATTAAAGATACCGTGGGGAAGTAAGAAGAATTTCGAATATTTATTCTTTAAAGACGTAAATACTACGGTATTCTTAGAGAATTTCGAGTATTTGTCTTTGTATAATTAATAGTTAGAAGAAGATCGTACTAAAGCGATTATTCGTTTTTATAATCGTTCCTATATAGTAATTATTTATAATCTACCTAAATATAAACTACGAGATTAAAAAGATATTAAGCGAGAGATACTAAAGAAGTAAAAGAACGAAGATAAAGATTAACTAATATTAACTCTTTTCTATTTATAATCGCTTAAGAATAAAAAGCGAGAGAGTAAGAAAGATATACGTATTTATTTACGCGAATTTAAAAGAACTAACGATACTTTACTTAAAGAAGAGAAAGTAATCTTTATTTAATTAGATAGATAGTTATTAAAAGAATTATTAGAGCGAGATCGTAATAAAATTATCTTAGATTTAGGTATCGATTATAGAGATACTAAAATAATTAAGTACGATAAGATCTATAAGAAGACTATAGATTACTCGTAAGCTCACTATAATATTAACTATTTTACTAACTCTTTAGAAGGTTAGACTTTAAATAATCTAATGAAAGAACGTAAAGAAAAGTTCTCGATATTAAAGTAGAAAAAGAGAAGTATAAAAGATAAGAAAAAGAATAAAAAAACTAAGAAAACGGTTAATGAAGCGTCTTCTCGGACTTCTTAGATTGAATAAGAAATAGTGCTTCTCTCTATTAAGCCATTACTAGCGAAATATATTAATAAACTATCTAATCGTTTCTAAAGTACGATAGTACTAAAAATAAGAGATTTAAAGAAATAAATATAAGTAGTAATAGAGGTAATTAGTGTCTCAGTAAATGTAACGATAGTAAATTTAAGTTTATCTAGTTATATATTAAACTTAAATTTAGAGCTAAGATTAAGAGTGTTCGCGACCGAGAGACCTAGCTATAAGGAAGATCGACGTAATATAGTTTATTACTTTTATAGCGAGATTAGATATATATAACCTCGCTATTCGTATTTAGAAGAATATCTATAAGCTAAATAGATTTATTTTAACTTAAGAAATTATATTATAATGAGGCCTAAAGTACCGGGAAAAGATATTAAAGAAATTCGTTTTTTATAATTAAAGACTAGATTAAACTATCTTAGAGATATCTTTTATAATTTAGAAAAGCTAGTAAAGAGTCTACGCGTCTCTTATCTAAGAGTAAATCTATATAGAGACTTAACCGTAATTAATAATTCTTCGGAAGAGAAAATTAGAGAGACTATAATTACGACTACCCAAACGTTTAATAAGAGTAAAGCGCGAGAGTCTAAAGCTAAACATAGTATAGTAGACCATAAGATCATTTTAAAATAATTAGAGAAAGAAAAGAACTATTCGATTACGAAATAAGCTTAAGTAGAATAATATATAGAAGAGATTCTTAAAGCTACTAATTAAACTACGAAATAACCGAGAAGAAACCCGATGAGACGGACGCGTTTTATAGAATTAGAGATCATTTACGACGGCATTACTTAAGAAGTTCTAGAAAGTTAAGATACGATAATAAAAGATACGGAATAGAGTTCGGTTATATAACGTTAGAAAAGAAGGACGTATATATAGAAATAAGAGTAGCTCGTGCCTCGTAAAAAGCTTTAGAAGATACTTAGACGAATATTCACGGAAGAAACGATAAGCTTAGTTAATAAGATTTTAAAATAAGAAATAGTCGGGACTATTATTTAGAATGTGTTGGCTAAGTCGAAAGAAGTACGATAAGAGCTATTCTTAAGAAAAATCTAGGAGTATAACGAAGATCGTTAGAAGCTTCTACATCGTAAGGCGCGAGTCTCTAAGATGCGATTAAATGGTGAAAGTAGTTATTCTTAGATCACTAAGTTAATTCTTACTAAATGTTCGTTTCTAAATATTAAGCTTCGCTATGAATATAAATGAGTATTAGTTAATAGCGGAGCGAAGATAAATTTAATCTCGAAGGATCTTATAATGGAAATCGAAATAAAAAATACGATTCGATTTACTTAAAGCGTTACTAACTCTATTAGCTATGATAAAAGACGTAGATAGCGGTTCATTAAGTTAATTAATTCGTTAACGTTAATTATTACCGGTATAAATATTAAGACTTCTATTTATATTATACGAATTATAAATTCTAGTTATCGATTAATATTAGGAACTCTATTCTAAATTATAGCGCGAATATAGATAATATAAGATAACGATGAGAATTACGTAATTACTCTCCGTTTATAGACGGATAAGAGTATCGTTTAGATTAAGATAAGAGAAGAGAAAGTCGATAGAAATAAGAAAACCGTAGAAATGGTGGAATTATTATATAGCGAATTAAACTAGTTAGCGAATAGAAAGATAAGAGACCTTTATTCGCCTTCTTAAAAGATCTAATCTCTATAACTATAAGAAAAAAAGAGCTCTACTAGAAGAACGAAGGCGAAGATAAGAGTTCGACGTTAGTAGAAAGATATATAATAAGTAGAGATCTATTAGATTATATATTAAACTTAATTAATTAATACGACGAAGAGAATCTAGTAGACGAGACTACGGCTAAAGTTCGTCGGGTTATTTTCTCGCCGGAACTTCGAGATAAGAAGAATAGCCGATAGCTAATTAGGCTCTTAAGACGAAGAGATTTCATTAGCTTAATTAATAATATAAGGAATAAGATAAAGTATAGAAAAATTAAAGTAGTCTAAGGCTTAAGAGCTTAGGTGAATACGCTCTATAAGCGCAAGATTAATAAGATTCTTCCGGTGAATATATCTTAAACGGACGGAAGTACGCTAGGTGAGTTAATTAACTGAAGAGAGAGAGTAATAGCTAGGGAAAGAGCTATAGAGCTCTATTCGATGCCGTACCGCTATAGTTAGTGAATTATACCGCGGTTTATAATCTTTTAAAGAGAATTACGCTTAACGTTAGCGCGACTAAAGTAGCTTTTAATCGGAGACGTTCTTTAAAGATTAAAAAAGAATATATTAGTGAAAGTATTATTTAATAGAGAAGAAGTACTTTTCTAAAAGTTCTTAGAGATTAGGAAAATTATTTAGAAAGTAGTATTATCTTAGATTATTCGAACTATTCTATATAAAGTATAGTAGACTAAGAGTTTTTATATTTCTAAGGCTCTAAAGAAGAAGATAATTACGTTGGTGAAAGATTAAATTTAAAAAGAGATCTTTAAGTCGTATTATAGCCCCTATCGAAATTCTTTCTTTCTCGTAGCTAAGAAAAAGGCTAAGGAGTATAGAATTATAAATGCTACTATGAATATTAATAGAGTAACTATTTAA